GCCACACTTAAAGATATTATTTAAAGTCAACATTAATCTGATTCCAACAAAAACAAAATTTTAAAAAAATAGTTGTCTCCTGAAATAGTAAATATTCAAACTTACTCGCGTTTTCTAAGCCTTTCAAAAAGTAAAAATAAAAATGAAATAAAAATAAAAAAGTATCGTTTAACTGAAAATTTTACTTCAAATCTATCTATCTAAATAAACATAAAAAATTAAGCCGAAATTTTTTATTCACATGCCGACTTTCCCCTCTCAATACGGCCTTTGGTTTAAATGCGAGTAAAATGCGACTCTCTTTTACATTTCAACGTTATTTTTAACATTTCCTTTTGTGTATTGAGAAAGATACTACATATGTGCATATGTACATCTATATGTAATGAGTAAAGGAGAATACTTTACTGACTACTGCATTTAAGTGTTGCCTTTAAGTCACATTTCAGTTTTTAAGTCCAAAGGGAAAATTACTGAAAATAATCTAACGGCATTTGTATATAAACACTTTATGATTCTAAAACCATCGAAATATCAGTAAGAAATAGTCTGAAAATTATCTTTTTTTTTTTGTTATAAATTAGATTGTGTGAAAGGTCTATTTGCATGTATGATGATTATTGCCATTGGGGTAAGGATTTAAGAATTTTTGCGCGGTAAGGTGTATCTGTTGTAAGAGGTGTTTAAAATCCAAATGCTCTCGCAACAGCCGGATATTTTTTACGCCGGAACGACCTGAATATTTATCCAGCCAAGGACAGTCACTCCCGCATCCACTTTGAGTAACATATTTGCGGCTACAATAACGACAACAACGACAAGTTCATTCCCATCTATTTAAAAAGGACACTTTGGCGCAACAACAGGACAATCATCTTCCCTATACTATCATTCAAGTTATAATGCAAAATACTGCTTAGGCACTACCGAACTCATATTTTAATGTACATACATACATATGTATATATTTCTTTGAAAAAAATCCTTCATTACACGGTACGTGGTAGACAAATTCCACCTCGCCGAGTATATTTCTGGCAAGAAACAAGGAGCGCTTCATAAGCAGATTGTAGGCGGGTCAGAAGAAGCTGAAAATCAGTTCAGCAGCGGTTCTAAATTATTATTAAAAATGTTTTTGTTTACTTCAATCCATAGCCAAATATTTATAATTTTTAGATTAAAAAAATAATTATGTATTTATTTAAAATTATTTAAAATTTGCGCTTATTATGCACATTTCAATATATCCAGCAGTTCGGAATGTAACCCATGATTTAGCTGGGTTAAGGTTATTTTACTACATATCCGATAAGCCGAATTTCCCCATTTTTTTCAAATTTCTGATTAAAATTATGAATTGATAACAGTAAATTGTGATAAAAAAAAACTATACAAAATCTATCAAGCGATTGCCAACAATTCGCCCTAATCAGCAATGACTACATACATTTAGTAGCGCATGACTAACAGAAACAACACTGTACGGTTTCAAGTAGACAGAGAGTTTAGTTTAGAGCGCTCAGCTCATAATGTAGTCCGTCTCGTTCTTTTCACTCGCCCAATACTGCTCGCACTGATGTCAATTTAAGCCGGGTGTATGACGAATTCGTCAGCTTGTAAATTCGCAACGAGAGAGTTAGCGAGAAATTCTCAAATATCTACGACCGGCGGTTCCACATCCATATATGGTAAAAGTTAGAGTCTTTACTGATAAGGAGCCACTGGGGCCTTTATAAGAGCGTGTTAACGTGTTTTCCTATCATTACATTTTGCGTTCTTGTAGTGTGTGCGATAAAGGAAGGCACGGAGCAGCAATATATACACAAAGTCCTATAAGACTTGAAATAATATTAATTAATTTTTAGTAAACTTAAAACTTAAACTAAAAGTAAGTACCTACATACAAATGTTTAAAAAAAAAATTACTCAGCTTTAAAACGAAAAATTATTTGATTTGTGACAAAAAAACTTCAAACCAAAAGTGCTTCGAATACAACGTAAAAAAGGAAATACTCTTGAGTGAGCAAAAAAAAACTTTACAAAGAACTTTTTGAAAATGAACAGTGAAATTTTGAAAGTTTTCTTATAGAAAATATGCATATACATACATACATAATTTTGGATTATATCAAAGCAAAAAACGAAAAAAAACCAAAAGAAAAAACGTGAGCGATGAGATAGTGAACTTTCAACAAATCTCATTAATAAAACCAAAGGAAATATCATTTCAAAATACTTGACCAAAATAACTATGTATCTACACACATATGTATATTGTTAAATATATTTTAAATTGAATCAAATACCATGTCATGTGCGTACATCACGCGAAAATTAAAATTATGCAATTAGTGTGTTTTGGACCTTGAGCGCATTAAGTGTGAATTTGATAAGATCTTGCGATGCCTAATCACCGTTATAACTGATACACACACCTGTGTATAAAGCCACGAACTTAAGAGCACATATAAATCCCATAGGTTCTGCTCAAATATCTAGAAATATACATACATACATAGTGCTTGTATCAGTTTGTAACATTGCTACTGAGAGGGTGTGGCAACCAACTTACCTGAGGTACGACTGGGGCAAACGTTTCACATTTTAAATTTCCGATTTACGCTATTACATGTATTCCTATTGAAAATACATAGCATATGTACAGAAATATACATGTACTTTTGTATTGACATATCTACGTGAGTCTGACTGGATACACTAAAGCAAGCATAGACATTGACCTCGCCAACGCCCTTATCAACTTATTGTTACTGGTAACTCCTACAAACGTTATATGTGCATTTACATATGTATATACATATGTATGTACATATGTGTTAATTTCTTTGCACATATAAAATTTCTTTTACATTTTTGGCACGTCAAAATCATGTTTCTATTGTAAACGCAAAGTTACCTTTGTATGCAGAGCGTATGTCAATATTTTTAAATTTTAAACGAATTCACTCTCATTTTGTTGCCGTTCAACGCTGTTTTCACCTACGAAACCTTGCCATGATCTATTGTCATGGAATACAATGCAATATAAAAGCCGTTTCTTTTTTTTTCTTAACATTTTTACCGAATTCGATTGAGGGAAAAAGAAAGTTTTGCAGATGCTCACACATTCATACATAGATACATGTTAACATGATTTTATTCACACGTTGACTTGTAAAGCATAGATCCGAAGATGAGCTAAAATTTCCGTCAGCCGGTTTGGATATTGAATTGGCCCACTTGCAGAAAAATACGAGCATTTAAATTTCTAATTAGAAGAAATGCAGCTTGCATGTGACTACTGTCTACGTTTTTGTACGTACATTCATATGTATGTATTTACTGTTTCTATAATACAGATTCTCTATGCAACATCATAGTCTTACTTAATAAACGTCTATACATAAATATATTGGTGTATATAGATAATTAAAACTAGTTTCTTTAAATGTTATTTGTATATACATACATTTGTATGTGCATACCTGCAAATGGTTAAAGCTTGCCGCACCCTATTCGCTATTATAGTCAACGAAATCCATTTCCCCCATATAAAATATTTTTTGTAAATATATCTACATACAAGCTTTTTTACCCACATATATCCATATATGTACATACACAATAAATACATTTATATGCATAGATACTGCGAGTATAAATGTATGTATCTTCAAAGTAAATAAGCTTCCTACATTTGAACTTGACTCATTTTTTTGCACTTCCGCCCTTGCCATTTCCCCGCTACTTTAATTCAAGAATTCCAAGTTTTTAAAGTAGCATTAGACCGTTAATTCGTTTCTGTTGCCTTTTTGGTCAAACGAAAATACATATACAAATCTTTTTGTATGTACATACATATGTATGTATGTATCTACAAAATGTATTTGTTAATAAGGCATATTATAAGAAAAATGCCGGTTTTGCCGAAGATGCTCTTTTATGGCATCTGAGTTTGGTTCAATTTTCACCCCCTGCTCTTTCTTAGCTTTAACAGTTTCTAGTTCTCCTACACTGACTGGCTCACTCACACTCATCGCACCATGTACACGCACAACGAACGTGATGGCTGAAAAAAAAGAAGTTACTTCTTTTTTTGTCGTTCGCAAGGGTAATTCGAGAAATCGCGTATGACGATTTTTCATTGCAGCACAGCAAACATGACCATATATGGTCACGAAAATGGTATCGCGATACTGCTTGAATATCTACTCAGAGAGCGACAAGTGTGGATTAAACGAAACGTGTTCGTTTGGCAAGTTGGTAGCGCCTAGCATATTGCCTTTGCACTCTCTCTTTTGCTTAGTAGGCAAGTTACGAGCCAATAAGAAAGAGTTACATAGATTTTGATTCCAATAGAGCGCTCTCACCATTCGGCGGGGAACAATTCGTTACTCGTTGAAATGATGACTCGTTGATAAGTAGAAATTTTAACTGGCATTTTTTGCTTAACGGCGTCCCATTCGTTGTTGGACTGTCAAAGTGCTTACTTGAATTTCTCCGTTCAATCTTTAAGCTTAGATTTCATTTGTGCCAAGTCAGCATCTCAAAGACCGTGAAATTTGTACCACACCTATAGTGCTACAATTAAAGTGTTTTAATTCAAGTTTATAATAAATTTAAAGGTGAGAAGTTATTGTCTAACATTTCACTTTTATTTTATTTATTTTTTGTGGTTACCGGTTTTGTAATAGGTCTATTATGCACGCATTTATTGATCCGGCCGGCTTTCGGCCATGATTGTATTGGTCAAACGTTTTTTCTTTTATTCGTGCTTACTAGTCATCCATGCTATTAATGTCGGGCGTTGCCCTTTTGAACGATTCTGATATTAACAATGATCTTTTTTTTAAGCTCATAACATAATATTTAATTTTTTTTTTATCGTCTAAGCGAAAATTTTTTTTATTTTTGTCAATTACTACTAGATTGCTTCGATTTTTCTTTCAAAGGCTTGTTAAATTTTGCTAAATTATTGTGAAATTGTTGAAATTTTATGTTTTCTCCTATATTCGCGCGTTTACTTCCATATCGTTTTACACAAATTTTGTACTGCTGCAACAAAAACTTTTGTTAAAATTGGAATTAAAAAGTCAAAACTACGTTCTAATAGCTATAATAAGGAAAAGAAGACCAACTACCGGAACTTGAAGTTTAGAAGTCAATACAAATCCAAATTAAATTTTTCAAACTAACGCATTCTATTTACATCGTATGTATGTGTATTAATTCGATGATTTCTTTGACTATTTTTAGCAAACAAAATGTGTGACGAAGAAGTTGCTGCCTTGGTTGTTGACAATGGTTCCGGTATGTGCAAAGCTGGTTTCGCCGGTGATGACGCACCCCGCGCTGTCTTCCCATCAATTGTGGGTCGCCCACGTCATCAAGGTGTGATGGTTGGTATGGGTCAAAAGGATTCATATGTCGGTGATGAAGCACAGAGCAAACGTGGTATCTTAACCCTGAAATACCCAATTGAGCACGGTATTGTGACCAACTGGGATGATATGGAGAAAATCTGGCATCACACATTCTACAATGAATTGCGTGTCGCCCCCGAGGAACACCCTGTTTTGTTGACCGAAGCACCTTTGAATCCAAAAGCTAATCGCGAGAAGATGACTCAGATCATGTTCGAAACTTTCAACACACCCGCCATGTATGTGGCCATTCAGGCTGTATTATCACTGTACGCTTCTGGTCGTACCACTGGTATTGTGCTGGATTCTGGTGATGGTGTATCCCACACAGTGCCCATCTATGAAGGTTATGCCCTGCCACACGCCATCCTCCGTTTGGACTTGGCTGGTCGCGATTTGACCGACTACCTAATGAAGATCTTGACTGAACGTGGTTACTCATTCACCACCACTGCCGAGCGTGAAATCGTTCGTGACATTAAGGAGAAATTGTGCTATGTTGCCCTTGACTTCGAACAAGAGATGGCAACCGCTGCATCCAGCTCATCGTTGGAGAAGTCATATGAATTGCCTGATGGTCAAGTGATCACCATCGGTAATGAACGTTTCCGCTGCCCAGAAGCCCTCTTCCAGCCATCATTCTTGGGTATGGAAGCCTCCGGCATCCACGAAACCACATACAACTCCATCATGAAGTGTGATGTGGATATCCGTAAGGATCTGTATGCCAACACTGTCTTGTCTGGTGGTACCACAATGTACCCAGGTATTGCTGACCGTATGCAGAAGGAAATCACAGCTTTGGCTCCATCAACAATGAAAATCAAGATCATTGCACCACCAGAACGCAAATACTCCGTATGGATCGGTGGTTCTATCCTTGCTTCTTTGTCTACCTTCCAACAGATGTGGATCTCGAAACAAGAATACGACGAATCTGGCCCATCAATTGTGCACAGGAAATGCTTCTAAATTGGTTAATGGTATTGCACATTATTTAACCAACCAAAATTCTAGAATTTTAAAATATTTTTTTTTTAAGTTTTCATTCAAATGTATTATTTTCTAATTATTTAAAATGTTACAAAAACTTGAGAGGAAAGAATAAGATTGGCAAACTCCTCTTATCATCCATTCGTCTTTGGACGAGTGGGATATGAGGAGAATATTATAGAACCAAAAAGCTGAAATGTCGATTTTTTTCTTTATTTGGAAATTTTCTAAATTCACAAATTGAAAACAATCAAAAAAATACCATTACAGTTCCATATGAAGTTAGAGAGATACATCTTCATTAATGCATATAACACATCTCACAAAATGCTCCCATTACAAATATGTATTCATGTGCACCATAAGCATAAAAAGACGTTTTGTGTTCTAATTCATAAAAATCAAGTTAGTGCTCAAAAAGAAGCTTTCAAATTTGCTTACTTATGTTAGCAAAAAAAAAACAAAGCTTCTAAATGACGCAAACTTTCCATTTTTATACTTGCAAGAGTTGTATTGTTTACACTTGATGTTTATTTTTAATTTCATTTTGTTTTTAATTACATGCGTATTGATTTTCTTACGCTAAAATGTTAATTAAACAAGAAAATTACTAAAGACTTGAACAACAAAAAATATTAATAAAAGAAATATTTTCTTAAACAAGCAAGACTTTGCCATCTGGCCCAATTTTCATTAGTATGATGTTAAGGTGCAGTCGGAAACATATATACCATAAGCGTAGTTTATTGTGCGTTCGGAATTTATATTACATGAATAACCCGAAGAAGCCAAGGTCATCGGAAACTATGCATATGAGTGTATATTTTTCTAACTTAGAGGTGAGGTTTATAAAGAGCGATTTGTTTGCAAAGGGTAAAATGAATTAATTTGCTATTACAACTTATGAGAAGAGCAAGCAAATAATTGTAATAAATTTGTCAACAAAAATAAACCAAGATACATATATACAAGATAAATAAACTATGTTAATTTTTATTCCGGAGTGAAAAGTAGATGCTTTATTGTATAATACGTACATAAACGCTTATTTTATAGGCATTCCTATATGGTCGTTTTTACACATCATCCTCCTATTTATTTTTACCCCTGGTGAAATGACATTATGCCTACATATATTCAGTTATGATATTTTGATTCGTAATAGGTTCGATGGCCGGAATAGCTAATTGGTTAGCTGCGCGTACTGCCACTGTTGTTATTGTTGGTGTTTTTGTTGTAGCTATCCGACACCACTTGGGAGCTGGCGAGACCGGTCTATGCCATTCTAACGGAAGTTTCAGGAAAAGAAATGTTTCGACGGGTTCGGGTTAGATAAGTAGCTTTCAAGGTATGGTAGTACCGCGCGGTGTCTCATTGCATGTACGACATACATTGGGTGCACTGGGGTCAAGTCTAGATAAGTCCACAACAATTTCCAGATCTTAATTTCGTTAGAATAATACTGGTCTCTCGGGAGAGTTAGTGCTCTTCGCCTGCAATGGGCTGTGATAGGAGCCCAATAAGGTCAACGAGAGTTCAAGATCTTAATGGATCTTCAGGGAATGGTATTTAAAGCCTGTCAGTACGCCAACCTGTCCAGCGGTTATGGAACATACTGCTGCATTGAGTCCTTGTAGTCGAGTACTTCCTTCCTGTTGCGGCTCTGTACTTTAGGGGCGGATGGAGGAGCGCAGGCTGTCGAATGTGTGCCGGTACTGCTTTGGCCAGCTGGTGTAAAGTGAGGCCGAGAAATTCGCAGGTTTAGCTCTACATGTCGTGCAGTGGAGAAGTGGAAACGATCGGCGAGATACCGTCTCTGTTGTTGTTGTTGTTGTGGTAGCGGTTCGCTAACCCCGCTTAGGCACAGGTTTGATCAGTCTAAGTCGCCGAGGTCATCTAGTGGTAGGTCCAGGAAACGAGCTGTTTCGACGGGGTTGGACCAAAGGGAGAGGGGGGTTAGATGAGTGGGTTTGAGGGGGCATGTGAAGAGGTGGTTAGTGTCGTGCGGAGACTCTCCTCATGCAGGGCATACGTTGGCTATGCTGGGGTCTAGTCTGGATAGGTAGGAGTTTAACCTGCTACAGTATCCAGACCTGAGTTGTGTCAGGGTCACGCGGGCGACCTAACCCCGTTTAAGTCTACAAGTAACTTTAGTTACCGTCTCTTTTGTCAGCCGGTTTTATGCAACAGTGGGTGAGTTCCTAAGCGTCAAAATACTTTGTAATGATGAGGTTGCGAAACCCTGCATCTTATAAATTTGCCTTGGGTCTAACATTTTGGAACGCTTTTCGTCGTCCGTTGTTTGTTTGGAACTAGCCGAGTTAACCCGCATTTTATGCTACCGAGGGCGACCTAACCTTGTTTATGTCATTAGAGAGCACTAGTCTATGTCTTCCCGATCTTGAAATATGGTTATTTGTGAGGCGCAGCTGAACAAATTTTCAGACTTCCGAATACGGGTAAAAACCGTGACGTGAAACCTCTCCTCATCCTTTACACAGCGAGACACCAAGACCGCCCCACCTTAATCATCATAACAACTTGCTTTGTAAACAGAATTTGCTGGGATTCCACTGAAGAATTCATTCCTGCAGAAACTCGCTTGTTAAGGAAATTTGTTTATAATATCATTATTTCATATTTTCATGTATTTTTTTTATAAAATTTTAATTTACTTACATACATTTATAGTAAAGAAAGTGGAAACAGATGCTTTGGTTTTTTATAAAACAAGCTCTAGCTAAATGGTACTGTACAACATACCATAAATATAGCGTGCTACAAAGCGTATGATTAGAACACCTCCAATTAAGTTTATAAGAAAATGCAATACTCTATAGATCTTCATGCGTGTCAGCGCGCCCTGAGAACATTCGGCTGGTTCATTCAGTAGGAAAACTCTCGCGCCTTGAATGCCCATGCGAAAGAATTCCTCGTAATCCAGATCTCTGTATTGTAAGAAGCCGAATTCACCACTGCAATATGGAAAGCAAAAGTTAATTATTTATACAATTAACAGAAGGGTTTGCTCACATTTCATCCTTTTCCACAAACGAATCCAGTTCATAAAAATTATCGTTCCTAAAGTCCCACTGTGTGGTCACAAAGTAATGTAATGCCAGAGTAGCAGCATAGATGCGCCGTTGTAACTTCAAAAGGCTACGGGGATAGGTGGATAATGATGAGAATGGAAACCATTTGATTTAACATAACTAAAGGGCAAACATTTTGAGACAAATTCGACTTACAATGGTTTCGTATTTGTAAAGCGCAAAGCAATATCGACCAAAATCGCCATTAAAACGTGTAACGTAACGAACTGAAAAGAATCGAACATAGATATTACAAAAACTAACCTATAACTAATAAATTCAAATTAATTATATATATTATATGAATATACAATATAAAACTCTGGTTAACAATATTTTCTTTGAGTCCCAAGCCAGATGCTTCTGCAAAGCTCCAAAGCACCTAACAATGTGTGTATTTTAATTCCTCTAAATTAAAATCGACAGAGGGACAGACGTGAACCTCCCATTAAATAAACTCAGCGTCATAAGCGAGACGTTTGGAAGGTGAGTTATGTCTCTGCTACACTATTCAGACCTCAATTTTGGCAGCATTACTCTGGTCTGCCATGAAAGCTCGAGCTCTTCGTCCGTTAAAGTGCTGGTTGGGTATGCCATTCATGGATTTTAGTCGCACTATGTATGCTCAACCGTGGGTAAATTCTCAAGCCCTTAAACCGCAGGCATCGTCGGTAGCTCCGCATGGCTGCTGTTGTCGTTTTTGTAGTGTTTCTCTCGTCTAAGAGTTAGTTCGTCTTATCCAGCGGTCCTGTTATGTAGTTCCTGCTTGGTAGTTCAACTTCCAGTGGATGGCTATAAAAATCTACCCTACATTAGCATCCCAGCATATGATGTATTCAACTGTGCTAACCTCGAATACTCCTACTTTTTCCCTCTCGACCCTTTACTACTAGGATCTTCCCTGTCTCGTAGCCGCTGATACTGTTGATAGTTACAAATTAAAATAAGCACTTATCTTTATGAGATTTATTACTTCATACTTGAGAGTCTAATACTATAAATATATTTGGCGTTTTGTAAACGTTTAAGCGATATTCGGCCGAGGTCCTGCTCTAATTTGTGCTATGCGTCTTGATGTTTTTAGAACAAATGGAGAGACCTATAATTTATTCTACGCCGCCTCTGAATGGTTGTTAAACACTTAGGTGGGGCTTTTATTTTATGTCAGGAATACTACGTCCAAGGAAATTCGCAGCTTACTTTCAAAAAAGTTGTACTCGACATGCTAAAAAGGGGCAGATAAATAAGTTCTAATTAGTTAAAACCTTGCTTGTCCAAGCTCAGCATGCCTCTCTTCTGTGCTTACTTAAGCTCTTCTTCATAACACTTTTATTCAGTAAAAAAAAGCGCCGCTGAAGCGGTTCTCGGGCAATACCATCCAATTGTGGTGTGCGTCTTGGTATTTCTCTAACAAATGAAGAGACCTACAGTTTATACGAAGCTGCTGATGATTTTTCATGAGTAGCCTTTATTTCAAGCTCAAAATACACTCGAAGGGATTGCGACTTTCTACCGAAGGGTGTCCGTAATTTGAAATATAACTTTTCTATAATTATGGATGTTGGTCGTACCAGGACTCGAACCCGAATGTTATTAAGCACTGCTAACTACTCGGCTATTGCTGCCGCCCATGCATACTCGTACATACCCGTATAAAATTCCACACTGCACAACGTGTTATGCTGCCACCCGGTACCCATAACGTTTTTTCAAACGGCGTTTTCTTGATAACTTTCTTGCCAATTTCAATTACTTCACCGGTCCGTATGGGACAGATTTTCGCTGCAGCACAGTTGATAATTTCCATTTTCTTTTGATCTTTATTACTAACCACAAAGAAAAATAATAATTTTATATAAAAAATATTGTTTCAGCGGTGTTTAGCAACAATTACCTTTCTTCAGCAGCCTTCCGACATGTGGCGATTAGCATGGCGCGGACGACTATATCCACTGGCACAAAATCTGAAATAATATTCGGCTCACCACAGCTTGTACGGAATATACCAATGCCGCAAGCCACCAGCATGCCAATGGGACCATTAAAGTTGTCCACCCAACCGGGTACAGGATCTTCAATCGACGACACGACTGCAATTGAAATTTTAATAATGCAATATAAATTTTTACCTTTATTTACAAAATACTTATTAAAATCACATTAATATTTACCTATTGATGGGCGAAATATGACCAGAGGCAATCGATCCTTGTACTCCTTGATAATTTGTTCCGCTAAGCTTTTAGTAAAGGTGTAGGTATTCGGCTGAAAATCGCCATATCTACATATATATGTACATTTATGTATAAAAAAAAATCGAAAAAGGTAGTAATATTGAAAGTTCGCATTTTTTCCATAAATATTAAACTCACTTTAAATTGAAAACATTCAAGGTTTCAGTATCATAAGTCTCCGCTAGTTTAATCGTTGTACGCCAGTCGGCATATGATGGATAAAACTGAAATAACCGTTAATACAAATTAAAATTTTTCCAATTTTCAATAAAAAACTGTACGAGAAGTTATCACCTTCTCCTCAACAATACGCCGATTTGGATAACAGTAAGTGGTGGACACGTGCATAAAGACCTTGAGCTGCTTCAGAGTTTCAGCGATTTTAATCAGCTCATAAGTTCCACGGGTATTCATTAGAATAGCATCGCGCAATGGATCATCGAATCTGAAATTGTTCAGAAAAGTTGTGTGCAACTTATAGTGCCGTTATGTTGGTAAATTGTTAAAACTGTTTAAAAGTAAAGACCTCGGTTCAGACTTGTTCCACACTATTTATATCTGGAATTCAAACCTTGGTCTTATGCCTTTCGTTCATATTTTTGCGATAAAGAAAAAGGCTGAATTTTTTTGAGTGGATTACAGTTATCTTCACAAATCTCAAAGAGTTTTAAATTATTTTTTTTACTTATTTAAGCCGTGGGCTCTGAGCTCTTAAAGTTGATTCTACGCCCCATATTATTTTGAACATTTTTTGCAGCAATCAGAGTCGTATCTTAACAATAATGCGCCGACTATTCTCTTCAAAAGGATCCTTCGTCTCGGGCTTATATGTGAAGACAAGCAACTTCATATAATACATATATAATTGGCGCTTTGTAACTGCTGAAGCGATTTTTCGGTCGAGGTCCTCCTCCAATTCGTGGTATTGCGTCTTGATGTTTTTCCAACAGTTTATACTAAGCCAGTTTATACTAAGCCGCCTCCGAACGGCTGACGTTTTCTTACGAGCAGCCTTTATTTCATGTCCGAAATACACTCGGAGGGGTGGACATTCCCTGCCGGACGGCGACCACAATTAGAAAACCTAACTTAATTTTTATTTAAAGTAACTTTCCATAACTTTTGGATGTTGGTACCATCGGGATATGAATCCGTATGTCAGTACGCAATTTTAACCACTTGGCTACCGCGGCCGTCAACTTCACATAACCCCATGGAAAATATTCCCACAGTACTAAATCGTAGGCCGCTGACCCACTGCGTGAAATAATGAGCTCTCCAAAAGTTTCCTTCAAAAGACTAATTAAATCTTTAGCTTTATGGCAACTAGCGTCGTCTTGTTTGGAACCAAAGGTCGTCCAAATCAGCAGCTTTCAATTCAGGCACGAGAAAGCCATAGTCATCGCTCTGTAGCTTTCCCTATTATCTGTAACAGTGAAATCGGCTTCAGTTTGGAAGAAATATGAATCTATGATTCCCTCTGCCCACAGAGCACTCCAAACAGTGACTTTTTGAGGATATCTCAACGGATTCTCAATATTGCCTTTTGGATTACCATCACTTTGAATGCGATTAACGTACCCACTGAACCAAAAATGTGCTACCTACAAACGAAGATCCTTCCGGAAAATCTTCCATAAAGCGGGCACAGCTCCAACTGTTGCGTTTGATGGCCGAAGGACTCATTCGAGTCTGCTACGATACTTTGCTCCACAGGAAGAATATCGGTTCGGAATGCACTGTATGGCATCTTTGATGATGGGAATTATCCACCAGAGTAAACATGGTACGAAACCAATTCATGGCAGCTCGAGTTACCGACTTGTTGGGCGCACAAAAAATTGTTTATTGCAAAAATTTAATTTTAGATTCAAAAAAAATGTTCTTATCAAGGAGTTATCCATTTGTAAAGGTATCACGCAAGTATGTATCTTAGTAGCAGAAGAAGTCCCTCTCTTCTCCAAAATATATATCGGACGGTTTGGATGGGACGATCCGAGTTGATTTAAATATGTCCAACAACCTAAAGACGTGCAGGGTCATAAACTATTTAGACGTAGGACTGGATTCTAGACTTACTTAGTGGGCACAAATGCAACATGCAGCAGGTTGAGGTCCAACTACTTATGTCAGCGACTATTAACATCCTACTTTATGGGGCAGAAATATGGGCAGACACATTAAAGTGAGATAACCGCCGCAAGATTATAGCCAAAGTCTTCGATTTTTACCTATTCAAAAAAATGGATCAAAGAACCTGTATCAAATTTTGTGTGAAGAACGAAATTAAGTGCGCGCATGCATTCCGAATGTTGACTGTGGCATACGGAGAAGCTACCTTGGACCGAAGCAATGTTTATCGGTGGTACAAAATGTTCTCAGAAGGCCGAGAAGATGTGAACGACGAAGAGCGTGCCGGACGCCCGAGCACTTCAACAACAGACGAAAAAATTAATAAAGTGGAGAAAATGGTATTGCCACAGGGTAGAACGGTCAATAAAGAATATAACCTGGATGCTGTAAGCGCAATTTGCGCAAAGCAATCCGCCAGAGACGCCCGGATTTGTGGAAGAACAAAAATTGGCTTTTGCACCACGATAACGCCGCTGCTCACACATCGTTGATTGTGCGCGACTTTTTGACCAAAAGCAACACACTAATGATGCCGCAGCCATCGTATTCCCCAGATCTGGCCCCCTGTGACTTTTTCATGTTCCCTAAACTGAAGAGGCCCATGAAGGGGCGACGTTACGCTACGATTGACGAGATAAAGACGACATCGAAGGAGGAGCTGAAGAAGATAAAAAAATGATATTTTGAAGTGCTTCGAAGATTGGAAAAACCGTTGGCACGAAATTCGCGATATTTTCTTGACACACCTCGTTTGTAAACACATCAAGAGACGACATAAAACTAGATACGTACAACCGATGGCAGAGTCGTTGGGAAAGAGAAACCTGTGGCAGATGGACGGCCAGGCTAATAGAGGACGTAAAACTTTGGTCACATAGAACATTCGGCGAGGCAAACTATTAAATCACCCAGATGTTGTGTGGACACGCTTACTTACGGAAATAGTTACATAAAATTGGCAAAGCACAAGATCCGTCCTGCATATATAACGACGCCAGAATATACCTCGGCTGACTTTTACGCGACCCAAGATAGTTAGAGATGGCACATCATCTCGCTACTGATAATACTAACTGCGGGAACTATTATTAATATAAATAATAGAATTTTTTCTATAAGATTCATTAGCATTTCGTTCCTGTAATAAGCAACAACGAACCCTGGAAATTCTCGCTATTTGGATCAACGCGCAGCGATTCAATTTCTATGAGATGTCATCTTTAGGACTCTGCCGCTTCATAAAAGATGATGAAAAAATGGGCTCGACTGTGTCAAAAAGAATGAGGGACATATGAATAAAGTCGAAAAATTAGTACTGCCTGATTGAAGAATAAATTTGTGGCAGGTAGCAAAAGGATCACAGATTAGCAAAGAATGAATTTGCAAGAACATTCAAATGCTCATGCCGCTCGGCAAGCAGCGACGATTGGAGAATGGCAAAGATTTATTGGAGTTATGCCAAGATGATTTGGATTAAATTTTCAACCGCATTATAACTATTGATGGAACTTAGATTCGTCAGTATGATCTCGAGTTCAAACAGGAGTCGATGCAGTGGATAAAAGGATCAAAGATCACAAAAAAAAATCAAAGTGGAAAAGTTGGCTTCGAAGATTGTGGCTACCATTTTCTAGTTGGAGAAAAAACACAATAAATATATGTGTTTCATTTAGGCCGCAAACTTATCAGCTGCCCTTCGTATATGCCAAACTTTAAACAAATCGAACCATGAATACGATTTTGCTTTCTTATCGGATACCTTTGTCATACTCAGAAGACACCCTACAACTACGATCAATGGTTTAGGCTACGAGTATGTACATTATTCAGGACACAACCTTTTATATATACATAGTATATAGATAAGTACAATATAATAGGCGCAATGTAACCACTGAAAGCAGTTTCGGCAGGGTCCCTCTTTCTGGTTGTCATTTGCGTCTTGATGTTTTTCAAACCTGCTTACGAATTTCGAATTTCTTGTAAGGAACTATTTATTTCTGTCGCAAATACATTCAGAGCGGTTGGCATTCTCAGTCGACCGTAAATATAATATTTTTTACAATTTTATTTGCTGCACTGCCCAGTAGTAAGGAAGTAGCGTGTCTTAATAAACTAAATTATGTAAGTAACAAATGTACAAATATACATTACCTCACACTGGCAGCCGAGTGGTAAATAATATTTACATTCTGCAATAGTTTCAAATCCTTTTCGTTGATGCCCAGACCCAATTCGCTACAGTCGCCAGCGATAGCGTGTACTTTCTTTAAAGCTTGCGGCTGTTCCTGCCTGACGCGCTCAAATAATTTCGACTGTAGTATATCGCTTAGACGCTGCTCAATATGTTTTCCTTTTTTTGGGCGCAATAGAACATACACGGCAGCCACATTTGGGCAAGAACGCAAAATCTTTTCAATGAGTCCCTTACCAATAAAGCCTGAAATTGTTTTTTTATTTTTATTAACCATTTTTTGTAATAATTTCAATTAATTTTTTTAATGATATATATACATATGTATCACAATGAGGCTATGTACTGAGACTCACCTGAACCGCCAGTTATGAAAATCTCTTGGCCAACAAAAAACTGTGAAATTAGCATTGTTTCTAAAAGTAAAAAAAAATTGACTAATAATTAAAATTTGATCATAATATCAATCGATCATTTCGATGTAGTTCGTTACTTAAGAAAATTACATGCTCAATTTTTATTTACACGTATTTAAAGACCAGGTTCAATTTTGTTGAACTTTTTATTGGTAATATATTGATTTGCGATTAAAATTAAATTCACATTAACATTTTCTACTTGCTAACATTGACACTTTACTTGCGTGTGCGTATTAAACAACCGTTGTCACAGTAATTTGAATTGCATATGCATATTTACTGTGAGTTAAGAGTTCAATATATATTTTAGCGGTACATTAACCTCACATTGCAACGTGTAGTTTGCAGTTTAACTATTCACTTTTGAAATTATGAAGTATACTAATAGGGGTAAAAATAAATAATAAAATGAAACCACCGGAAAAAGCAAAAAATTGTACATTTTTTATTTAGCCTCCATAAATAAAATGTAAGTGTACCTTAACAATTTTTAGTCGTATTTAATTTCATTAATGAATACATGAATACATATATTATATATGAATTATGTAGAGTATTATGCACAATACGCAGCTTCGCCTGACAATGTCAAGCGTTCACGAAGTAAAGCGAGACAGCAACCCGAAGAGGCACACGAGCGTTAGGGGCAGATCCAGCTGGGGAATACTATCTCTATATCTTATAGAGTACTTACAAATTCGTGAGACCTGTCAAACCAGATTATAACGGTGCTTTAAGCACCTGAAGCAGTCCAAAATTTCTAATAGATCTTTTGACAGTAGATATTGTAATTAAAGTTAACGCTTTGGCCGAAATTTTAGCTGCGCTCATTTGGTCATAAAAGCATTCAAAGTAAAATAGGTTAAGGTTATCCAGCACAGCCAGTTTCCAGGAAGCCAGCACCTTTAATGTTTAATCGCTGAAGATTACACGATTTATTGTTAGTTTGATTTGGTTATTATTTCAGTGGTCCCTACGAGTATTCATTGATTTTAAACGTCGAGCCAAATTATTTAGGTAAACTTGCATTAGTTTCAGATTTTTTTTATTAAAGCTAAATAAGAAATTTATAATCTTTTGCTTTTTATTTAAAATTTTTAACTTTTTATCCCAAAACTTTTAGTGACCAAAATGTGATATTTACTTCATTTCTTCTAACTTTTTTTGTAGCATGCAATTCACATTAAATCACATCTCTTACGATAAGAAATTCCGATATTTGTTTCTCAATTTTATGTGAGACCAAACTCTGGTAACCCCCTATTAATAAAAGAAAAGTTATCCCAATTGGATTACCTGACAATGGGATATGCGGGATTATACTCTAAAATCAATGAAGGAATCTCCCGTTCCAGGCTCTCTAATTGAATTCTTTTTTCGAAGATTATTTGGGACCAAGTTCGAAATATACCCTATCCAATGCAACAGAATTATCGAAATTGGACTATGTGGCAACGGATATATGAGATTATACGATGAAATTAAGGAAACATTCCTCCTTTCCCACCATTTTCGTGAAAGTTTTCGTCCAGCTTTCGATGGAACCAATTACTAACTTTACCTTTTCCAATAAAAGAAGAATTATCAAAACCTGACCACTTTAAAAAAAAAAAGTTATACATGGTCATATATAAAAAGATTCGAAAAATTCAACTCAGGTCCACTTGACGGAAAGAAAAGGTTATCAACATGTTAACTTAGTAAAAAAGAGAAGAATACAACAATAACTTCGAGCCCCAATCGGTAGTATTAAGATATATACAGATGGTTCTAAATTTGATTGAAGAAATGGAGGAGGTTCCACTTTCTCCAAAGACCCACCTTTTGAGCTCTCTTTCAGGCTATCCGGCCAACTATAACGGAACTCAACTCAAGTGCAAGGATATCTTTATTTTCAACGAAAGCCAGGCAGCGATTAAGCCGCTTGGCTAACTTTCAAAGATTTCAACATTTTTGCTGCGGGCTGCTACCGATCTCTGCAGGAGACGAGCAAATAGAATAGGTAATATCTGATATGGGTTCCTTATTATGGGCCATTGAGTAAAATTGATAAAAGATTCTTCGCTAATGTGTATACTTTTTGTTACATTTAAACTGCTACGGATTGCCTTTACGTATGGGCTGGCTAAATTAAGGTGGAACCACAGGGCTACTTGTAAAGAATATCTAGATAAACTTTGCCAAAATGGGGCTGAACAAGATCAAGGGAAATATAATATCTCAAAAGAGAGAACATTTCTAAAGTTTTAGGAGTCTTAACAGGTTACTCGAGTTCCATTCAGGAGCTGCTGTAGAAGCTATGAGAAAATTGAAGAGCAAGAAACGGTCTGTCATCTCCTTTTGTGTGCTCCGCCTTGGACTGATAACTATGCGGGCATTTCATCTACGATTTGTATAAACTTAATGAAATTTATAAATCAATCAAAGTGAATGGATAATACAGCTTAGTGATCGGATAAACACCGTGTTATTACAATGGGCCTGCACTGATCTAGTTATCATCGATATCCACTTCTAGTTGACCTTACCTAGGCATTGATTAGGACACTTTTTTGATTTCACTTAACATTCCCACTGAATATTTGATGCGCTGGAAAAAATTAGTCTATCTCTTTTAAAAAGCACTTCCCACATTATATTCGTTCTGCCTTCATGAAGCTTATCCTTGTTTTTCCGTGACTCAGTGTAGCACTAATTATAATTCTTTCTTGGCCAAGCTACATGGTTTATGGGCGATCCCTAGTGAATACTGCAAATAATATTTCCACACAAAAAGGGCCATCCGGTATGCTAAAATTACAACGAGTTGGTATTGCTAAAGCTCCACCGGACAACGCAGGCTTAATAAATCACAGAGAACAAGCGCACTTGAGTTGTAGATGTGGAATCAAACTAGAGAACACGAAACATGAACACTATTCGAGATAACTACGCCAAACCGCAGTGATTCATCAGTTAAAGTCCATGGATTAGCGGAAGTGTTAGACTGTATTATTAAATTAGATAACTGAATTTTTTTTATAACTTTGTTCAAAAACCGCTCGTTTGTATTTATCGTCCTTACGTTAATTTATATAAATATGTATATATGTGGACTTCAACAAATTTTACACAATAGAATCCTTTCAAAAAAGAAGAAAAAAAGAAAATATATTCTTAATAAAATGTACCGTAAAAATTGCAAGAGTTCCGTTTCAATTGTCTTTTACACCGAAGGGTTTCAAACTCAAACTGAATCAAAAATTTTCTATAAATTGGCCGAGGTGGTGGCTTTAGTTCGATTCAATACTACTTCATGAATAAATAAATAAACCGGAATGTAAAGAGGAACGATGGAAACAATGTCGTGTAATGTGAAATAAATTATACATTGATTAAAAATGCAGCAAAACTTATTTACTGGCAGCGCTTTAATGTTTTTTTTTTTACTCAAGTTTTATTTATTTCTTTTAATTTTTGCTCCCTCCTTTAACATTCATGCCCTGGCCAGAGCAATATCCAAAATTATATAAAACTAATTTAAGAAAAAATGTATATTATACTTCTAATTGCAGTTGCTCCTCGCCAAGCAATGTCAACCCCGTCCCCCGTCTTCGATGCTCTCTTTATTCTTCTGTATATTGGGATAACAGTCAGTAATAGAAAGAAAGCACTAACATTGATATTCCGGTTGGCTCAGACCGGAAACACTCTAGATTTATTTAATTTGGCAGCACTCGAATTAACCAGATATGCAGGAAATTCATTAAAAAACAGGGTACAATGTAAACTTTGAAGTAAAATTTTTTAAAATATTAAAAGAACAATGATCAGCTCCACCACAAATGTCTTGCAAAAGTTGAGTACAAATATTAAATAGTGGAAAATATTTATTTTTATTTAAACAAATCAGCAACACTGAATGTATGTCAGTAGGGTTGATTCGAGATCTGTAGAAAGCCCTAGTGCCAATGCAGATATGACTTTTGTGCGACAGAACGACTTTGACGTCTAAGATGAATACGTGCAACTCTACGAGATGTCACTCATAACAAAGAACGCATATGAATAATTCATATACGTTCTTTGCTATATCTTATAACGAAAAAAACAACAAACACTTATTAAAAAACAACAACGCCACTATGCAAATTAATACGACAATATTAATGTTAATTATGCGTTGGTTTCTAAATTATTAGAAATGGGTATATAAAACTGATTTTAGCGATTCGTTAGCGCCAGCGTTCCTTATATACGTTCTTTGGACAGAAGGTTCAAAATATAAGTATAAAATAATTTCGCATGAATTAAATTTAATTGGCCGTTAAGAATTATGGACATTTTTGAAGATAAAATTTATAGGCTTTGGGGAAAAGCTTATGCCAAAGTTCAATTAATATATTGTTACGATTTTACTGAATCAACCTCGATTATTTTCTAGATCCTTCGGGTACGATCTCTGGATTGTTAAATAAAAACTCGCCAACTTAATTTGCAGTTTCTTTCGTTATAAAGATTCTATCTAATGTCCTTTATTTTCTCAGTAATTCACAATTCAATTATACTGCACTTTACTATTTATAATCACTAACATCAACTTTCACAATTTACTCTACTTAAATGTAATTCCCAACGCGTTCACTTTACGTCTTCACTGATGTTAACGCCAACCAATTTGCTTTGTCACTGCTTGACTTGCAGCTGAGTGTCGCCTTTATATAGCAGTCGGCTGCTCGCAGACGAAAGCGTAGAAGCATCGAATTGTTCGCTATGGAAGGTTCTTGTTTTATCGTTTCTAGAACGTACTAATTATCGGCTTCTCTCTTTCATCTGACATTCGCCTCGCATTTTCGCAACAATATTTATAAAGTTGTTACACGAGAAAAAAAATGGTTTTATCGGTTCTTAAACATTTCACCATTTTTAGTACCCGGTACAACGTTGAACTCACATCACTACTGACAGCCAAGCGTATATAAAAAAGTTTTCTGAATAGTTTTTCGACTGTCAAATAGTTAGAAAAGAAAATTAAAAATTATTGGTTTAACAGAAACAAACTTGCTCTACTTTTAATTTTGGCAATTTTTATGCAATACAAAGTGTTGAATGTAAAATAAAAATTTCAAAAAATTCTTTGCTTACTGCCGCTGATAATTTACAAATTCGCTCTTTGGCATTAGCATCATTGACGAGCGAAGGGTGCAGAAGCGCCAGCGCCAACAGCAATATTCAGTATATTAATAATAGCAAATATCTGAGGCATAAATTTTACTGTATATGCTTACATTGAGTGTAAAGGAGGCTATTAAATGAAGAATGGCTACTACACAGCAATATTCGCTTCGTTGGAACAACTATTTTCGGCATTTAACATATGCTTTGGACAATCACCGCAACAACGATGATTTTGTTGACGTGAGTCTGTGCTGTGATGGCCGAAAAATTAAAGCCCACAAAGTAGTACTCTCATCCTGTAGTTCTTATTTCAAAGAAATATTCAGGGATAATCCTCATCCCCATCCAGTTATTATTTTCAAATTCATCAAATTCGAAGATCTCACCTCAATTATTGAGTTCATGTACCAGGTATGTATATTATAAAAATTACTTTATCGTTGCATAGCAAAGTTATTCATTTTCATTCGTTATAATAGGGTGAAGTGAATGTTCAGCAAGAAGCTTTGCAATCATTCCTGCAGACCGCCGAATTACTTGCCGTACAAGGGCTTACTGCTGAGGAAAAGGAAAAACCTAAGTTGCCTCCAACGCCAATTATTGATGAACAAAAACTAATTAAAACCATACCCAGTACTATAAGAGCGGTGAACGATGTAACAACTGCGACGCAGACAACACCGCAAACTATAGAAATACCAACAGCGACTATATTGCAGCAGACCCAGCCTCAGCAGCAGCAACATACCGCCACCCAGCACCATCACGTACAAACTCAAATTCAACATATTCAAGTGCAACATCAACCACAGACCCATGTACAAACTCAGGTGCAGCAACAGCAAACCACAACTCATCAGCTGCAACACCAACATCAACAAATACAACAAACTCATTTGGGTACGTTGCCTTCGACGAATACGATCAAGAAACGTAAAATGACATTCTCAGATGACGATGATAATATATATACAACAGAGGGTGTAGATTACGGGGTTAAGGATGATTCGACAATCGTAAAAAGTAATAAAATTTAATAAAAATAAGGCTAAAAATAATGAATATATAAATAATTTTTATATTTTAGCTGCAGAGATGACATTCCTTCGTGGCACTGTTAAAATGGATATACCTGAGTACATTGTTAGTGAAGTTGACGATAGTGAACAGTTAACTGATGGTAGTGTACAACATACATCACAAGACGGTGGCGCGGCAGGTACGCAAAACGTTACACAGTACACCTCCGAATATGAAATTCTGACCGAATCAGAAATAGAAGAAAAATATCAACAAGCCGATGCAGAGAATGCAGAAATAACGATCGAAATGGGTAAAAAATAAAAATCAAATATTTTTTATAAGCTTACATACAAATGTATTAATCAATATGTTAATATTTATAGGCCGTCTACTGAATCCAACGACGAGTACACCATCAACAACGACACCGCACGCTACTCTAGATGAATCAGGTGGAAGTGTCACTAATGCTATAGTAAAAATTGATAATAAAGTCTCTGGAACTGCAGGTAAGCTAAATAGAAAAAAAAATATGAAACGATCTACGAGAGCAAATAAATATAGTATTTATATTCATTTGAAATTCACCTATATTGGTAATTAAGAGTTAATGTTGCCTAGGGTAATGTTTTATTGCATTTGCATGGAATATGGTGAAAGAAATTTTAAATCAACGCGTAACAGGTGATGATTATTGGAATATCTCTTTCTTTATGAATGTTTTCTAATTAGCCAGATTAGGATCTTCGTTTATAGTAGACTTTTACATGTGTCAAAACTTATTTCTTATTATGAAAGGAAAAAAGTTTATGTTAAACATTTGCCATAAAATTTGAACTGTGGCTTATATATATTTTTAAAAAAAAACTTCATGATTTTTACACTAAAACCAAAGTTCACACATATTTATATGCTTTGTTAAGTTTTTTTTTGTAATCGCGTAAATTTTTTGAATTAAAAACTTTTTTATTTATTGAAACAAATGGACGAATTAATTTTTTATTATAAATACTTAATATACACTGATAGCTCTGCTAGCGAATTTAAAACAGCTAAAATTTCTTTAAGCGCTGCAAATGATACCGTAATGTGTTGTATCAAAATTTGCGTTATTAATCAAAAATGTTTATTGTGATTACTATATTAATTGTAATGTAAATTCTGTAAACTAAATTTGTGTCTACTACGATGAATATGTCTCCAAATATTAGCATTTTATTTTTATTATTTTATTACTTAACAAATATATATTTATATTTTCATCATCATCTTGTCCAATAATTGCAATTGGCAATTTCCAATGCTAGTATACCAGCTATACTATGCTATTCTAAATTATAAATCGAAAATTTGAAATTAAAAATAAATGAAATAAGTTTAGTCACTGCCCAACATAACTTTTGTGCTATTTTTTTGTGTATTTTTAGATTTGCCAAATAATAAGTGGACAGAATGTCAATTTTGCAAAATGGTCATAACCACGGTTAATCTTTGGAGACATATTCGAACGCAACATACGCCGCAACCGCCACGCAAATGTGAGCTATGCAACAAAAATTTCAAAAACAAATACAGTCTACGCGAACATATACGCATTTCGCATGAGCAGAAAATCACAGTGAAATCGGAAAACTGATTGACAATATTTCATTTACGTCGTTAAATATATGCCGTACAACCAACACCGAATATAGTGATGTCCTTTCATAAATACTGAGGAGCATAAACAAATAAATGTTAAACTTGAGCTGATGAAAAGGAAATCCGAAGCGTACACAGCTTAAGGAAACGTGTTAGCACCAACCAAAACAAATAGATATACATAGATGGAAATGTGCATTAATTAAAACGTCAAAGTGTTAAGTTAAAACCAGTGAAGAAACACAGAAATACGTCCATATAACTTTTATAAAGATGTAAAAAAAAGAGAAAATATGAAGTTGTAATCTTTAAAATAATGGATTAACACTAAAATAACAACAACTGAAACGTGTTGCGACAGTGAGATTTAGCCTAAAAAGTGCAAAGTAGATTTATTTTAATTAAGCTACGTTTGATTTGCAATATTCAATTAATATTGATTGATTGAGTTCGAGTAAAATCTTATTTCAGCAAATTTTTTATTTAATATAAATATATTTGGCGCTTTACTGAGGATGTCCTTGACTTTCTATACCCATAGACTCGGTAATATTGCACAAATCTTTCTCATATTTTTACACATTGCTTTACCCGGCGCTTGACTCGTAGCACTTATTTCTACGGATTCGGTTACAGTGATGACTGATTTTCCTTTAAATCTCCATTTTTTCTATATTTCTTTAAGTGTTCGACTAATATTAAAAATGATAAATTAACAATGGTAATTCTATTAATCCTTGCTCTAACTATGTGGTTTCCTCACTAATATGTTGACAAAATTGCATATGAGAAAATTTTTAAATTTATACCGTAAATAGTATCATGAAAAGCTTAAAACTAAAACTTCATATCAAACAATACGAATTCATTAAATGATGCTAGTATTGGCTAATGTTATATGCTCAATATTTTTGCTAGATTGTCAAGGTTTATTATGTTTACAAGGCGTCTTTTAGTTTATTAGTATAATAGTTGAATTTAGTGTTGGAAGCTGGTCTGAAGCATTGAGATTTTAAATGAAGTATCGCGATTCAGTAAAAAAAATTCCTTATTACAAACAAACCAAAATCTAAAAATAATAAATCATAATAATTAGAAGTAAGCTGACGAGCCGAGAGTAGTTGAACACCATCTTGCACTATATATAATGAAAATAAAGTAGGTGTGTTGTATAAATTTAGTAAGAATGTATCATGTATCAATAACAATCAAATATCTATTGTAAAAATTTATATAAAATATATTTAAAATAATTTTAATTACACATAGTATAAATTAATATTAAGATTGATAAATATACGTAGGTATATCGTATACAATAAATATTGTAGACTTAAATATTAAAAGTATGTTTGTGTTGTATTAATGGAATTAATTTAATATGCAAACATACAGACATTTATACGTATAATCAACTGAAGTATTTGCAAAAAAAAAAAAACAACTCAAATTGATCATCTTTATCTACATATTTATTTTTCGATTAATTTATTATCGAAACGATTGTTACACATTTGAATTGAGTAGAAGAGTTTTTCATTTAAATTCAAATACCAAATCAATTGGAATATCAAAATTTTTAATTTTTTGTATTATACATATGTACGAGTATGTACGTAAGCTTAAGTTATAGTAATAATTTTCGAAATACTTTTTACCTTGAACATATTGCTTAAAAAATTATCCAAATTTGTATTGTATTTATCAATTTGTTTAAAATTTCTAAAAATGAAAATGATTTTGTTAATATTTAAGAAGTAAACGCAAAGGTGTTTTTAATCTTCAAGCGGTCGCGCGGTTATTTTTAACGGCAGCAGTCGCGCGTAATCGCAAAGGCCTATTTAACTAATAATCTTAAATTTTTTTATATTTAGATATATTATCAATTTGTCGTAAAACAAGTAATGTAAATTCAGAAAAAAGCAATTATAAAATCAAATAACATAACTTAATAATGTAATTATGAACGAAAACATATTTAGCGCGGTCGATTCAACACCGCGTGCCCACTTGAAGGTTAAAACAATAATTTTCGATATCCAACAAGAACAAATTTTATATTAGCTAAAACGTTTGTTTCAACACTGAACTTTTCCTATTATCTTATTGTTCTCATTTGTTTAATCAAAAACTAATAAAAAAAATTGATGAAATTACGTATAAATAAAAAACATACAGTATACATACATACAAAAACAATATAATCAGTAATGTACTGTAAGCAAAATTTGAAATTAAATCAATGAATTTCTAGTTTTTTACTCGAATTCGAATTTGAAGCTAGACCTCACCTGCATATGTATTTAAAACTTGAAATTCGAGCAAACTATTTAGTAAAAATTGAAGATAAACCTTAATAAAATTATAGAAAATTATTGTAATATAATCTTTCATTACTATACTATATGTATTATAAACAGACACATTTGTAGGCAGCTTAGGCTTTTAATATAATTTTGAAAAATATAAATGAATGTCGAAAAATGTACAAATGTTTAAATTTTTACTTTTCTAATACTCCTCGTAACGAGATCCACAATTTTATCAAATTTTAATTTACTCAAAAGCGGATTATTTATTCATGTATGAAATGCAGTATGAAACAAATCGGTTAAGGTGGTAATAGAGAAGGTCAAAAACTTTTTGTAGATCTGGAAATGTTAGGGCAAACGAAAGTCCTTCTTATATGAGATGGGTTATGTTATGTTATGATCAATCCAGTCAACAAAAGGCGCACAGGAATAGATGCAATGTAACATAGCATATAGGTACTGACTTACCTACTTGCTTACAGTATATACATTTCTCAAAGTTCAGATCACTTAAAATTGAATCTTTTTGTTATCTTAACGAACCTACCGTCTTTATGAAATATTTTAAAGCTCAATTCCTATCTTAATTATTCTAGTGAAGTTATTTTTTATCGATGAAAATATCTATATATCTAATAATTTTAATTTTCATTTTTCCAGTGGAAGTGCAAAATTTAACGTGTAAATTTTGTAAAAGAAAATTGCAGTCGCTGAATGCGTTGCGTCGTCACATAACTTCACGACATTCAGAAATCTCAGGCAAAGAATACGAATGCACTATCTGTAGCAAAAGTTTCAAAACGAAATGGTCCTTATCAACACACAATTCACGCTTTCACCGGGACATGCGAGTAACAAGGGAATGTATCAAAATGGATTTCGCTTAAAGAAGGAGCAAATTTATTTCTGGCTACTTAGTCCGTTTGGTGAAATTCTGGCAGCAGAGATAAGGCATTAATTTTTTCTGTTGTGAATGTTGGTAATTTTTATAGTTCTAATAATAGAGGTACAAATGCATATGTTTAGAATAGCATCATTTCATTATGTAATAATTACATTATTTTTTATGAAATTTTTTAAAACTTGATTTCATTACAAATAGAAAATAAAATTATATGAAAATATATTTTCGGTTTATTATTTTTATTTTTATCTTAAATCATACGTACTAATAGTAGTTATTAAAGGTCTTCAAGACCAGGCAGTGGGAACTTCGAGCTAAATTTTTCCACGTCACAACGTAAATTACTCAGCTTTTCAGCTATTTCCTTATTAGACTTTAGAGTTTCTTTGAAATCTACCAATTTCGGTCCAGAGATTTTAGTCGCTTCTACGCATAGTTTGAGAGCACGATCAATATATTCCACGACCGCATCGATATCAGTCTCAACTAGGCCACGCGTAGTTAATGCGGGTGTTCCAAGACGAATACCAGATGGATTCAAAGCTGATTTATCACCCGGTACTGTATTTTTGTTACAGGCAATGTTTACTTCTTCTAATATATATTCAGCTTTTGCGCCAGTCAAACCGATATTACGTAAATCGAGCAAGATTAAATGGACATCAGTACCACCAGTGGCTACATTGTAGCCTCGTTTAATCATACCATCACAAAGCTGACGTGCATTGGCAATAACTTGACGTTGGTAGTCGACAAACTCTTTGGATTGTGCCTGTTTAAAGGCGGTGGCAATTCCTGCTATGGTGTTATTGTGTGGACCACCTGTAAGGAAATTGAAAATAATAAATAATTCAATATTAACATACGTATATGTACATATATACATAGTGTGTATTTCAGGTTAACTCTTTGGACTTGAAAGTCTCCAAGATCTTCAAGTGGTACACACTCACCTTGTAGGCCTGGGAAAACAGCTGCATTGATGCGATCCTCTAAATCATATAAAACTTTATTTCCATTTGGCAGCACTTTTCGCACTCCCTTGCGGTAAAAAATGACGCCAGCACGAGGCCCACGTAAGGTTTTGTGTGTTGTTGTGGTCACTACATCGGCGTATTCAAATGGTGATGGAATCAAGCCAGCTGCTACCAAACCAGCAATATGCGCCATATCGGCAAAGAGATAGGCGTCATTTTGATCGCAAACATTACGGAAGCGAGCATAATCAAGACAACGAGAATAACATGAAACTCCAGCAATGATTACGCGTGGCTTGAAGAGTTTGGCATTCGCCTCCAGTTTGTCGTAGTCGATCAGACCTGTCTGTGGGTCCACTTTATACGGCATACTTTCAAAATATATGGAGGTAGCAGATATGCGTTTGTTCGCAGTCATAAAACCATGTGTTAAATGACCACCATCGGGTAAGTCTAAACCCATAATGCGATCATGTGGTTGACACAGGCCAGTGTAAACCGCAAAATTTGCCGGGGAACCCGAATACGGTTGTACATTTACGCCCCATTCTTCTGGATTTAAACGAAAAGCTTCAAGTGCACGCTTTTGTGCAAGACGTTCGCATTCATCAATGAACTCATTGCCGCCATAATAGCGCTTGCCAGGCATACCCTCCGAATATTTATTGTGTAGACATGAGCTCAAGCATTCCAGCACAGCGACAGATGTGAAATTCTCGCTGGCAATCATTTCTAAGCCAACGCTTTGGCGTTTCTTTTCTGACTTGATGATGGTGTACAGCTCAGGATCGCTTTCGCAGATGCTTTCATTTAAAAGTTTATTATTTCCAGACATTTTCTAAAAAAAAAAAAAATAAAAAATTACTTTCGAATAATTATGTTTAACAATAAAATAATAAATGCTTAAATATTAAATTTAGAAACATTCAGTACTTGTTTGTGCGCTTTTTAATCTCTTCCGTCCTATGTCACTTATGATCGGCGATTGAACCATTAATAGTAGCAACAATTTATTTAGAGTAATCCTATTGAGCACTGATTATTGCCACCCATTAACTGATAACCAAATCTAACAATAAAAACAACAAGCCAATGATCGGGTCACAGGTTACAGATTATTGACGCAGAATGATAAAGTATGTCTACATATGAGCTCTTGTATCTAAGTTCTATTTAAAAAAAATAAATATAATGCCTATTTTAAATAGTCAAAAACATGTTTTCGCTTCTAATTTTTTTTTACAGATTAATGTTATCAGTTAACAGGTCTTGCTGGGTGTATATACACTATGCCTAAAACTCAAGCTTTATTAAATGGATTCTTACTTTGTAAGTCTCGGTTACAAAAGCGTTATTTTTAGCGAAAATATTTAACTTGCGAACAGTTAAAAATATTGATTACTACTGATGATTATACTGCTCCGATTTGAGTGAAATTTGTTGATAAGTATTTTTAATATAATACATCGTACAGTACTAAATTCGGTGAACTTACATATACATACATACATATCTCTTTGGAAAGTAATCAGTACTCTTTACTCTAATTTACTTAAAAATTCGATTAGATATAAAACTTGTATCTTCCTATATAAGTGCAGATCTATGTATGTATGTAAGAATGCAAGCAGACATGTGTGTGAAATGTTAAGAGTTTTAACAAGTACACTAAAATGTTAAATCTTCTTACTTAAGTATTTGCATTCAGTGCTATTTTCACTAAATATGTAAAAGCCGCATTTAGTGAGATACGAGTATGTGACACTTTGAGTATTCTAACAACAACAACGGCCCTAACGCGTAGTGAAGTATATTTCAATTCAAAAACTCAATAATCCGTAAGATCAATTGCATTGCCTTCGTGGCTATGGAATCAATTGGAATATTATATCAAATGCGAATTAATTCAGTAATTCTATCTTAATACGGTTTCAAAACTTTGAAATACTATAAAAAAATATATAGCTATATCTTGACTATTAAAGAAAAAATCGTATTACAACATGTACATACATACATATTTACGAATTCATGCATACAGACAACAGTTTACAGTGTAATTATAATAATAATTACACGATAGGCATTACCATTCTTATTAAATTATATATTATACATATGTCAGGATGTGCATAATCACACGCACAAATGTTGAAAACTGAAACAAGTCGCATGCGTTGGCGAATCACAGTGAGATGCTAACGAAATATAATATATAACACATTTCGATACTTCCACAGATAAATACAATATTACTTAAGGTAAAACATGACAATTACTTACTGTTGAATAATTTTTGGAAAACAGTGTAAAACCAGAGTTTATAATTGGTAACTGTTGATTTAATGAAAAATGTGATCGTGCTGGAACCACTTTAACAATTGAAGCTTGTGCTATTGAGCGCTGTTGGTTGACTTTATTGACGGCGTTAGATAAATGAGTTCGCGCACTGAGCGCATAGATGGCACGAGGTGTAATATTGTGCGCATTCATTTTCGCCTAAAATTTGATAAAACTATAAATTTTTTCAAATTGTAGTTTCTCTTCCGAAGAAATACACTGTCTTTTGCCGTCCTTTGATTACTGAATACTGAAAAATTAAAAGAATATATAAACTATTATTGGCGAGCGTGTCTAACTTAACAGGGGGTCGCTGATAACCTTTGACTTATTTTGATAACAAAATTTTGGCAAATGCTGATAAGAACAGTCAAAAAATCATTTTATAAAATATAATTAGTGTTTGCCTTCCATATGCTCCTGCCATTAACTTATATTTTATGCAAATAATTATAGAAGGTATGTTTTATATATTCTAACAAGATAATGAATTTAAATTTAGTAAAATATATATGTATAAAAAAATTTTGGTATTTAAATAGAAAGAAAACGCACCATAATAATTTAGTATTCCTTCTAGGTAGCTATCCCAAAGAGTACTTAATAGGACCAAATATGGTTTCAAAGGCTCAAATATTGTAAAACCCCACATAAAGCTGCAACAAGTTTTGTAGGGAACTAGATTTTCACCAGTTTGCAATCGAAAATTGTATATCGCTTATCGGTTGCTAAAATAATCTCATCACTACTTTTCTATTAAACCGCTTTTTATTACTTCGAAAACAAATACGCACTGGGCCGCTTTAAGGAAGAATGGATGTATTAAATCCTCAAGAGAATGACGGTGTTGGATTAATTACGGAGCCAGGATATTCATGGGAAGAGCTGCGGGAAAACATCATTGGTACATGTCTTAAAAAAAGGTGTCAAATCCTTTTAGACGATGACCCAAAAGTTGACGAAGTTTGTGATATATTTTCATACAAAAAGTATACGATTTTTATGTATTTATGTCATAATATCCGTGATGTAGGTGTACCAAGAAATACTGAAACTATTAAATTCAGAACTAAATTTGGATGAAATAACCAGTCTCTTCGTTGTAGTGGGAACACTTTATTTTATTGATGCTACACCAGAAAACATGGAGTGGCGCGTGCAACTTTTACAAAAAACATTTAACTATACTGATACACTTAGTCCGATGCATGTAAGCATTAAAATTGTAATGTAGTATTATATATAAGTAAGTATAAGCCTATTTATTTAATTAGCTACATTTGGCAACAAAACGTCTTTGGACTTGCTTAAAAAAGAAGGATTCTGACGTCTTTAATATACTTGAACTATGTAATCAAATGGTTATAATAAGTGAAACAGCTCGAGCCATATCCATATGTTTGATGTGGACCATATTAGCTGAAATTACAGAAACGTCAAGTGAAATGTATTGCTTCAGGCAGGTGAGTGTATCTATGATTGTTTGCACCAATATTCATATTGGAATTGTATTTGTAGTTCACGAAGTTATTGGATATGCTAAATAATATCGAGAGCGAGACACTGCAAGAGGAAGAAAATACTAAAATTGTATATATATTAGTGCGCGTCTTAAGTTATCTTATAAATGTTACGCTTTGTGATACCCAAAATGAAGATATCATTAAAGCAGGCTATCGAATGTATTTTAAATACACTCCTGCTTTTCTCAAAAAGGTTCTTGAGTGGTGTGAAAATTTTAAAAAGACGATAGACTCTTGTCCAAAACCAAAGCAGATTCAAGCGGATTGGGGACTGCGGATGATGGTATAAAATTTTATTTAGTGTTGAATTTTACTACTTTATTTTAAATATTTTTTCCAATTTACAGATTGCAGAGCATATTAGTTTTAATATCATTAATGTGCTTCAGGATAAAATCGATCAAATAAGTGTACCGGATTACTCCTAGGCACTTCCAGTAGTAATTTGTTGTATAATAATTTATTAAAGAAAATAATTAATTATAGTTATAAGGTATTTATATATGTAGGTTGATGATACCATAATAAATCCAAAATACATACATATACAAATGTGTTTAAAAATTCCAACGAGTAATATTCATACATATTTGTTTAATTTGTAAATAGTAGCGTAATAACTCAAAAACTAGCTAGAAGTATCTTTATTGGTGACGATAGTTTTCAAAAAATGTGATTTTAGTATCAAAAATATATTTTCCAACAACTAATTTGTGATGGTAAATTTTGAGAGCTATCGCTAAAATTTTCGGCATTTTTCGATTTCTAAACAATCTGTTACTTTCCAAAACTGGCGTATATGTTTTAGAAATCGCACAGTTGTAGCATTGTTATTCACAAAAAGTTATCTAAACTGCAGTAATATAGATAAACACACTTTAGTGTTTATAGTTTGTTTAGTATGATATTTGATAGGGTATTTCTTATTGCCATCTTATAAGGTTTATCATAATTTTTCGTTTTATAAAGAATTTACACGGCACGGGGTTTTTGAGAGTGAATTACGCCGAAATTGGAGATTCGGAGGTAATTGAAAAGAGTTGGTTTCGTCCTTTTGATAAAAGTGGAAAGTAGCAGATTCCACACCAAAATCAAAAACTCAGCGCATAACTGGTTTGTGAATTCAGACCCATAAGTATGTTTCCAGTACTTTGGATGGTGTTTGAGACGTTTATAGCACGCTAAATATTTGCTTTCATTAATTCGTGTTCCTCTGCTTTTGTCAAAGTATCGGATGATACACGACAGCCTTGCAATCAGGGCCAAGTAGGTATTTCAGTTTTAGCGAATTCTCATTAAAATTTATAGAGAGCTATTTGAACAGCAGATTTAAAAAGTTAAACGTCAATAATATTTGAGCTAATCTCATGCGTACTTTGGTATTATTCAAGGAGCTCTCTAAGAGCCCTTATTATTTAGTATTTTTAGTAGATGCACACATTGCCATGCTGATGCACTTACAATCACCAAAAAAATTAAAATTTTATAAACTTTTACTAAAAACTAAGTTTCCGTGTGCTTTCAAATGAAAAAAATTAATCAACGAAATAGAGGACTGTCAAATCGCAAGCTGTGTGTATAGGGTATTTCATTCTGGGAAATTAAGGCGAACAATGTAGTTTACGACAGAGAAGTATTATTTCATGGTTTCTTAAATATAGAAATGTTACCTTTTGGGATTTATAGAGGAATTTTGAGTATTTCATTACGAACAACTTTAATCTTTAATTGCAATTTCACTACAATATTTTATTTTTTTAACATCTAAATTGTAATAATTTCCTGCTGAAACAAATTTCTTTTGAAACAAGAACCATGCATTTTTTTATTGACTAGTGGTACTACTGCGTTTTGCACATCGCGCACATCAGCTGTTGAATATTCCCCGCAGAGAAAGTATAATAACTTATAATAACAATTATTCGTTCTCGCCCGATCTGACACTACAACCAACATTAGAATGTGTGATGGTGGAACGCTCTCAGCTGCAATTTGAGTAAGTTTCGTATCTAGTCATCTTTGTCTTTGGAAACCGGCTTTATAAGAATCTTTAAATGTTCATTGCCAATTTTTTTTAAACTATCAAAAAAATATTTCGTCCACACCAAAGAAAAAAAAGAAAATGAACATCAGCAAAGAGAAAATACGCTATATTCTACAATTTTACTTCGATAAAGGCGATAACGCAATTCAGGCCGCAGAACATGTGAATAGTGTTTATGGTCCTGATACTGTAACGGCCAATCAAGCACAAATTTGGTTTAGTCGATTCCAGTCCGGTAATTTCAATGTCAAAGATGCACCAAGCACTGGAAGGCCTATTGTCAAAAATGTCGATAAAATAATTGAAATCGTCGAGTCTGACCGTCATGTGAGCACTGTTTCGATAGCACAGGAGCTAAACATAGCACAAAAAACAGTTTGGAACCATTTGCGAAAGACTGGATACACAAAGAAGCTCGATGTTTGGGTGCCACATGAGCTAACGGAAAAAAACCTCATGGACCGAATTTCAATCTGCGAATCGTTGATGAATCGTAACAAAATCGACCCATTTCTACGACGGATGGTGATTGGTGATGAAAAATGGATCACTTACAGCAACGTTAAACGAAAACGGCCACAAAAAACTGTATATAAGCCGGAATTAACGGCCAGGAAGGCTTTGTTTTGTGTTTGGTGGGATTGGCAAGGAATCATCAACTATGAGCTGCTACCCGACGGCCAAACTCTTAATCCGGATCTACACTGTCAGCAATTGGAACGTCTGAAGGAAGCAATCGTAGACAAGCGCCCAGATTTGGCCAATAGTAGAGGAATTTTGCTTCATCAGGACAACCACAAACCACACACAACGATAGCGACTCACCAGAAACTCCGAGAGCTTGGTTGGGAGGTTCTTATTCATCCACATTTCAGTCCGGATCTCGCACCAAGCGATTACCATCTATTCCCGTCTATGGCGAATTATTTGGATGGAGAAGAATTGGCCTCTCGAGAATCCTGCGAAAATAGATTGTCCCAATTTTTTTCCAATAGGGATAAGAGTTTCTATGCAGAAGGCATAATGACACTACCTTCAAAATGGCAAAAGGTTATGGAGCACAATGGTGCATATTTGACAGAAATCGAATGATTCCAACTATGCATAAATACTTTGTTAAGGACTAGAGAGTAAAAAATAAACAATGTTGAAGATATCAACTGATATTTTATTTATAAATGTAAATATGATAGTAAATTTCATAAAAATATGGTTTATCATCTTTTATACAAATAATTTAAGTACGTTTTCGAATAATTTTTATAAATATTATGTTGAATATTCAAGCATATATTTTGTAGGTAAGCTTATTTTTTTGCAAACATCTTTGGGATTTGTTATGTAGTAATCCCAACCTTTTAAGGCCAAATGCGAATTTGCTAACAATATTGCACCGGAATAGATTTACTACGGTAACATATTTGTTATTTAACAAAACCAAAAACCTTAAGGGTAATACAAGTTATAATATTTTGACAATATATATCCGTCACTTGAGTATTCCCTGATATGCTGTATGTATGTGCACTGTAATTGTGCCCATTAGCTCATATAGTATATTCGATACTATTACAAAATCGTCACCTTTTAATTTTGAATTCAAAAATTAGTGGAAAACGTCCATGAATGGAAAATGAGCTTGATGTGGCTCAATTAAATCGATTAGAAAGCAAACGGTACCTGCTACACCCTCATACAAGCTATGTGGGCGATCTGGGGTACGTGCACGATGCTTAAATTCTGTATCTGTTAACAGTTCCATAAATTTAGTTGCTCGATAGTAATATTTTAGTTCATTTGTTAAGCGGTAGAGCAGTAAAAAGACATATCCATTTCCAGCGACACCATGACAAATTCCTGGTCCTTTACGTAGAAATCCTTTCTTCCATACTAAATCACTGCAACGGCGTACTGCTTGCAAATATTTGTCTTCCTTAAAAATTAAATAAGCTTTAGCCAATAAATATACTGCACCTGGTGCGCCATGACACCAATGTACTAATCGTTTCTCTCGACCACTTTTCAAATCCTCTAATGCAACAGGAAAGTTTCCTTCCGAATCTTGAAGGGTTAGAAAAAAATCTATAGATCGTTTAATATCACGCAATTCCGCGCTGGGTGCAGATATTGGATCAGTTCGAAACCACGGACTATCCAATAACATGTGAAGAATGGCGCATAGCCCGTGAGCAGCACCTAAATACTCTGTGCCATGGTATTGATACATGAGAGGTAATGGTGCTTTAGTTTTCTTAGCGTACTCTCGACCGCTATTAATTATCATTTGACAAATGGAGATAATATCATCATCTGTAATTTTTTTCTCACAAAGTATATCATTCAGCCAATAACAACCAGACAGGAAGCCAGCTCGTCCTACTAGAACTTCATCGCAACCATATTTGGTATGCATGAATTCCTTGCTAGATGGTATGCCGGCTTTAAAGTTTGTCAAATCGTCAGATAGATCTTCCATATGTTTTAAATCGTGTGATATAGCGGCGGATACAGCAAAAATACCGGCATTTCCGCATAAAAATGAATATCTTTCCGCTGAACGTTTTTTGTATCGTTCTGCATTATGTTTGGCATTGCGGATAAAAGTTTCTGCATGTTCAAGCGCTGGATAAAGTTCCTTGGCCTTTTCTGATCTAGACATTTTCCAGAACATAAATGCGATCCCAGCATTTCCCACGTATAGATCTCCTCTATGGTCTTCATCTGTATGACCAATTTGACAAGTTTCCATAATTGCGTCTATGTAAGTACAAATTAGATTCTTCACATGTTCTTCATCCAAAATTATTGGGGTACTTTCCGGACTGATAAAGTCTGGAAATGGATTCTCCAAATAACGTTTTTCCATTCTTATCTAGAATAAAATCGTAAATGAAAATAAATCGATGAATACGCATTGTAGACAGAAGCTACACCCAAAATACATATGTGTGCAAATTATTTCAATTTACCCAAGATCTGGTTCTTTAGAGACAGAAAAATACCTCTTTGAGAGATGATATTTAGGTTTTTATGTATGAAAGATATATATTTTTTTACGCTTAAATTATTTATATTAAATTTATTTATTCGTCCACTGACCGGTCGAATGTTAAATGTTGAATGAAACAAAATTTTATATTCACAATAAGATGTAAATGACAAACTGATGACATTCACAATTTTTCATTTGCTATAGATATGTTCCAGTTATTCAAGAAATTTATTAAAGTCCTCGAAATATCTTTGGTCTGAAACAACTGTCAAACATTAGGGTAGAGTTTTACTAATAAGATATTGCTGCGTTTCTGGTGTCCTTCCATTTCTCCTGGGCGGAGCCTGAATATCGTAGAAAATGTTTAGGGTAGTACATGCATTAATCTCCTAAGCCTTACATTAATAACGCTACTTTACTGCTTAGTACTTTTCTATAATTTATTCCCGTTAAAAGGATAAATTCTAATTTGTTTCTAATCGTTTATTTTCGGAATCTATTAATAGATGGGTTAACAAAAATACATTATTTTTAAGTGTTAAGCGAGAATCTTAAATTTTGTAATCAAGCATATCACGTTAGGTAATCATTTAATAATATTTTGTATAACAGATTAGCGTCGGCGATTTCCTCCGCCACCAGCCAATATTGTAGCAATTCTTATGAATATGTTTATGGTGTCCATGTAAATAGAAAGGGATCTGAAAAACATACGAGTTGACACACAATTATACAGAACTTTAAACCCTACATATGTATCAACTTACGCGTTTATTGGATCATAAGGTTTCACAAATATTTGTGGATGGTTTTCAGCATATCGTACTATACGCTGAGTGTCGTAAAGCAAAAACCCACTGAAGAGAATTAGACCACCATAAAGTGACATTGATGCTAGACCTATTTGTATACAGTTTAAACATATCAATTCTGCTCAAAAACTTATTACAGCATATACATACCTGCACCCAAAGCTGTAGTAGGTGGTAGCCACATTGAAGCTAGAGAAGAGGCAAACACCAAGCCGAGCCCTACAGCCAAAGGACCACCCATGTAAAGAAATTTATCACTTGGTGCGCATACCGCAACCGTAGATAGTCCTCCCACTATTCCAGCGGTATACAATGCAGCCCTAGTTAGAATGGGACCACCAAGGAAGCACATTGGTGCGACAACAGCTCCCAGCACTGCACAATGTAAAGCCCAAGCCAATTGTTTCGGGCCAACACCGGGTTGATATTCAATAGATTGCGCTAGTGCACCAGTACCGATCATAAGTGCAAACGTACCCAACATTGACTGTGTAATTTCATATTTTAGTTTTATATTTTTAATTATTTGAAATCGTTAAAAATATATTATACGAAAACACTTACCATCCAGCCATTTCTTGTTACAATCGAGAGCAATCGGGGAGATCGAAAGACTGCCATGGCAGCACCTGCAGTTATGACACAAGATGCACCAAAGTAACCATAAGTTGCGTGAATTCTTTCGCGAACAAACTCCGGCCATAACCTTAGAGACAGTATATTATATATAGCACATTTCTCTATCTTAATATATTTATTATCTTACATAGAATTGGTGTAAATACTTGGATCTTTATTCAAGCCCAGACCATAAAAGCATAATGCTCCTAGACCGATAGCTGATGCACCGGCAACAGCTCCTTTCCCAATTGAGTAAGCTGGATGCAAATAGAATTTCAATTAAAATATTGCGATAAGGGTTCTCATTAAAATATTATATAACAATATATGCAAACCATTTTCTGAAGGTGGGCCCATTAGTTTTTCTTTTAAGGTAGGTGTACGTCCTACTTCATTACGAGTATATGGTCCACGGGTTGGCCCACGAGCATAGCTTCGTGATATATTTAAATTATACGACTTTAGCGAGTTTTGAAGTCGTGCCTCCAACGGACCACATCTTATTACGTTTGATAAAGCCACAGTTTTCAATCCAAAACGGATGGGGGTAGCAGACATTGCAAAGCGCAAAAACATTTTTATATGATGAAATTTGTCTCCTTGTAAAGAAAGATACTTCTGTTAATCTGATATTCGGCAAAGTTTACTAAAACGGATAAAACTAACATAATACTAGTTATAACCGAAATTTCCTGAGGAGTACAAAAATATATTACCTCTTATATGACAGTTGAGCTTAACAAATAATTTTTAGAAATTTCTCGGTCTCGTCTTATTTTTTCTTTCACAATTTAATAAAACTTGTCAATTAGAACTGTATTATTAGAGGTGGCACTATCGAATTGACTTATATTTAAATATCGATATTTTTTTTATGCCTCCCGCTGGGTATAATCGGTACCGTTATTATTGCAAGTTTTCCACTCGGATTTTTCAATTAAATTCCGACATTTTTATTAGTTCCTCTTTGAAAACACACACACAAACACATAATTCTAGAGAATAGACTAACTAAAGAGTTTACTCTGCGTCACTATCGAGTTCTATACTTAATTATAAATACTTAATTGATCATGGTGGTGACTGCCGCCCTGAAATATCTTGAAAGTTCTCACGCGCATCCCTATTATATTCAGTGGGAATGGTCCCGATAGCATACATTCGATACACGCTTTAGAACTTGCCGTAGTTATCGATATATCTTTTTTTATCTATAATTAAAATTTGGCATTTTTTCTAGACGCAGCAATTAATGAATTTCAAAATTTAATTTTAAGAACAGTCTCACGTAGCATGTAAAATTTCCTGGAAATTAAATTTCACTTTCTGAAAATTTACTTATTTCACTATAATTTCTCAAGAAACTCTTTTAGCAATACTCAAATCCCATGACAGAATTTTCAGGAGAAATAAAAGTTGCTAGTCCAACACGAGGAATTGGTGAATTAATTTCAGTGATTTCAGAAACCAAATTGCCTGCTATTGAGTGCGGTCATAAACGTCATTTATGTATCTGAGCTATCATCAAAGAACGTATATTAATATACGTTCTTTGGAATAAGGTACGGGAATTAATCAATTACCTGACTTTATAGTAGCAGAAGCTATTGTGACTGAACAGAAAATAAGAACGAGAGTTGCTTACAAACAAAAATAAAAAATTATTATTTTGTGTGTTTAAATATTTCAAATAACTAAAACATAATAATGGAACTAGCCGAAATAGTTAAATCAAGTTTAGAAACATGTGGAGAAATTAAAACTTCATTTTCCTCGGGCAAAGAAGAATTCTATTTGGTTTGCACATTCTGTGATTATATTGATTTTGAGTTGGACGCTTTTTTGACTCATATAAACTCAGAACATAGACCTAATGCTGAAATAAATATTTTACCAGAGGTAAGTTACTATAACGTTTACTAACAATTAAGAAAAGTACAAACAAACATGCTCGAGTATTCTACCAAGAACATCAGTTCGGAAAAAAGTACGAAGCGCTTCAAATCCGGCAATCTTCCAGTAGCTTTAAAGAGATCTTGGCAAATATACTAAAGAATCAGCTTTAATGTTTTTCAATATATTTCCAATTAAATACATAAAATGTAGTTGACTTAAAAATTGCTTCTTTATTATCCAGGAAATTAAAGATCCACTGGAAGCGAATAACTCAATTGATGATGAGTTAATTTCAATTGCAAGTAATGAAGCTTGTGAGAATTATGTCCCTGTAGAGATTGAATATAGCTCATCTTCTGAAGAAGCTGAAAGTATTCCGGAATTCGTAAGTAGATAAATGTTAGCTGCTAATTTTTGTGTTTAATTCCAATACTTTATCTGCATTTAACAGAATCCGGATGATGCTCAATTTGATGAAGATAACAATAAAACCTTTATTTTGGCACTCATAAGAGAATACAAGAATCATCGATTGTTATGGGATTGCAATGATGAAGATGCGAAGAATCGCAGAAAACGGGATGAAGCTGTAGAGGCTATCGTGGATAACCTCAATAAAAATTTGAAAACGGAGGTTGATTGTCTGATTGTAAAGGAACAAATACGTAGATTGAATTGTGCGGTGCGGCGTGATTTGTTGAATCAAAAAAGTTCCTCATCGAAGAAGAAAAAGCTTCAGCTACCTTGGTATTTTGACAAGCTTGCATTTCTGAAAGCTAATAATTCATGTAAAAAACGTGATAAAAGGGTAAAGTAAATAATTTACTTTGAACTTTTTATTTTAATGTATTTCTTATATAGATTTTTCGTTTAGGGCATGCAAGAATTTCGCAACGAAAAACCAGTTTTACCATTTTCTGACCTTACTGATGCACAAACTTCTGAACTAATTAAGATTTATAAAAGCTTTTCATGTTTATGGGATGTTTACCAGGTTAATTATCGTTTTAAGAATCGGCGAGAGGAAGCTTTTAAAAATATGCAAGATACAATCAAATCGAAAATGGGTTTAAGTTTCTCAATCGATCAATTGCAAAAGAGGATAACTGCAATACGACACGCCTGCACTCAAGAAAAACGACGTAAAATGCAGTGCGAAAGTGTGAGAGAGCCGTATAAACCAATTTGCAAGTACTATAGTGAAACAAAATTCTTGGAAGATAAAGTAGGACCATTTCAGTGCACTAAATGTGAAGCTTTACTGAGACAATTCGACAGTTATCGGACTCATCTGGCTACACATGGTTCCGTTGCATTCACTTGCCCACTGTGCGACCACGGATTCAAGAGTGTAGGCAATTTCACAGTGCATTTACGTCGACACACGCGTGAATATCAGTATGAATGCGAAGTTTGTAAGAAACAATTTGCCGCATCAACAGATTTTCAGGTGCACATGCGTCATCATACTGGAGAAAAACCATATTTTTGTGATGTGTGCGGCCAATCATACCGAACCTGGACATTTTTCAACTCCCATATGAAACGTCATCAAAAACGGGCAGACCACAAGTGTGAGATATGCTCAAAGTCTTTCTATGAAGGTGTGAAACTAAGGGAGCATATGAAAGCACATTTCAATGTTCGTGACAAAGAATGTGATGTTTGCGGAAAGGGTTTTACTTCTGGGAAGCTACTAAGGCAGCATAAACAAATTCACACAAGAAAAAAGAAATACGTATGTAAAATATGCGAAAAAAGTTTTGCTCAGTATGCCGGCCTGAGTGGGCATATGAAATCTCATGGAACCACGCTAATAAAATCCATTGAATCCAAAAGTGAAGATGTAAATCGTATTTTTATAGATAACATAGATAATAAAGCTTTTTCTGAAGCGTATTAACATATCATTGATACTTTAAATCTGCGAACTTTTTTCTCAAAACATATGTACATAAGACACAAAAGCATATTAACTTTTTCTCTGTCCAATTAAACTGACTGCTCAGAGGGTCTATTGTCCATAAAAATATTGTACACGTGACCTAATTCTTTTTGGATTATCGTTTGATTTAAAATTATCGATTATATATCGTTTGTTCTGATTTGGCGCATATATATACGTAGCAATGTGCATTGTAAACATTGCTGGTTAATAAAAACAATAAATACACATTTTAAAATGCTGTGTATATAAAGCCTTGTTTCCATTCCAATACATCATAATTTATAATAACTTTTTGCGAAAATGGCAACTGTATTGGAAAAATGTGGATATGTGATCACCTCCCTATCAAGTGGGGAGAGGGAGTATTTCCTGACTTGTATGTTTTGTAGCAGCTCGTTTTCATCTTTGGAAACCTTTGTGGCTCACCTTGAGGATACACATTTATTAGAAGGAAGTGATCAGGAGTACTTAGAAATTATAGACAATCCTGAGCACGAACACCCCGATGTGATAATAAAAGCTGAAAAAGAAGAGGTACTTCTGATTCTGTAAATACATATAGATATGTATCAAATATTTAATTTTGTTCTTTAGACAAATGTGTCTGCAGAGATAGAACTTCTCAATAGTAGCACTCAAGAGGATATTCAACATATAAAAGAGTCTCCAAATTATATAACAGAAACAGAATATATAACAAGCGATGTCGAATTTGATGAAACCATGGTTAGTATCCTGTTTATTTATATAAAGAGCTTTGGTACAAAAGTCATACTTTTCAGGAAAACTTTGATACTAAAATTGTGAACCGATATGCAAAGAATGAAATGGATTTTAGCGACACAGAAGTTAATAAATACTTGGTTTGTTACGTACAACTTTACTTGATTCGAATAAGGAAATATGTATATTCTCTTAGGCAGATGATCATCTGAAACTATATGATAAAGAAACACTAAAGACAATCTTTACAAAATTTGAAAAACATTCCATATTATGGGATAGGCACGATCCCACAACAAAGAATATTTATTTACGATCGACTGCATATAAAAGTCTTGCATCAGATGTGGGGAAACAAGATGATTGGAAAAATGTGAGAGATTTATTACGAAAATTTAGTTATAGACTTCGCCAAGAACTTGAGAGAAAAAGGAAATGCTTATCGACAGGCGAGCATTACATTCCATGGTGGATTGAGGATATGGAATCGTTTCTAAAAATTAGGATAGAAGTATATATACATATGTAAATGCTCTTCTAAATATTTTGATTTAACATTATTGTATTCTTAGAACAAAAAATGTTTCGCACCAGAGGGAATCCTTACAGGCGGAAAACTTAAAATATTTCTAAAATATTACAAAAGGTTAACGTGCCTTTGGAATGAAGTCGACATTGATTATAGATTACCCAATAAGCGACAAGAAGCAATGATTACATTAAAAAGTTTGCTTGAAAGCTCTAATATTTCTCTAACAAATTTAGAAATTGAACAAGAAATTGCTCGTTTTCGAAAAGTTTGTTGTCAAGAGAAGAAACGGAAGTTTAAATGTGAAGCAATGAAATTGCAATATATCCCCCAATATCCGAATTACGATGAAATAAGCTTCCTTGAAATAGATGTTGGCCCATTCAAATGTGACATATGTAAGGAGATACTTTCTGGCCTTAATGCATTGAAAGTACATAAAGCAAAACATGATGGAACGAAACCCTTCACTTGTCCGCTATGTGGTAACGGCTTCAGTACTGTCCATAGTATGAATATTCATTTAAATCGGCACACTGGTGATTACAAGTATAAATGTAAATATTGTGAGAAGAGCTTCCCTGCATCATCTGAATTGATTGTACATGAGCGCAGTCATACAGGCGAAAGACCATACGTATGTGATCAATGCGGAAAAACTTTTCGTGTTTGGGTGTATTATGATACACATTTAAGGCGCCATCAGAACCGACGCAGCTATAAATGTGAAATTTGTTCAAAGGCTTTCTTTGGAGCACATAATTTAAATGAGCATATGAATATTCACCGTAAGGAGCGTGATCTTTTTTGTAATATATGTGGAAAGGGTTTCAAAATAGCTAAGTATCTTAGACAACACAAACTAATTCACTCAGTTGTAAAGAAATATGTTTGTAGAATTTGTCACAAAGCATTCGCTCAAAATGCCGGCCTAAATGGGCATATGAAAACACATGGAACCAAGGTTATTGGCAATGGTCTTATATTTGATACACTTACGATATGATATAATAATTTAATGAATGACTATATTAAATTAATATTAAATCACAGAATTTTAATTAGTGTAATAATACTACTCTAGTACTACGTTTGCGAGATTTGTTTGAAATAATTTCTAATTTATTTATAGTTTACATTGATTAGAAGAGAAAAATTTCAAAAATTAAAGTAATACAACATTGGCATAAATATTAAGCAAATTTATGAAAAATACTAATAAAAATACAATTGAAAATCTTAATTCATAAATAAATAGTTTCTTTATACTGTGACTGAACTATGAGAGATATTTTTGTATTAGGACTTTTATGGTACTTCCAAATGGGAATGGTTTTGAGGAAAGTCAATCTGGATAGAGGTAGTAAAGCATACGATTAGATTCATAATATATACAAACTTATAGAACTGTGTCAAAATTTACTTTAATTGTTTAAGTAACAAAGTCCTTCCGGATTTGTTTATATTTATGAACTTTTAAGCTCAATGATTCTTAATGTGTGTGAAAATGCTACATTTTAGATATATGTCGGACAAAAAGTTCACTTAATGCAATCGTTTCCTCACGGCAACCCGTCCGTGCTTTTACATTAATGAATTTTAGCGATACTTTTTTTGGATTTTCGTTTCCTATGCTATCAGCTGTCAAACGTCAACCGCACACAAACAATGGAAGACACCGAAGTCGAGGAAGTTAAAAATCTTGTAAGTTTTCAAATAAACGCATGCTTTAAACTGAATTGCATATTGTAAGTTTTCAAATAAAAATGAATTAAATAACTCTTTTTAAATAATTGTGTTTAAAGTAATTGCAAAAGCAAAAACGAGTTCAATATATGCCAATGATAAACTGCTTGCAATGTTTGCAGTTGAAGAGATAGTAAATTTTCATGTCGTAAATCAGTAGTGAAATAATCAATAAAATCTAAAGAAATTAACAAAACTTGAACGTAATTTGAGCAGCGTTATTATCGCAAAAGTTGTATTGTTATTGTGGTCTAGAATAAAATATATAAGTATATACTTTTTAATACACATAAGAGATGCAAATCCACACAAGGCTTCGAAATATTTTCTTACGAAACCGTATTTATTGTGTTGGTGGTAGAAAAAATCAATAAATATAAATTTGGCGCCTACCCACTACAATGGTCTGTTATATGCAATAATTTATAATTGTTTTTGTCTTTCAGCAAATCGAATTTGAGTGGGTTATGCGTGATGAAGTACACGCAATACTCAAGAAGTTGCGGGAGATTTTGGTGGTAAGATTTTCGTTTTTACTAATGCTGTTTTGATTGATGTTAACAATATTTATTAAAAAAAAAAAAAAACAATATAAAAAATATCTTGAAATATAGGAATGTGCACGACGGTTTCCGGTTCCATGCTTTCCGGACAATGAGGGTAAACGCACTGAAAAGTTTGTTTTAATGGCTGCACAGGATCAGTTAAAGTGTTCCGTTACGCTCACTGGCGATAGCATTACTCAAGCTGTAATTATACTATGCTTTTAACTTCATCGTAATGCGTTGAAAAATATAAATTTCTCCTTTTTACAGGATATTAGCTATAAACTAAAACGCACATCCAGCCAAGTGCAACGTACGTCCATCACCCCGGATGCACCATGGAAACTACAACAAGTGCAAGATGCAGCAAATCACTTACAACAGGCTATTAATCATATTGATAATGTTGATGGCAATTACGCTTTCAAGTAAATAAAAATATAAATAACAGCATTTAATATCGTACTAGATATTTGGTGTAATAAAGAACTAAATTATATGATATTTTCATTTAATCATACATATTTAATATTTTAGCTCATATTTTCTGCATTTTGATTTAAAACTTAAATTAATACATTCAAATTTTAAATCTCAATGCACAACACAGTTATAAATACATTTTAAATATATAGATATATTTTTTTTTTGTGCACAAGCATTTATGTAAAAATACATTAATTTTTTATATTCGATATAGATCTCGCGAAGAGGTGCTGCAAATCATTGGTGAATTAATCGGCGCTTTACAGCGTGGTCGTACTAGTCTGATTATACCAAAGAAGAAAGCAATAGATGAACTTATGAAAGGTCGAAATATGGTAATCCGTAGTATATATATGTATATGTATTTACAAGAGAATAATAATTACATTTCATCTGCTAACAGAAATCGCTAACACCTAATCTACCAGAAGATCAAGCAATATCTTTCTTTTTACAATGCCACAAACTCATCATAGCTGTTTATCAATTGCTAAATGTACAGGGTACTATGAAAATGGAAGCCACACAAGCTGAATGCTCAGTCGGATGGCTAAATGAGGTGCTTGTATTATTTACCGTGGGCTTAACGCTGTGCCAACAGCTGAAGGATAAAATAAATGCATTTAAAATGGACGTATCGAGTTAGTAAATTGCATGCTATCATCAAAAAAAAATATTTTTTTTTGTTGAACGTGAGTTAATACTATGTATATAATATACATACATATATACATACTTACTACATATGCCAAAGTCAACTTATACAATGTGCGGGTATGTACTAATATATTACTAAGTACATATAAAAAAAAATATACTATACATTTCTAAGTAATATCTTACAACATGCATGTAATAAATATTGCACTAACGGTGTAGTTACAAAAACATACATACATATCTACAAAAAAAAGCAAGAAATGTGCCACTAGCATTTACTGTGTCGGTAAGATTGTATGTTATACTTAAATAGGCGTCGTACCATTAAAGGTAAGATGGCAATTCGAAAGTAAAAAATTCTTTGATCTCTATCGGTTATACTTAAGTCAAATTATCGGTTGAAAAGAAAAAGATATTAGGAAAATCATTAAAAAAAAATCAGATCTGAAAAAGTGAAAATTATTATATTCATTTTTATACCAATATACATACATACAACATATGATTGAAAAAATAGTATTTAAAAGCAAAGTAACCACCCAAGGTTGTAACCTTTCTGACCTTTCGATTATAAGCATCTGCTTTAATTTCTCATCAAGGCGAATATACATATGTGTACAATTAGTAGAACTTCGGTTTTCAGACATTTTTCATATAGATACATACATATGTATGTATGCATAAATTATATAAAACAGTTGCATAACATGAACACCTTACAAATGATTTCTCTTTATGAAATTATGATATAATTTACAAATTTTTATAAAGGGTTTCGGGATTTCGAAAAAAAATTGGTAAAATATTTAATTTTTCTTAGCGGAAGTTTTAAAGCTCAATATTAAATACATTTATCATAATTTGTATAATTGACAAAAACAGTTTTAGTGACTTTTTAAATAACTCTAATTAAATTTTTTTTAAATAAGTGCTGGTTTGGTGCTTAAGTTTGTTTGTAAATAACGATTAAATAATTATTTTTTTTGTTATAATTATAAAGAAAGTTAAATATATTATTTGTTTTAATTTCAATATCAAAAATATTTTTTAAGCTTTATTTGGCAGATTCAAGTTAGTTTTGTATTATATATACAAAAGCAAATCGTTCAGCGGATACAAAGCGCCAATTTCATATATATATATATATAATATAAATAATATATAAAAAATATTATTGATATTGAAATTAAAAGAAATAATATATTTTACTTCTTTTATAATAATAATATATTTGCGGTATAAACTTATTTTCCGCATGTTCCGGTAGTCTAATTTTTGTTATTCTGTTATTTGAGCACTTATTTTCTATAAATTTTATATTCCAAAAACGCATGCCACCTTTTTCAAGACATACGCATTTACATATCCTACACGGATAATTGCATAATACACACTATTTAGGTATGTATGTATGGACATCTGTTTGTGCATATGTGTGAGGTTTGAATGCTCTCCTAAAAATATTATATTAAAATAGCACAAAAAATCACATATTTAGCTATTATATGTATGTATGTATATAAACAGCAATATGTAGTAACAACGACAAAGTTTAATACAGTAAACCATTTGGAAAAGTATAGATTCGACATAAATATAATTGACAATAACTTCTATTCCATGCATATTGCGTACTTAAGCCCGTAAAATACACGCAGACTAATATATGACTTAAGAATATGTTTATTGCAATTGTATGCCAACTAAATACGGAATATATGTATGTACTTTGTGCACCCCAAAATGTGCTAGACATAAATATATAGGTATATTTGAAATTAAATGACTTAAACGAGAAGATATCTTCAATACGAAAACTTTAAAACTTGTTGAAATAATAATCTTATTTTTTAGATTTAAGATTATAAAAGTTCTTCACTTCGCCATTTGGTGATTTAATTTCCTATAAGTGTTCGAAAATCATGTGAAATTTTACCTTATTGTTCATTATGTATGTGAGCTAACAGTATTTTGGAATTTTTATTTTCATAAAAAATGTGATTACGAAAAATAAACTATTTAAATGCATTTCTAAATATCTTTAACATATATATTCCATAATCAAGCGCATCTCATGAATTTTTTTCAATGAATTTCGATTTCATATTATTATATTTAATTAAAAAGTAGACTTAAGACAAAATTTAAAGCCTAAACATAAATTTGGAATCAATTACACTTGATTGCCTTGAATTATTAAAATTATGGTTGGAAAAGAGTTAAGCGTTTATGTGTGTGTGCTAGAAAAAACTGTAACAATTCTCCTCTCTCTAATCAATTACCTATTATATACTTACATATAAGCTACCTATATCTCGAACCAAAACCAGTATCTACCTAATTAAATTAAATTAAATTAAATGTATACTTAAATATTTATATTACTTGAGCGTACTTAGTTAATTCAGATGTGTTTTCAAATAGTAACAAATGAAATTATGTACATCATTATATATTAAGTATTTATTTACATACATATGCGAAAAGTAAATGGTTTATGTGGGTTCATTAAGATAATGATTAGCGGAAAATTTGCGTTAAAAGCTCTCTTCTTAAGCATAAAAAGTTTTCACTCAAAACAAAACATAAAAGCTCATGATATACATACAATAAATACCATATACATATTATAAGAAATTAATGGCATTTTTGTAAGCTACAAATTAAATTTTTAGTATATACATACATACAATAAACAAGTATTTAAATTGAATTAAAATAAAATTGTTAAATGAGTTTACAATTGAAATAAATGTAATCGACGTTATTGAAAAAGTGGTTTAAATTCAGGAAATATATGATGAGTTCATAAGTTCGTGCCCGATTTCAAGTGCACCCTAAAATTGAAATTTTTTGAAGAAAGCGCTTTTATTAATCAATTATGTATTCGCCATCATGTTCGGCAATCCACTCCCAACGTTCAACCAATTTACGGATGCCTGATTCATAGAAATCGCGCGGTTTCTCGTTGAAAAAGGTGTCAAGGTGGTTTTTGACGTCTTCCACATTTTTAAATTTTTTTCCATTCAAATTGTTCTGCAGCGATCGAAACAAATGATAATCAGAAGGTGCAATGTCGGGTGAATATGGGGGATGCGGCATGATTTCCCAATTCATCTCCTTCAGTTTGGCCAGGGTCGGTTTTGCAACATGTGGCCTGGCGTTGTCATGATGGAAAAGAACTCCTTTGCGATTGGCCAAAATCGGACGTTTTTCATCAATTGCTTTCTTCAATTCGACCAATTGCTGACAATACTTGTTGGCAGTGATCGTTTCTCCAGCTGGCAAGAGCTCAAAATAGATCACGCCTCGGATATCCCACCAAATGCACAGCAGTACCTTCATCGGATGCAATCCACCTTTCGACATCGGTTCCGCCCCTTCGTGTGCCTGTTTCCATGTTCTTTTGCGTTGAACATTGTTGTACAGGATCCATTTTTCATCACCAGTCACGAGCCGATCCAAAAAAGGTTCGTTTTTGATCCGTCGAAGCAAAGAAATTGCTGTTGACATACGGTCCACTTTGTTTTTTTCACTCAACTGATGTGGCACCCATGTATCGAGCTTCAAAGTGTACCCAACCTTTTTTAAACGACGAAACGCAGTTGATTTGTTGACGTTCAATTCACTGGCAACCTCTTCCGTCGAAATACGTGAGTTATTTGCAACTAAAGTCTTTAGAACATCGTCATCAAGTCAAGAAGGCCGTCCACTGCGAGGTTGATCTTCGAGCTTAAAATCTCCAGATCGAAATTTCGCGAACCATTTCTTTACTGTGCGGAGTGCTGGAGCACGGTCCAAATAAATTTCGCGAATATCTGTAGTTGCGGCGCCTACTGTTTTTTCTTTGCGGAATTCTTAATACATACATATATACAAAACTATTATATGAGTAAAATGATTCTATTTCTCACAAATTTTCTCATTCAATTTCCTCTTGAGTATACGCAACTGCATTAAGCAATTATCACGATATGTTCGTCGCTCCGGCAGCTTATCTAACGGTACCATTGCCTCTAATTGCTTCGCAATTTCCACTGCTGTTGGACCTTCCATTTTGTGTGTGGGTCCCATAGTTTCACTTACCGCATAAATGGTATTTGAATAACGTTCAAAGTAATTTGTCATACCCTCGGCATTCAAATGTGCCGTCTCGAGTGTCCCAAGAAAGCATAACCCATACCCAAGCCATCGGACATGACACTATCAACATCTTTTACATCGACAATACCGTCGGCGACTAAACGCCAAGTTTCATTCAAAATGGCATACTGTATGCGATTGAGTACGAAACCTTCGATTTCACGACTCAAAACCACAGGTTTCTGGCCAATCTCTTCCATAATAGCGCGTGTTCTCTTCACAACCTCTGGCTTAGTCCACGGTGCAGGTACCACCTCCACAAGTGGTACATAGTATGGTGGATTGACGCGATGAGAGACGATGATCTGTTGTGTGTGAAAGAAGAGATAAAATTTTTTGATTCAAGCGAAGCAAAGAAGCATTTAAAATTTTGAAAATAATAAATTTAGAATACATACATACATACATACATTTATAATATGTTTTCAATATACATATGAGAAAGCGTTTTTATAATCGCGGAATCCTTCCTATTTAATATATTCAATTGCAAAGCAAGTACATTTTCAGATTTTCCCATTAACTAATTTGTACTCTCATAAAAAATATTTTCTCGTGACTGCATCCTTGACTTAATCATCGGTGTTAAATTAGGCCTCAATGCATTTTTCATTTTCGGAAACAGGTAATAATTATTCTGGGCCAAGTCTGGACTGTAAGGTTGGTGATTAAAAATCGCTCTTATATTGTCAATTTATAGAAACATATTTTTCTTTATGATCAATCAATAATATTCTTTCCGAGTTCCAAACGACCGTTTGCCATGAGTTTACCAGCTGACTGTGAAATCTTAAACCGAAAATTGCACTCATAGACTTTAAAAATGTTTGTATCGGATACACCAAGCGCTTCTGTAAGTTGTCTCTTCTTTGGTGGACGTCGTTCGGGGACAATTTTTTTCTACCTTTTGGATAAATTCTCGCGTGATCAAAATAAAGAGCAATAAAAAACTCTCTGCTCTACTCACGTTCGATTAGTGTTTCAAGTCTTTGGAGAAGAGTGATGGCAGAAAGGTACTTGTCGAGCTGGAGAGTATAGTTTTGTCATCTACAACGGCATCCAGGTGTTGATAGAGTGCCTTTTTCCATTCCAAACGTTCTGGTATGCATTCCTGTATGAAGATGGCACCTTTCACCAACTCATTAATATCAGTTGTGCCCGAAATGAGCGCGAATTGTTGGTTAGCACTGAGTTTGCCACGCAGTAAGCCCTTCGATTCCAAGCTTTTCAGCTCCTTTTCTGTCTCACGTAAGGCATTTTCGATTTGTGTTGGTACTACTTGATAGCCCACCGAGGCGAAGAGCATGGACCATGAACGTCCGATAAGACCGCTAAATGTTAAATATTAGTATAAATTTTGTATTTTTTTATTGACGTTTCACTTGATATTTTTCGTTTTCTTTGAAAGTCACCTGCCCACAATACCAACTTTGCATTGACTGGCCATTATCATATCTTGCAGTCACTTTTCTTTGTTAAATGTTCGTACAGAATTTACTGGTTTTAATTTTTTTCGAATTTGTTTATAATAATAATTTATTTATTTTTTGTTTTCAAAGAATATTCTTTTACTCGTTTTATACTTTTGCCGATCTGTATTTTTGCACTTTGGTTATATTTAGTGAGATTCACAATCTCTTATCAATGAGATCATCGAAACTAATATAGAGTTCGTTAGGAACAATGTCCAATGGGAAAGCATATATGTACATACCTTTCTTCTTCTTCTTTACTGGCTTATGTGATTATAGCAGATTTAACAACAATGAGCCAACCCTTGCTTCTTTTCGCTGTTTGACACCAATTGGAAATACCAAGTGTAGCTTGGTGCCTCGGCACCTGATCTTTCCAACAGGGTGGGGGTCATCTTATTCTTACGCTTTCACCGGCATGTACTGCAGCGAAAACTTCCATAGCTGGAGTGCTTTTAACCTTTCGAACCACACGGCATATCTCTTGATCTATATCAATGTCGCCATATATCTAGTACAGCTCAACGTTTCATCGACTTGCCAATATTTAAAGGCCTACAAATCTTACGCAAAACCTTTTTCTCGAAAACTCCTAATGCCGACAAATGTCGTCATAGTTCGTGTCTATGGCGCGTATGCATGGACGATGATAGCTGAATGAGAATGATGAGGGACTTGTGGAGTTTGGTATTTGTTCGTCGAGAGAGACCCTCACTTTGCCTACTCAGTCCAAAGCATATTGACATTGTTGTTGGTGTTAATACTGGTTCCAAGACAGACGAAATTGTATATGACATTAAATTTATGACTGTCAATAGTGTCGTGGGAGCGGATTCGCAAATGCGATGTCTGTTTACTTGATGACAGAAGATAATTCGTCTTGCTCTCGTTCACCGATAGGTCTCGCTTACTTGCAGTTGTACACTCTTACATAAGATTGTATCGTCTCTATTTTATTCTGCTGAGCGTATTATTTTCTCCAGCAATAGATTAATAAAGTCAAACTCTAAGAAGTAACTTTGGCTGAAACCTCGTTTGGTATTGAACCGTACGGAGATGTGTGCTAGCATTCAAGAGAGGAGGAAAGAGCAATTTCAGTAAAAAAGTATGGACCCCGATAAGCATCAATCCCTCTAGTCGAGTAACATTCTGTCAGTAACGTTGAGAATATAAGACCTTCGTTAGACCGTAGGGCACAACGGGGATCCCAACAGAATGACAAAAGCTTCCACTTTCAAAAATCTTAGAGATAGTGTCTTGACACCGGCAACCGAACTGAGGCACACAAGAAGCGACATAACAACTCAGTAGGAAAAACGTTATAACTATGTAGAAGAGCGGCACCTCATCGACACTTTCGGTAAGAAGAAGGTTTGAGCTCAAATATACCTCGACAAAACAGAAGATAATTACCTCGACTCCAAGGGAAAATATAGGCAGTAGCACGTATATCTGCTGGAGGAACTAATATTAGTTGCGGATTCCAATCGAGAGCATGCAATGTTTTATAAGAGTGTGGGAGTAAGACGAAGACACTGATATGATCGGCCTAAACAGACACTCCGTCAGTTTTGCTTTCTTCAGACTGGAGTGCTGATAATGAACATGTAAAGATGAGATGCTTTCTTTAAGTAAGGAATCAGCTCATTCGCTACTTGGCAGTCTGTTGATAGTCATAACTCTTAACTCGTAGATAATTTAGGGAATTGAAAAGTAAACTAATAAAGACCGACACTTGATCTGTCGGCACTGAGGGTTTTCGAAATATAGGTTTCATAAAAAATGTGTGGAAATTTGCTGGAAAAGATGGTACATGAGATAAATGAGGACATTAATCCGGTTACCATAGCATCTGTCAAAAGCATTCGAGATGGTCAATCACATAAATTTACTATCGGACATTGAGGAATCCTCATTATCGCTGTTGTTGAGGAGGCCGACTGCGAATTATTTGAGTGGTAGATAGTCATCGGTAGAATTTCGATGTCAAGCTCGAAACCCACTTCTGTTTAATTTCTACATTTCGAAACTCCCTCCTCTTTTTGGCGTTCTTGATATTGATATTGGCGTCTAGTCAGGATTTAGATAATTTATGTTTGAAAGTAAACAGCTTTCTCGCCGACTTTTCACACATTTTCACTAGACGATAATTACAACTGCAATCTGCGGAATACTTGGCTTCCCTTTTTGCCAGCTGGAGGACCATCATATCAGACATCTGCTGGTAGCAGAACCAAAACCTAGGTTTTTAGAGAAGGGAGTAGAAAAAAGACTCCACACTGCACCATAGAACATCAGAGAGTCGGTCAACACCTTTGCAATCTCTCTTCCAGCCGATGGCCTGCTGGTAGTCCCACCACCACCCATAGTAGATGAAGAGTCCAAATTGTCTCACGAAATCTGAGTTATATTGGCACAACTAAATCTGTTAGACTCAAATTTACCCATCCAGACCTGGCCCTGTTATATATATATATATATATAACCTAATTCACGCATATAGGACACTAACCGACCACCACTTTGCATGCCCACTAAACCTACTCGTCTAACATTCCCGTTAGATTACCTCGATAACATAGACTACTCTTGGGTATGGATTTTAAATAACCTAGTCTCGAATGGAGCTTATGTATATCAAGCGCCCACACTAAACAGAAAGTTCTACTTGCTTAGATAGACAGAAATTCGTTGAAACAATTGAATACCTTGCGGTTAGGCGACGAAAAGGGCTCGATGCAGATTATGCTTCCGTCGAAAAGTGGCGGGGAGATTAGCTATGGATTTACTAAGATAAAAATTATGACCTAAAAACCAGATGCCCATCTGTAGATCACATGTCTTAAAAGAATGAGATTAGTGAAGAAGAAGATCCTATAGTCTCCTCGAGGGATGTCGATACCATGATGGTGCAGTGGATCTCTTGCCACAGACTTAGAGCTAGACTTTTAACTGCTCCTAGGACGAGGCACAATTTTTGTGAGCATCTTAAACGGTCGATGAATTTTGCAAATGGGGATAAAGAACTTTTATTTCATATTAGAAATACACTCGAATGGCTTAACATTCCCTGCTTGGTCGGACCAGAACTCGAACTCTTCTGAATGACAATACGCACTGCTTACCAGTAGGATTTTGCGAAAGCGATGTTAAATTATATTAATTTTAATATATTGATCTTCAAATTAATTGACTATTTTACGGGGAACAGGGACAAGGAAGCACAATGAGTCTGCTCAGTAGCTAAAGTGAGGCCGTTTGGTGAGGCCATTGACCCCAACTCTTCTATTAAGCCAACAATCAATCAATGAAAATATTAATACACATATTAAATTATTATTATTTATTTTGTAAAACATAAGAAAAATAACAACAAATTTTTATAAACTCACATACATATGTATGTATGTATGTCCATAACTTTACAATTTCAGCATATTTACATGGTGTGTGTATATATTATATATATATACATATTTACATAAACATATACGTAGTTTCGTCAACAAACAAATTTTACACCGCTGCTATAAATTCAATTTAACTCTCATCCACATGCAGTTTATTCATTCAATTTCCTCTTCAGAATACTCAACTGTGTTAAGCAATTATCACGATATGTTCGTCGCTCTGGCAGCTTATCTAACGGTACCATTGCCTCTAATTGCTTCGCAATTTCCACTGCAGTTGGACCTTCCATTTTGGGTGTGGGTCCCATAGTTTCACTTACCGCATAAATGGTATTTGAATAACGTTCAAAGTAATTTGTCATACCCTCGGCATTCAAATGTGCCGTCTCGAGTGGTCCCAAGAAAGCATAACGCATACCCAAGCCATCGGACATGACACTATCCACATCTTTTACTCGGCGACTAAACGCCAAGTTTCATTCAAAATGGCATACTGTATGCGATTGAGTACGAAACCTTCGATTTCACGACTCAAAACCACAGGTTTCTGACCAATCTCTTCCATAATAGCGCGTGTTCTCTTCACAACCTCCGGCTTAGTCCATGGTGCTGGTACCACCTCCACGAGTGGTACATAGTATGGTGGATTGACGGGATGAGAGACGATGATCTGTTGTGTGTGAAAGAAGAGATGATATTTATTTACTCAAGCGAATGTAAATACATTTTTACAAAGATAAAAAAAAATATATTTTCAATAAATTATATTGCGAGAAATTTATACAAATTGTGTACATAGTATAAATAAAAATACGAATTTTAATATTCATGGCTTCATTTGGTTTTAATAATTCGATCACGCTGCAGCTAATAACTAAAATGTTATCGCACCTAAATGTAGGCAATATTTCTTAACAATTTTATGTTTTTTTGTGTGTATCGGTAGTTTTGTTTACATTTGATTTCTACTCTGCCAATAAAATTCTAGTCTAAAAACAGTACTTATTATTTTTGATTATAAAAAATATTTTTAATTTTTATAATTTTTTTTTAACTAAATTCTCAACCTACACGTTGGGTACATTTTTCTAAATATGAACTTTGCCTACCTTCTTTTCAGCTTTTATTTATTTATTTTTTGATTGTTCCCAACATTGATTTGCTCCCAAAATATCCCTGTTTGAATGCCGAAGTATTCTTTTGGATTTGACCATCGATATCTGAGCAACCAATAAACGGCGACAAATGTAGATGAGTTTCGGAATGTGGAATAGATTTTTGTAAAGCGGTTTTCTTTGCTTTCAAGTCATGTTTCTTATCTCTACGAATTTTAATGGACACTTAAAGGCCTAGCAACCCTGGGAAGTTTACATGTCTGAGCACACTGTAATCGTCACAGAAAATAAAAATTAGATTTTATATCAACTTTTTCGCAATTTTTACTCTTTATCCTTTAATTTCTTGCAGAATTGCACTAAGCTCTAAGACCCAGAGAGGGCATCTATCGGCTGATGTCCAGGATATACAAAATTTATGAAGGAAATATTTCCTCAGCCTGCTGAATGGCAGTCAAAATGTAACAACAGGAGATGGCGAGCCCGTTCCACAAGCGATAGCGATGGTACACATTGCCTGACTATGAAGAATTTCGAATACCGATTGCTTGCTTGAAAAACAAAAAAGTGACATGAGCCGATAGATTGCAGCATATCTGCCGAATGGAACCTAAGTGTAACCTGTGCAATCCGTAAAAAGCAGAAGACTACAGTCTGCGTTAAGTACCATGAGATAAGCCTCCTCAATATCACATATAAGGTCAAGGTTTTAGATCTGGTAAATCCACTATTGACCAGATATTCAGCATGAATTGAAAAATGCAGAGAAAAAGGGATTGATTCAAAGCAGCTGAAAGAAATGAGCTGCCTCTACTTCGCTTTGTCGAAATTTGGTATCCACAAAAAACTTTTACGGCTGTGTAAACTGACGTTAAGCAGGACCAAAAACTTCGACAGGAACGGGAAGGAGCTTCTCGAAACCAAACGAGGTTTCAGAAAAGTTAACTTCTTATCGTGTAATTTCTTCAATTTGATGCTTTAGAAAAATATAAGAACGGGTACACCTGCCTTTAAGCGAAACATATGGGTGTGGTTGAGAACGAGGACACGACGAAATATCTTCTGCCATCAAACAGACAGTCATTCGCATTCGTGGATAATTTCGTCTATCTCGAAACTAGTATTAACACCAACAAGCCTTGAATCACTAAAGTCCTTCAGCGGAGGCATGAGCAATGACAACACCTGATGAGTTGGCGTTAAGAGTTTTCTGGAGAAAGTTTTTGCGTAAGATTTATGATATAATATTTTTCGCATTGTAAATGTCAATAAAACGATGAACTGTCTAGTGATATTGATATAATTGAGCGAATGAACAGGCAGAGGATAAGATGGATAGATCATGTATTCTGAATGGAAAAGAAGCTGTGAAAGTTTTCGATGCAGTATTCGCCGGTGGAACCTGAGGAAGGGGAACATCTCCATTCTTTTGAAAAAAATTAGGTGGAGAAGAATCTGGTTACAGTGAAAAGAAGGAAGTGATGGCGTACTGTTGTTAATTTGGCTATAATCGCATAAGAAGAAGAAGAAGTATTAAAAAGAGGAGTAAAAAAGTGTATATACATATATAAAAATAATAAAAATCATTCCCATCGCACCACTACTCCATTAAAAGATACATATACGATAGCCTACACGAGTTTTCTAAAAAACAAAAAAAAAAAACAAAAAAAAAAAAAAGAGCTGCAAATCATAAATATCATACACTTGACATTACTACATACATATGTAGATAAGTTAGCAGCACTTTTAACGCACGTTTGATGCCCGTGGCAGTGAAATGTTTTACCAAAATCACTTGGGTCGTTTGAAGAGCATAAAAGCGCAAAAACAGAAGGTATTCAATGAGAGTAAAATTGAGTCACGGGCACACTTCAGCTACATTTTTATCAAGATTAGAATATAAATGCAGAAAATATATTAGCAACAATTCTTATCTTTAGCTTTAGCATGGAAAATTAATAGTATTATTTTTTTCGTTTGTCTTTGTCACCTTGCGTGGATACTCATTTGTTTTTGTATTTATCTAAAGGCAACACAGGGGATCAGCAATATAACAAGTGATCATAATGCGTTATTATAACGCATAGATAATCAGGAGTATACTCGTATATATGTATTTGTGTGTGTGTGTTTGCTCTTATTATTATTTATTATTATTTTCTTAAGTATGCATAACTTATAAAAATTGTGTGTGTTGGTTTTCTATGGGCCGTTTAACATATATGTATAGTATGTGTATGTATGTATATACTACATTGCCGTTGTAGGTGCATTCGCGGCAGGAAAACAAATCATTTGTTATCTGTCACTTAAAATATGGTGTTAAAATGTCGACACTTGTGTTAAATTAATGACGTGATTGATTACGCAAATTCAAATAAAATATATTTAATGAGTTGGCCCGATTTTTTTTTTTGACGAATTCACAACTTCAATATACATACTTTTAATTGCTATGGGAAGCCATATAATATTATTGATGTACAAACGCATTTATGTATGCAAGTATATTGATTTTATTTGTCATTTATGTATGAAACGTCGAATGTAATTAAAAATATTATCATGTGTATTTGTTTTTACTTTTGTTTATAAGTGTTTACACTGTTATAAATGACTTTGAGGGTGTGCCAAATCAGCTTATCACCTCTTTGGTTGTGTGAAAAATTTCGTTAGACAATTTACTATAACGGTACAGAAAACAAAATATGCCCACTTACATTTGACATTTAATCTTTTGCTAAAAAAAATGCTTTTGCACTTTAAAAAGTACAAAATAAATGTATTAAATTAACTGAATTCAAAGTCATAATTACTGACTGCTGAAAAAATGTTCGCTTCTAACATTGAAATATGTTCTAAATAACTGCTATAGTATATATGTGTAAGTCATAGGGGTATAGGGTTATCTATTTCATGGTCTCTGTATAGTATTAAGTTGTATTTGGACATCTGTCGAACTTTAGTGTCAAACCAAACATGTTTGTTTTAGTTAACAAGCGCAAAACGCGTTAACTTTGTTAAAACCTGCTAAGAAATTAACGATTGAAAAGTGAACGTTTGGTGTCATCGAGATCGTGCGATTTCACACTGTGATTTATCCGCGTTAAGTTATAGCTGAGGTACCGGCCAATATGTTCCAAAAAAGTGATCGAAAATTTATCATATATAACGCCAAGGTTCAAACTTTATTATAAAAAAAGGAAAAAAAATTTTATAAATGCATTTACCGCAAAATGGATAACCTGTATTATATTCACATGTTCTGAGCATAATTTACTATATTAATATATGTACGTCAGTTTGTAAGTTAAATCAAGGTGAAAATGCACATTTTTTCCTTTCTTCATTAATTAAGTTGAATTGTTATTTTTTTCTGTCATTTCAAGCAAACAGGTTTTCATGCATTTTCGGGGGAATTTTTCGCACTCAAATTCTGTGCACTCAAATGTTGAATTAACGAAATCAAAATAAAGTGCAATAAAAAACTCTCTGCTCTACTCACGTTCGATTGGTGTTTCAAGTCTTTGGAGAAGAGTGATGGCAAAAAGGTACTTGTCGAGCTGGAGAGTATAGTTTTGTCATCTACAACGGCATCCAGCTGTTGATAGAGTGCCTTTTTCCATTCCAAACGTTCTGGTATGCATTCCTGTATGAAGATGGCACCTTTCACCAACTCATTAATATCAGTTGTGCCGCAAATTGTTGGTTAGCACTGAGTTTGCCACGCAGTAAGCCCTTCGATTCCAAGCTTTTCAGTTCCTTTTCAGTCTCACGTAAGGCATTTTCGATTTGTGTTGGCACACTGTCGTAGAGCACTACTTGATAGCCCACCGAGGCGAAGAGCATGGACCATGAACGTCCGATAAGACCGCTAAATGTTAAATATTAGTATAAATTTTGTATTTTTTTTTTTGTAACATTTCACTTGATTTTTTTTTTTCTTTAAAAGTTAAGTAGTCCTTACCTGCCCACAATACCCACTTTGCCTTTGCTTGCCATTTTATTTAGTATTTACAATAGTTTATTAAGCACTTGAATACGAAATTACAATTGTTGATTACAATACTACACAATCGTATGCGCTCTCCTGTCGGTTCTTTATTGTTAGACTTTTATTATGCGTCTGACATTCGTTGTGTTGTGAGAACGTTATAAATACTGTATTTTGCGCACCGGCAAAAGCCATTGGCTTTGGGTTGGTCGTGTGTTTAGAGCTTTGAAGTTTTCGTCTATCTCATCTCTTATCACTCACTAACACCGGCGGAAGGTGCTTTGCCAGTGTTGCCAAGTTTGCTATAACTTGGCGTTTGTTTTTAGTTAGCTTATGAAAGTAATAAATAAAAGTGATTAAAATTGCAGATACATATGTACATAGATAAATGCATAAAAAATAAATAAAATGCCACATATGAAGTTGGCTTATTGTTTTTTAAAACATCAGTTTACTCTTTACTTTGTTAATCGGTATAGTAATTTGGTTCACATACCGGTTGACTGCCAAATATATAACATAATATTTAGCTCTGTTCGGTGAGAAATGTCAGTAGGAATCAGCTAGTAATGAAATTGAGAGAGTAAGATGCCTTAAAGTTACTAGGCAATACCTCGGAGTTGGTATTTTTGATTTCTATTACTTTATTTATACTCAGTTTGGTATGCCAATACATAATAGATAAAACAAGGTTCGTAAGTCTTGCATATTCATTACCAAAATTATCGCATGCTACATCAATATTCCATCGACTCAGTCGCCCAGCAGAGAACGTTTACTCTAGTGGATTATTATCCGCTTCCTCAGAGACGCCGTACAGTACAGTGAGGAGCAGGGTGTCGCAGTAGGCCCGAATAACTTCATCCGTCATTGCGCGCAACAATTGAAGCTGTGCCCATCCGTAGTTATTGAAGTTATTGCTAACAATATACAATTCGTGCAAGATTAGCACGTCGCATATTATGTGAGTGGGTCCAAAGCGAGATATCCACCGATCCCGATTTTCACGCCGTTAAATTCAAAATATTACTGTTTTACTTGTTCTATGTGTAGAGGGCATCATTGGTTAGGTGTGGCGGACGCGGTAGCCGAGTGATTTTCATTGCGTACTGCCATTCGGAAGGTTCGGATTCAAATCCCAGTACGACCCACGTCCAAAAGTTCTAGTAAATTAATTTAATTAAAAAATTAAGCTAAATTTTCTAATTGCGGTCGCCTCTCGGCAGGTAAAGTCAACCTCTCCGAAAGTAATTCTGACATGAAAGAAAGCTCCTTGTTGGAAAAAACATCAAAACGCAAAACCACAAATGGGAGGAGGAGCTCAGTAGAACATCGCTTCGTCGGTTTCAAAGCTACAAGTGAGGAGTCACTTGTCAACGCCAGATAAGTCCTTGTCTCATTTTCGGCCATAATTGCCGATTCGTTTGCATTGTGTATAACATTCAGAAGGCCAGGGTTCGCGTCCTAGTTCGGCCAACATCCCGAATTATAGAATTTTTTTCTAAATGTTTTCGTCCGTTGACAGGGAATGTCAACCCCTATGAATGTATTTCTGACAAGAAATAATGGTTCCTTATAACAACCAAAATTTTGAGGAGGAGCCCGGAAAGCGATTACATATATACTGGGTTCCAGGCTGCAATAATGCTCCAGGAAACGAAATAGTTGATGAGATTGTCTAAAATTCCGAGACAGTACAGAAAATACGCAAGTCACTAAAAACAATATGCGGAATAAGGCCGAAGGAAAACAAACTGATTTTTTCGATGACTAATGCAGGAAGGAAAGTTCATGGGAGGGACGCTTGAGCACCCTCTGTTTCTCTCTGGCGTGACCTAGAACTCGTTTTAAATATCTAAGGGCTTTGCAGTTCAAAGAACTAGATGATGTATCAAAATTAGATATCATGGCTCGCTTAAACTGTGCAAAAAGCGTTGACATCTTCTACGGAGACTACTTCAGCTCAAACTAAACTGAACTTCTGGCATTACACAGGACAAGCAGGTCTATGTATGGCGTGACAACTAACCAGTATAACTCAACCTAACCTGCTTTTTTCAACCGAAGAATACTACGAATACTTTAAAATTTCAAGAAAAGCTAGGAAAATGAATTATGGTCTCTCTGGCTTCATTATTGACTCATCATACTTTAGCCTTCAAATTTTTTGGAATGACAATGAGACTTAGCAGGTGACATCGGATCATTTTAAGGCAAAAATAAAAATTTTAATGGTTTTTCTAAATATCAATTTTACTTTTCATTTTACTAGATTTTGCATCACCCCTCGTACATGGGTAAACACATGAGTATGTGTTTCTACAGAGCTTTATACACTACAACTTTTCTCAAAAAAACTAAAAGCTTTATGTTAAGAATCACACACTCTCTTCGTATATACGAGGGCTGCCTTTTATATTTCAGTATTTGGCAACCCTAGTATTGCAATCTAGCAACTGCCAACTTTAAAGTAAGTAAAAACTTCCAACGCAGATTAACTCACCAACAGTGCATCGATGTTTGTCGATGGTATGCTGAATTCAATCGTGGTCGCAGATCACTCCAAGATGAATTTCGTGAAATTCGTCCAAAATCACTTTAGTTCTGTACCTATTGAAGCTATTCCCAAACTGATGATGCAAGACCCTCATGTAATCTATCTTGAGATTTAGACAACTATGCGCATTAGTGGGACTAACTATTGCATGAAAATTTAACTCGTGTCGACGGTGACAGGTGACGAAACATGGATTTATGCATAGGAACCCGAAAGTACACAGCAGTCGATTGAAACCCAAAAAAATGTTCGCGTACGAAGCGCTTCAAGTAAATGGTTGACTGTTTTTATTTTTTAAACTGTACATGTCGCAACCGCACCAGAGAACAACGCAGTACAGCCCCGCCTGCAGGTTAGGGGCTCAATAATTTACTCGCGGTAAGGCATGCCTGTCGTAAGAGACGACTAAAATACAATAGTTCCCGCGACAATCGGGTCTTTATACCGTAATGACCCGGATTTTTACCCGGCCAAGAACTGTCACTGCCGCAAAATTCCCCAAAAAGTACTTTGGGGAATAATTTTGCGGTTACAACAACACCAACAACAACAACAACAACAACGTTTTTCGACATCTAAAAAGGCATGTCTTCAAAAAATAAATATCTCAACCAGAGTGGCAGAAGTACTATGACAATTGGTTCAAATGCAGGCAAAAGTGTATAGATCTTAATTAAGATTTATATAATAATTAGATTTTAAAAACAGTATGACGATTTTATGCGCCAAATTTTGGGTTTTGTTCACTAATTCCGATATGCAAAGGGCAACCCTCGCATTTATTTCTGAAATTAAATTGTATATACAAAGAGAATACTTGCTCTTTGTTCGTGCAAATGCTCTCAGTCTTTTTGCTTGTAGAACTCTTTTAAAGAGTGATCACTCGGAGATATCATTTATTGATTCGTATTGAGAACGGGATAACACAAAGGTATGAAGAAAACAAGATTCTGAAAAAATAGAAAAAAAGAAATTTTGCTTATTTGCTTACTTTAGTCAATTTGTTTGTACGAGTACATTTTCAAATGGGTAATTTAAAATTACAAATGCTTGCTTACATTATATATATATATAAACATTGTCGTGTATCGCTTCCGCGGTTATAAAGTGCCATTTATATATACATATACTTACTATATGTATGGCTTTATCTATATCAACATTTTTGCATATTTGTGCATATTTACATACATACATACGCCCTTAAAGACTCGGTTTGCTTTCGCCCACCTCCATTTTATGTTCTTTCATACATATTATTATTTTTTGAATATGTCCACAGACACTTAGCAACTATTAACCGGTTGCTATTAGTGATAATAGAATTTTTAATTAATTATAGCCCAGTTATCAGTATATATGTATGTAACTTAATGACCTACAACAAATAAATATTTAAAATCTAATTTCATCTTCATTGTTTTTTTTTAAATAACAAATTCTTTTTATTTATTAGTAAATATTTAGTGTAAATAGTTTTTTTTATTTATTGATTTATTAATTCTCTTTTAATACAACTTTATTGATTACACCCGGAAATTGTGTATATTTTTGTGATTTTCCAGTCAATGCAATGAATTGCTCAGCAACTTCCACAGCAACACGCACCTGCGCTTCAGCAGTGCTGGCACCCAGATGCGGCGTGGCCACAACTTTGGGATGCGCAATAAGTTTTTTAGTCACCTCCGAAACGGGCGGCTCCTCTGTGTACACATCGAAGGCAGCGCCACCGCATTTGCCTTCATTCAAAGCATCGAGAATCGCCTTCTCGTCAATAATGCCACCGCGTGCCACATTAACAACCTTAACACCAACTTTACATTTGGCAAGTGTTTGGGAGGAGATTAAATTTCTAGTTTGTGGTATGAGTGGCGTGTGTACGGTAATGTAATCAGCAAGTGGCCAAATACTTTCCAAATCCATTTTTTCAATACCAGCTGCACGTGCCTCCTCTTCTGTTGTTATCGGATCATAGCCAATGATACGCATGCCCCATACCTTCATGCGTAATGCTACCTCACGACCAATGCGTCCTAGACCGACAATGGCAAGAGTTTTGCCATACAATTCAGTACCGCTGTACAGTTTGCGGTCCCAGCGTCCCTCCAGCATACTACGCGCTGCCGGCACAATTGGTCGTGCCAAAGTTCCAATTAGTAGGCAAGTCAATTCACAGGCCGAAATTGAATTTCCACCTGGTGTGTTTAATACAACAACACCATGACTTGTAGCTGCCGCCACATCGATATTGTCCACACCAGCGCCAGCGCGTCCCACCGCCTTCAGTTTACCACCCTCTACTGTGCCGGCTTTGAGAACTTCGGCTGTTATTTTGGTGTCCGAACGTACAATAACCGCATTGTAGTTCTTCACTGCGGCGCACAGCTCGTTGACGGGCAATTTAAGTTTTGTATCAACTTGAATTCCATTGCTTTGTAGCAAATCGACGCAAGCTTTGTCTACCGCATCACAGATCAACACATTTTTAATATCAACAGGCATTTTTTTGAACTGAAATAACCTCTTTCTTGTTGTCTACAAAGTTTAGTGATAAGATTGTTGTTGTTAAATGTCGCAAAATAACACAAGGAACGTCTTTTCAGCTTTGAGAGCGGCTTAAAACTGAAAACCGTTGTTAGCGAACTTGGATTTTATAAGCCGCTGTTCAGTTGAAAAGAGAATGGCTGTGTGGAGAACACGCGAAATGACTCTTTTGTTCAAGTTTTTTCACAATGGAAGATATTTAAATTCACAATTTGAGACTGGATCAGCAGCAATGATCCACATATTCATGAACTTTTAAGAGCCCTGTAGAGATTACTTTATGCAAATTTTTTAGAAATTCGTATTTTTACTTTTTTAGGTTAAGAAAATTAATAGAATAAAATAAAATAAAATAAAATAAAATAAAATAAAATAAAATAAAATAAAATAAAATAAAATAAAATAAAATAAAATAAAATAAAATAAAATAAAATAAAATAAAATAAAATAAAATAAAATAAAATAAAATAAAGTAAAATAAAATAAAATAAAATAAAAAATAAAAAACATTAAACTAAAATAAAACAAATTAATATAAATTAAAATAGTCTAAAATAAAACCAAATAATAAAATATATCAAATAAAATGAAATGAAATAAAATCAAATAAATTAAAATAAAATGAAAAAAATTATATAAATAAAATAAAATAAGGTTAAATTAAATTTATTTAAATCTAATTTAATAAAGTAGCTGGCTATACGAGAACTTTAAAATTCAATTCATCTTGTTCAGATTTTAATTATATGTGCGCTTTTGCGGTCTTTAATTAAATTAGCACACTCTGTGTTAATTTAAGTTTGGGCAAGCTTTTAAAAAAGTTTAAGTGTTCATGAATATTTTTAATCAGATTTAATCATTCACATATTCCCTCATACATATATTAGTCTGCTAAGTAATTCAAAATAACAAGTCGCAAGTAATAAATGTATATACGTATGTATATTATTTCTTACTATTCCTTAGTACTGCCCATACATGACAGTAGATAACCGAGGAAAGCACAACAAACTAAAGCTCCACCACAGATGTAGAAATTTAATTCACAATAATTAGCCATTAGAGTGCCGGTTATATTGGCACCAGCGATATACAAGTTGCTATGGCACTAAAAATGGTAAGAGATAAATTCATTTTTATTTTTATTTTTTTTCTATTTTCCATATTTATGGACTTATTGTAGTTGGGTGGGACCCATTTCAACTGTAATAGCATTTACAAGAACTACCGCTTCGCCCCCTAAGGAAAACAGCAAATAAAGATATAAAGCTATGGTAACCGATAATGGTCTACAGGATGTAAAGGTAATTGTGATAATGACAAAGAATGGCAAGAAATAAATTAACTACACAAATATATGTATTAATAATTGGCGCTTAGTAACCGCTGAAGCGTTTTTCGGCCGATCTCCTCCTCCGATTTGAGGTCTTTGTGCCAAGGGGTTACCGCAATTAGGAAATTATATAAATAAAATTTGTATTTTCGCTTGCTTTAAGACAGACGCTCGTTCGCAGACGCAGCTCTGGTAAATAGACATTGAAATTAAGCTTCAGCGAATTTTTAAAGCGAAATTGGATTGGCTCCGCTGAAGCCTTGTTTTTTCGCCGTAACCCGTGGTTCCACACGTGTTGTTTAACCTATTACACCTCAATAGTTGTAAGGCTGTGCAAACTGTCGTTAAATAACACTTAAAAGCTCCGTCGGGATCAGAAAGGACAGCTCCTAGTCGTTCGACGCCAAACGAGACTTCCGACAAGGTGAGACCTTATCATGTGTAACTTCATTAATCTATTGAAACTGATAATATTGATTTCATTGCTGGCAACAATCACGCCGTATAGAAAGGGAGACGAAGCGCATGGGCAAGGACAAGACGAATTTTCTCCTGCCACCAAAGAAACAGGCAATTCGGACAGTCATAACTTTGAAGTTGTTGATAATTCCGTCGATCTGCGGGACAGTGTTAAGGCTAACAACAAAGTCAGTTGGAAACTCAACGCAGAATCACTCTTGCCAACAGTTGCTTCTTTGTACTGAGCAGGCAAATGATAGGTTAAATTCTAACTCGGCGAACAAAGACCAAACCCCACAAGTCCCTCATCGGCGTTAAGAGTTTTTGAGCGAAAGGTGTTACATAAGAGTTATGGCCTTTTGCGCATTAGCAAGGGCGATTACCGCAGTCGATGGAACATTGAGCTGCCCGAGATATACGACATACTCGTAGTTTAGTGGATCAAGACACTGCAGCTAAGCTGGCTAGGTCATGTGATTCGGATGGATAAGAATACTCCAGCTTCCCACCAGCGGAAACAGATGAAGAGGAAGGCCTCCGCTTTAATGGAAAGATCAGATCAGAGTAGTACCTGGCTAAACTTGGTATTTCCAACTGACCCAATTAGCGAAGTGAAGGAATGATTGGCGCGCTGTTGTTAACTCGGTTATTGCGTAAACGGTCAATAAATTTATTGAGATAAATTATGATCAGGCTTCACATGCGCGTCAAAAAGTTGAAAAATATTTTTTGAAATCCAAAACTATTGATAATATATGATAACGTTAATTCAAAAATAAGAAATATATTTAATATATTTCATACAAAAAGAGTTTAAGAGAAAAAATTGATTTTTAAAATAACTATAATTTTTGATAAAATTAAAATGAAAAAAAAAAAAAAAAAATATTTCAATATTAAAATGTAGAAATAAAAAATAAATAAATATAAAAAAATTTCTAATAAAAATTAGTGGAGCAGTGCATGTTTTGCCAAATAACAGCTTTTAATAAATATTTATTTGCAAAAAAAATCTCCGCCATATCCTTATTGGGTTCAAGATTGAAGATCACATTCATTATGTGTTATACTTCTTAGAAAAATCTAGAACTTCCATTTTTAATCGTCTAAACCCTTCCTTACAGCTGCCCTGCGATACTAGGTCAAGTAAAAAGTTCGTTCGCAGATGGCGTTATTGTCAATAGTACTAGTGTTACGTGCCACATCATGTCCTGCTATACGGCGCTGAAAACTTGTTTATTCGAACTAAAACTTTGTCTTTGAACGTTTTTCGATTGATTGACTTAAGACGTTGTGAGCGCTCGTGAAAGATGGATACCAACAAAGAGAAAATTCGCTATATTTCGAAATTTTTCTTCGATCAAGGCGAAAAACAGCCAAAGCGGCTGAAAAATTTAATATAGTTTATGGGCGCGTTACTGTAAACGAATATGTAGCACAAGTGGTTTTGTAAGTTTCATTCCGGTAATTTCGATGTTAAAGATGCACCACGCGTCGGGAGGCCTGTCGTCGAAAATTGCGATAAAATCATAGAAAGAATGGAAACAAACCGTCGCGCAAGCACTTATTTAATTGCTGAGGAAAGATAAGCCAAAAAACCGTTTGGAACCATTTGCATAACCTTGGATTCAAAAAAAAGCTCGATGTTTGGGTGCCACACGAACTTACGCAAAAAAACTTCACGAACCGATGATGCAAAATCCAGAATCGACTCGTTTCTGAAGCGGATTGTGACTGGCGATGAAAAATGGGTCACTTACAATAACATCGAGCACAAACGGTCGTGGTCAAAGTTCGGGGAAGCGGCCAAGACGGTGGCAAAGACCGGATTGACGGCCAGGAAGGTTTTGCTGTGTGTTTGGTGAGATTGGCAAGGAATCAGCTACTACGAAGTGCTCTCCTATGGCCAAACGCTCAATTCCGACCTCTACTGCCAAAAAATGGACTGCTTAAAGGCAGCACTCATCCAGAAGAGGCCATCTTTGATGAACAGAGGCCGAAATGTGATCCATCAGGACAACGTCACGTTTTTGGTGGCGAGCCAGAACCTCCAGAAGTTCGGATGGGAGGTCCTAATGCACCCACCTTATAGTACGGACCAGGTACCAAGTAATTATTATCTCTTCCTGTCCTGTCCAAACAAAACCATGTATACAAAGTTATCTTATTTTGAAAAAATCAATAGAAAAAACCGAACGAACTTTGTACTTGACTAATATATAACATATGCAAATTTGTAATCGAGTATATACTGAATATAAATATATATGCACATGTTACATTATTTATTTTAAAATAAACTTTACGTATATCAGTTGATAAGCGATGATTTGAGGTTGACGGTGTAATACGGCCTGGGAACCAGGTGGATGGTATAAATGAGCGAGAGTGATTTGCAGTCAGTGATGACTCGGTTATGTGATGTTTACGAAGGTTTTTAGATGTGAAAGCAAGGTTATAAAGATTATTAAGATTGCACTGTTTGTTTTTTTTTAAATAATTTTTCTAGACTTTTACTTAATCATTTGTATAAATCGTCAAAACAATTGTAGCCGGTGGGGGAAAATATATCAAATCAATCTATCTGAAAAATCATTAAAATGAAAAAGAATTCTGCCTCTCGGATAAAGAGAAAGCTTTTTACAACATCTTACTGGATGATGTTAAATCTACTACTCCTGTGTATCCGCTTACATGGGCAGATGGACGGTTCCAAGCGACGTCTCATTGCCCAAGCTCTGCAATTTTACGGTTAACTCGCTTCACAGTAACTGAATGCGGGGAAGTTAGAATCGTTGCGTACGGCTATGATATCTTCATAGCTTCTAGGACAAAGATCCCACAAACTCTATGCGATTTGACGCGGAGGATCATACGGAGAGTATCTAATTGGCTTAACCGTTGTGGTCTTCGCGTCAACTTAAATAAGGTCGAGTTGATCCTGTTCCTTAAGAAGTATAAATACCAATAAACCAGCTCACTTTAAATGGGGTTGACCTAAACCTCGATCGAAGGGCACATATCTGCGCTTTGGAAAAGAAGCAAAATTGGAAGGCCAACAGAGTATGCACATACATGTACAATAAAAGAAATGGAGTTTAAGCCCTATGATATGCCCCTCAATCTTAAAATCTGTTCTTCATAGTTTTACATTAGACTTAATGACGATGTCAACAATTTTGCTGGACTGCCACCGAGCTACGCATCAGATGACCAAACTTATCTTATTACTTTTCAGTTGGGTTTCTGGTCACAGGGACGTGGGGAAAATTGTAAGTAACTTGTAAGGTTGAGCCCGACTATGCACACTGTTATTTGCAGAATTTCGCAACAAACTTGGTCGAAGTGGGACCGAAAAGGTGAACACCGACGTATCAAAATCAGCCTTACCTATCTAAAAAAATTATAAATATTTCATTATTTGAAGAAACTTATATTCTACTATTTTTCTTCGATAAAGGTGAAAACGCATGCCAAGTGTTTATAGTCCTGATACAGTCAAACATCCACAATTTTGGTTTCGACGATTTCGTACCGGTGATTTGGAAGTAAAACACGTTCCACGGTGTGAAGGCCAATGGCGCTTTGTAACCGCTGAAGCGATTTTTCAGCAAAGCTCCTTCTCCAATTTGTGGTTTTGCGTCTTGATGTTTTTCCAACAAATGGAGGGACCTAAAGTTTATACTAAGCTGACAGAATTTAAGTTAATTTTTTATTTAAATTAAGTTTCCATAACTTTTGAATGTTGGTGGAACCGGGATATGATCCCGAGCCTTCCGAATGTCAATACGCAGCGCTAACCACTCGGCTACCTGCTATAAAATAATGGATATCGTCAAGTCTGCGCGTCATGCGAGCACTGTTTCGATTGCCCACGAGCTAAACATTGCACAAAAATAGTTTGGAACCACTTAAAAAAGGCTGGATACACAAACAAATTCGATGTATAGGTTGTACTTGAGTTAAGAAGAAAAAACCTCATGAACCGAATTTTCATTGGCGAAACGCTACTGAACCATAGCAAAGTAGATCCATTTCTGAAGTGAATGGCAACTGGTAATAGAAAACTTACAACAACGCCAAATGAAAATGGTCTTGGCCAAAGTGCGGTGAGTCGGCACGAAAGATCTCCAAACCGGATTTGAGAACCAAAAAGGTTTTGTTGTGTACGATCAGCATTTGCAACGACAGAATGAAGCAACCACCCAAAAGCGTCCAACTTTGACCAAATGGAGGGAAATTGTGTTTCAAAAGATGTAACGCCATGATCGTAATGTAACGCCGCTTCCCGAAAATCCCGAAAATCGCGTTTAGCTAAATTCGAACCAATTATTAATAATAATTAATTATAATAATTGAACTATTTTATTAGTTTTCATAGAAGACACACAGGCTAGCTAACGAACCGGCATTCGCATGCACCGCCTCTTCATGCAATTAAAAAAAATTTATAATTAAAAAATAATTATTATTTTATATAAATGTACATATGTATAAACAAGAGCTCTAGATACCGGGGGATCGAGCCCTTGATACTCCTTCATTGCTCAACTGCTAAAAAGATAGTTTGAAATTTTTTGAATTTCAATTTTGTTTGTCACAATTACTTCAGCATTTCAATGAGTTTTACACTTTGCATAAATAAAATTAAATTTATTGAAGAAAGTTCTGGGAAAAAGTCAGATTCTTTATTAAAAATTCTCGAATAAGCTCGAATTGCACGAGTTCAAGCAGCAAGGTATATAGAATACAAGGTTACGACAACCGTTGACGTCACCGAACCAACTTCGTTATATAATATATACAATGGGCGTTACTTAACATTTATATAATAAAAATAAATAATTTTCCCTTTAAAATTTTTATATGTATTTTCTTATTCAAAAGAAATCACCAAACATACAATTTTCGTTTTTGCACTTGAGTACTCAAGATGCCACAGTCACTGATTTGGCGATTTTTTACTTAAAAAATGCACACAAATTACCAAAAGCAACAGCAATAGCGTAGGTTGTTTTGATTAAATCAGTAGTGCGATTCTGTAACTTTTATCGACACGATTTGTCGGATCGCAAGCTAGCGAATTTTGTCGATTGCGTTAACGATTATGCGATTTTCTGACTCGACAACGCACATTTCCATTTTATTAAAACGAAGGAAAGGTGGCCCCACAACTTAACAAAACGTCAAAATATGCGATGCGGACAGCACAAAGGTGAATGAAAAAAAAAAAACAAATAAATTAGTTACAGTAATTATTTTTATTAAATATGCATTCCAAAGTTCATCAAATCGAAACTGAAATCTTGAGATAAGGATCACTTTGTTACGACAACAGTAATTGAAAAAAATGTATTCTCGCCATTTGCACGTTGGTAGAATGGTATTCACGAAGGTTGACATACGCTTCTTCACAATTTCTTGGACTCATGTTGAACACATGAGTGTAATCGATAGCCCCAGGAAACATTGAACGATTTACTGCTTCTGTCACGCGGCTCATGGCTATTTCCAATTGCTCTCCGACGGGACGTTGGTAGCATCCAGTTGCAATGAATCGCAAGGCGCATTTTAATAGTGCATAAACTGAAAAAATATTTAAAAGTAATATTATTACCTGTTTCTCACTTAGATAATCCTATTATTTTCTGCCTTTGAGTTGGCTTACAAAAAACTCAGTTGCATTCAAGTGGAAACGATCTTCAACTTGCGGAAGCAGACTTTTACCCAATGATGCACCTCACCATCTTCGGATAATAAGTATGTTAAATGCTCAAAAGCCATTTTTGTTTATAATTTCATTTTAATTTTTATATATCAGGTGTACAACTTTGCTTCCTGTACCGGCTGAGGCTGGTTGAAATACATAGATGATAATGCCTTTAAAGTGAGTGTGGACAGTGCCTAATGAATTTTCATCGCCGTTTCAGTGACAGTTGTTCTTGTTTCGTATTATTCACGCTCGAAAATGTCCGTTTATGTGTCTAATTCTCACCATTTGCGGGAAGTTTTACTTTTCTGTTACAATTCGAAAAAAAATGTAGATGAAGGGCATCGAATTCTCTCAGAAACTTACGGTGATGCTGCTCTGAGTGAAAGAACGTGTCGGGAATGGTTTCAACGTTTTAAAAACGTTTTACGAGCTTTTAAAACTGGGTGAAACCATCACAGGAGATCGCTACTGAACGCAATTGATGCGCCTGAGTAGCGCGCTAAAAGAAAAGCGGCCACAATATCAAGAGCGACATGACAAAGTCATCCTCCAACGCGACAATGCTCGGCCTCACGTCGCAAAAGTGGTCAAAAAGTACATAGAAACGCTAAAATGGGAAATCTTGCCCCACCCGCCGTGTTCCCCAGATGTCGCCCCTTCTGACTTTCATCTATTCCGTTCGATGGCACACGGCCTGGCAGATCAACATTTTCAATCCTTCGAAGAACTGGAAGAATGGATTGCCTCATGGATAGCGTCAAAAGAGGACTCCTTTTTTCGCGCCGGGATCCGAAAATTGCCGGAAAGATGGGAGAAAGTTGTCGTTAGCGAAGGACAATACTTTGAATAATATATTTGTAAGCACTTTTTGTGCAATAAAGCTATTAATTTTGGAAAAAAAAAACGGCGGAAGCAAAGTTGTACACCTGATAATTAGGCAATTTTCCAATTTAATTCACTTTATTTCAACCTTAATGAAATAACATAATTTCGTCGATATAGCTAACTAACTAACTAACTCAAAAATATTCATCGCTTAATTAGCGAATTGTCGAGTAGTTTACGACAACAGCGAGAGCTAATATCGTTAAAATCAGTACACTGAATATTAAAATCGTTAGAACTATCGCTGGGTCTTATTTGTGATCCGCCAATCGTTGTAATACGATAGAGAATTCCTCTACAGGTCTCAGGTGGCCGAAGAGCACCAAATGTGATTAAGACCTTTATCATTTTTTTTGGTAAGCAATACTTCATTCTTTTAGATATATTGTATTGCTAACTATCCGATGAGCTCAAGTCTTCTTAATGTCTAGTTTTCAGCCCAAAAAATTTATCATTAGATTTATAAAATGCGGGTTAACGAATATGCTGTGTACAATACCACATGCATGTATGTTTTAATTTTTCAGAACATACACGTATTAATATAAAGTACTCATACATTTTTTTTTCAAATCCTCTCCAGAACATCCCATTGCACACTTTTTCACCGCTTCGAATCTTTAAGTTATCCATTTACCTAAAGCTTTTTAGCAGACAAAGAAAATATGTGAAAATCGCTTTCCATATAATTTTTTTTTTAAATTCTTCTTCCTTAGAATTTTGAAAATTTTACACGTTCTTGGCATTATTTACTCATGCCATTCGTATTAAATGACACCAAAGGAATTGCTAGCTATGGAAATTTTTGTTAAAAGAGTATATTAATTTACGTAATCTGATTAATTTACAAAATTTTAAAAATTACAATGCATTTGTTCGGCATTAAACTATTCAGAACTTTTTAATTGTATTTGTTATTTATTTAAAAAAAATATATCAATGCAAGGCCTTAGCGGCTCAAAGCCACAATCTTACGCTGTTTCATAGATAAAATTATGCAACCCACAAATTGAACCAAATTCGCCATAACAACGCGTTTACTTTACGACTTCATATCAACAAACAGTTTATTCCGCTATACTCTATACTGATGTTGTCGCCAACGAGTTTACTTTGTAACTAACTCCCTTGTCAGCGGAGTGTCGCCCCTATATAGCAGTCGGCTGCCCGTAGACGAAAGTGTAGAATAATCGAGTTGTTAGATATCGAAGGTTCGCGTTTTATCGCTCTAGAATGTACTAGTTATCGGCTTCTCTCTTTCATCTGACATTCGCCTCGCATTTACGCCACAATATGATTTTCATCTTGTCGTAACCTTCTATTCTATAAACCTTGCTCAAGCACGAAAATTATCGAGCAATGAGCAATGAACCAACGTGCGAGTATTCGTTGTTCAAACGCTCCGGCAGCTCGAAAGTGTTCGAACGAAAATCTTGAGCTCTAGTATAAATATCTTATGTTTATTTGTAAAAATCCGGTAATGTCTTAAAGTCGCCGAACGATTGACTTGAGACTCCGTGAGATTGTTTCTTTGATTTCCGTGAAATCAAATCAGGGACTTATCTATAGTTCGATTTACTTTAAACTCCACTTTCCCACACAAAAATAGTCCGACGATGTTGAATTGCACGATCTATCGGCCCAGTACGCGAGATAATGCGGTCAACAAGAGTTTTCTTCAATAAATTGAATGTTTCGTTGGCTGTATTGCATGTAGCACCCTCTTCCTGATGCCCACATCACTATTCTTCAATTCAGACATGGATATGTTATTAACCATGACTCTATTGACATCACTCCAAATGCGAAAATTTTGTTCGGGATCGGTGGCCACCAGCTTTTGGGCCCATTTACCGCACATGCGACGTGCTTGAGGTCGTTCTTCCATTAATTGGATAGATATAGCTACAATTGTTTGGCGCAATGGTGGATGAACTCATTGTGGTCTTCTTCGATACTCTGCTTCACAGCAGCATTTGGGTCTTCGGCTTACACTGTATGACGTTTCAGAGGACGCATTATTATGCACTAGAGTAAACGAAGTGCGAAACCGATCTCTGATCGCTCGAATTATCGACTCTTCCGGGCGGTTATATTGACCGAATATTGGACGCAACGCACGATTCATGTTTTCTTTCACTACTCAAGGAAGATTAAGTACTTTAGATTTATTATAACTAATTAATTTGGGTTTTTAAAGATATCAAAATGTAGTTTTATATATTATTTATATATGTATTTACATTTCTACATAATGATGTACAATATTATTGAAGTTTTGATGAACGTATAAAATAGAAACAAAAACTAATTTTATGTGTTTTTCAAATTAAGATTCAGAGAATTAAAAAGTAATTGATAATTAAATGTAAATAATGAGTAACTTATGTTATACGAGCTTGTACTTGTAGTAAATTCTTTAAGAGATGTGTTTACATATACACACATATGTAAGAGCAAGGAATGTGCGATTAATTAATTCAATTACTTGATTATATTCAAAACAATAAATAAATGATTATTTGCAGTGATTATTTTAGGCTCAGCGGATTAAAATGCAATTAAAGTTCTTTCAAAGGTTTGACAATTTTTGAAAAAAAAACCAAAATAAAAGATGTGTTTAGTAACAAATGTAGTTAATTGAATCTTGATTAATAATTTCAGCAATTAAAGTAATCATATATTAATCGCACATCTCTAACAGTTCAACTTCTATATATGTATATTTGAATTAGGAATTAGATTGCAGCCTAAATTAATCACGCTTCACTTTTAGCCGCTGCTTCGGGACTCTTGCGTGGCAGTAGTAACACCAGAAAGCCACAAACATACATGGCACCGCAAGCAATGTAGAAATTCCACTCACAATATTGACCCATAAGAGCGCCAGCAATATTAGCGCCAACTACACTGCCTAAACGACCAATCATGAGGGATATACAACCAGCCATGGCACTAAGGACAGATAGTGAGATGCGGGTAATGACATTTAACAACTGCCAAATTATCGACTTACCGAAGATGTGTTGGATATAAATCGACTGTAGCAGCACCGAGCACATTTATCGCCACGCCCACCAGGAAAAAGAGTACGTAGAGGTAAGCGGCAATTGTTGGATCGGCTATGAAAATCGAGACTAGGCCACAGGACGTAAAGAATATCATCGAAATAACTGTTAAATTAATGTAATTAATTCTTTTTTCCTAATAATATTTATATTGTTAATTGAATTATATAAATGTTCTTATTTAGACATACAAAGTATTAATTTTTTTCCCACATGATTTATAATCAAACCAATAAAAGCGAACGAGCTGGCATAGAGAATTTCCATGATAAATGAGTAATAATAGGTGGAGTTTTCCAGCTTATTGATACACTCAATGGACTAAAATTGAAATAAAATATTATTTAATTAAGAATATCATACTAGGGAGCGTTTTTATGTTCTCGAAATTAAAGGATTGTAAGGGTTTGATGAGACTCATTATGATCGTAGCGAGTTCAGTAACTCATAATTAGAATTAAGACGACGTTTCATTATTATTAGGCAATCAGACTTTGAGCTATCTTCGACCAAGCAACATAGTCGTAAAACGAAGATAAAGTTTTCGGCATACACGGTGTGCACCAAAAATAACCGAATTTTTCGAATATGAAATAAAATACACATTATATTGTCTTTGAAAGTTATTATTTATTCTAAATAGGTTCCATTTGGATCAACACAACGTTTGGAACGATCAACCAGCGCATGCATAGATTTTTTTATGACATTTATAGAAATGTTCTTCAGTACCTCGGTTACGGCTGCTTGAATGACTAGGATATCATCATAAAATGCTCCCTTCATCTTGGTTTTCAGTTTTGAAAATAAAAAATAGTCACATGGCGATAGATCAGGCGAAGACGGAGAATGGTCGATAAGAGAAATCCCTTCTTTCATTAAAAATTCGAGCGATTTTTTGGTCGTCATTTAATTCATGTGGAACAAATCGCGCACAGACCTTTCTTTTCCCCAAATCTTCAGATAAAATTCTCCAAATAGTGTTTTTACTCGTATTGAATTCCTCAGCCAACATTCTCGAAGTAAAATTTGCATCGATACCAATGATTTCACGGACTTTTTCCACCAGTTCAGCACGATTACTAGTTTCTGGACGTCCTGCTCTAGGGTTGTCCTTTAAATCCTCACGACCATTTTTAAATCGTGTAAACCACGTATAAACTTGCGTACGACTCATACAATCATCACAATAAATTTTCTTTATTAATTTTTTTTCAAGTTTGACATAAAATTTTATATTTGCTTTTTGTTAAATGGCTGTCACTTTTACATCTGTCATTCGACTTACATGAAGTTAGGTGCGTTTGAAAGAGGACGAGTGTCTGATTTTAATGTTGCAAATTTTCAATAAATGGCGCTGTATGTCGTATGATTTAAATATAAAGTTCGGTTGTTTTTGGGACACACCGTGTATTTCGAAGATACAGAGGAAACATTTCTTATGAGATTATTAATGAGTTAATTGGAAGAACTGACAACTGTACCCGTCTTGCAGGTGAATATATTGAAATGGAAAAATATAATTTTTTTTTGTACTTCCTATCTTCCAGTCCGAGAGCATAAAAACCCTCCCGTTCCTTCCTCGTACTTGAAAATTTTAATAAAAATAATTTTACTTACGCCATCATTTTTGTAAAGATTCTTCTCCTGCGCATAAACAATTTCACAAATTTGCCTGTGCTCGCCCGGATGCTCCTGCATAAATGCCGCCATACTGTTTATTATATGCGGGAACCACATGTACAGACCATTTGTTATGACAAATAGCCAAAATTGTATATTACAAATAATAATGGTAATAAGCAAATATCTTCGCTGAAACAAGGGCACAGTCTGATTCCACATGGTTTGTAGGAAGACGATCGCGAAATTTGAATTCGAATCAAAATTATTACTAAATTTCAATGTCGAAATCACGACGTCGTCCTCATCAGGCAGTATGTTTGTGATCTGATAGAAATAATAATAAAAATACTCTGAATGTCGTAATATAATATTTACAAAATTATCAACTGCACACATTAGGCAGCCGCTTGCCACCGCCATTCCAACGATGCATTTTCTTTAGCACTTCAATGGCTTTCTTCTCATCGCCAACAGCGAGTAGAAATTTCGGACTTTCAGGTAGAATGAACAGAGAGAGACCACAAAGGAAGCCTGGTATACCGCAAACAATTACAAATAAACGCCATGGCTTATAGTCGATACCGATGAACGTTAAGTGTAAAACCCAATCTTGATTGATAACTAAAAAGGCGATCATCGGCAGAATCATGGCGCCTATGGCGAATATGAATGCTGAGCCCATGATGGCGCGTGAACGTGTCTTATCGGTGTGAAATTCACCGAGGTAGGCGTAGATTGTTGCAGTGCTCGCCAAGCTGTGGGCGAAGCAAAAAGATAATTTTAATAAATGTTTGTAGAATATTTAAAAAAACATGTAACTTAAATAAAACATTAAAAGAGGTGTTCCAAAATTATCGCAAGGCTTGAATTTTCCGCCTTGTGGCAATTTAAAAAATTGAAAGCTAACAGGTTAGTTATAGTGTTAGCTTGGTAATGAAACACTAACCCGGTTCGGTGAAAAATGTCAGTAAAAATAAGCTTGAAACGAGAGAGAATGTTGAGGGAGTAAGTCGGAGACGACTATTTTTTCCAAACCAAAAAACCGTCTCCAAGAGATGAGTACTCTCTATCTTCGTTCCACTCATTAGACATTTTTCAAAAGACCAAAGTGGTTACCCACAAATCTACTCGCTTCTGTCGAAAAAGTCAGTAGTCGGAAGGATTAAAATCCAGTTAATAAAATTACTTTTATAGGCCTATTCCGTCGAGGAAATCCAATTTACCAATCAGTAAATTTTATACTATTTTAAATCCTGAGTTCACTGTAAATTTTGTTATCCGCGAAATAGGATTTAAAAATCAATCTGCTGTTTGATTTTATTTTGTTTTTTTTGATAGAAAAATAAAAACCAAAATTTGTAGACATATTTTACGTCTAGGATTTAAAAAAGATGAAGAAGAAATGCAAAAAATTACCGTTTTAATTTGGTAGATTGGGTATTCATTCCCCTTTTTTGTCGTCCTGGCATATTTTCCATAATTAGGTTCAAATATTTATGATTTAGTAAACAAATTAATAAAACTTATTTATTTTATTGTGCACCCTCTTCCATTTCGATGTGAATATTATTCTTTTATACTAAAGCAACTGGGAAATGTAATTTGACAAGGACGAAAAAAGCAGTGCTGCCAAAGTTTTTTTCAAACATTGTAACCAGTTGGCCAGAATATCAAATTCAATTTCGGGTGTTAAAAAAAAAACTAACAAAATTTACTTTACCGGTAACAGTGAGAATAGGCCTGTGAATGTCAAAATTTCGCTCTCTGGGGTTAAATGTTAATGACTTTTTGCATCACCAAACGCGGTACAGTAAAGTTCAGTGACGATTGTTACTGCTCATCAGGTCAGTGAATAGAACAAATTTCATTAATACAGTGAGTATGTATGAGCAAAGCCGTGAATGCAATTTGTGCGATGTGTTAATCGATAAATATTATTTTATGATTCAATATAAACTCACAAACTAAAGAGTAGACTCTATATTAAATTCAAGTCTCATGTTAATTTTAGCACACGCTTTATATCGCTGTGGCCAAGAACATTCAAGTAAATATCAATAAAATCCAAATATATTAATTTTATATAAAATTTTACGTACACGTGAATACTTACAAAAAACCGTTAAGAAAACGCAACATAACCATTGACCAGAAATTAGGCGCAAAACTCGAAAGTATCGTCACGGTAAATGTAGCTAACAGTGTTGGTCTCATTACTTTGCGTCGTCCCTTTGTGTCCGCCAAAAATCCCCATAAATGTGAACTTGAAATAATGCCGAGAAAACTGATCGCACTCAGCACACCCTTATCCACATTTGTCAGGTGTAGATCACATTGTGCGATGGGCAATATGAAGCCCATGGAAGATGTCTCCAGCAACACCACCGCCATTACCATGCCGGATATGAATATGAGGAAGTAATTAAATTTACCAAAATCTAAAATGTTCGTAAATAATTCAGGACACTGACTGTGAGAAAATATTTATAAGAAATTTGCTTACTCGTCAACGCCAAGGCATCACTGAAGGTATAAGCGTCCGGTCCACGATATTTGTTAACCGTTGCAGCATCTTGATTGGCTATGGTGTGTACTAGTTGAAATATTATTTGTATAAGTTAAAAAAAAATTAAAAAAAAAATATTTTAAATATAATAATTTGAACTCAAATATCAATTTTTCAGTGAGGTAAAAAAGTGTGTTTATTTTGTATTATTATTTTGTAAGCACTTGCATCTACTTGTCTTTTTCGAATTTTTTTTAGTTTTAAAGTGATTGTTGTTTCATTCATATGGACTACGATAAAAAAATTATTTGTTATTAATCGCACTTTAACTCATATTAAAAATACGGGTTTTGTAGATTTTTGAAGGCATAATTTGAATATTAATTTTTTATTTTTTAAAACTGGGGAACCATTTTCAATTTGTTTCATATTAATTATCAGGTGTACAACTTTGCTTCCGCCGTTTAGCGATAGGTGGCTGTACCAGCTGAGGCTGCTTGAAATACATAGATGATAATGCCTTTAAAGTGGGTGTGGACAGTGCCTAACAAATTGTCATCGCCGTTTCAGTGACAGTTGTTCTTGTTTTCGTATTATTCACGCTCGAAAATGTCCGTTTATGTGCCTAATTCTCGCCATTTGCGGAAAGCTTTACTTTTCTGTTACAATTCGAAAAAAAAATGCAGCTGAAGCGCATTGAATGCTCTCAGAAACTTACGGTGATGCTGCTCTGAGTAAAAGAACGTGTCGGGAGTGGTTTCAACGTTTTAAAAATGGTGATTTCGATGTCGAAGACGAACATGGTGACGGAAGAGAAAAACCTTCAAAGATTTACTACGAGCTTTTAAAACTGGGTGAAACCATCACAGGAGATCGCTACCAAATGCAACTGATGCGCCTTAGTCGCGCGCTAAAAGAAAAGCGGCCACAATATCAAGAGCGACATGGCAAAGTCATCCTCCAACACGACAATGCTCGGCCTCACGTCACAAAAGTGGTCAAAAAGTACCTGGGAATGCTGAAATGGGAAGTCTTACCCCACCCGAAGTATTCCCTAAATGTCGCCCCTTCTGACTTCCACCTATTCCGTTCGATGGCACACGGCCTGGCAGATCAACATTTTCAATCCTTCGAAGAATTGGAAAAATGGATTACTTCATGGATAGCGTCAAAAGAGGACTTCTTTTTACGAGCCGGAATCCGAAAAGTGCCGGAAAGATGGGAGAAAGTTGTCGCTAGCAAAGGACAATACTTTGAATAAAATATTTGTAAGCACTTTTTGCGCAATAAAGCTATTAATTTTGGAAAAAAACGGTGGAAGCAAAGTTATTGAGTGCAAAACTGGTAAAAAAAATTTGCTCATGATTTGAATTAAATCACTCCAGCTGAAATTATTACTAAGGAAATATTTCTAAAATTTATAACTTTGCTTTTATTTAAAAATAAATTATCTTATAAAATTTGAATACTCTCAAAATTAGCTTTATTATTAAGGTAAGAATTTGCCATTCGGTTTTAAAAATGATATCGAGCAAGTGACAGCTTTTTGCAGCAATAACACTTCTTCATTTAACTCCACATAAAATAGTCCAGCTAACAGGTTTGTTATAATGTTAGCTTGGATACATCTTAGGTTATGAAACACTAACCCTGTTCGGTGAAAAATGTCAGTAGAAATTAGCTTGATACGAGAGAGAATGTTGAGGGAGTAAGTCGGAGACGATTATTTTTTCCAAACCAAAAAAACCGTCTCCAAGAGATGAGTACTCTCTATCTTCGATCCACTCATTAGACATTTTTCAAAAGACCAAAGTGGTTACCCAAAAATCTACTTGCTTCTGTCGAAAAAGTCAGTAGTCGGAAGGATCAAAGTCCAGTTAATAAAATTACATTTACAGGCCAATTCCGTCGTTTACCAATTAGTAAATTTTATTACCATTTTATATTCTGAGTTCACTGTTAGCTTTTACATCAAAATTATCATAATGAAATTGACGAAACAAAAATTGTTTTTACTGACTTGCGCTGTCGCCTTTATGAAAGGAAATTTTAGAATATAGCGTACTTTAAAGCCATCTTTAATATGCGCTCAAACACTACTGAGTTAAGTGATCAACACTTCCTCTGTTCTCTTTTTTAGTACAAAATTCAATCTTTCTAACGCCATTAAGCGTAATCTGTAAAACCATCTAATGCAAAAAAATGGATGACATTTTACTAGACCTAATATTATAAACAGATTAAGTATTAATAAGTAAAGGTAATTAGGTACATTATTTTGTCAAAATTTAAAATAAATTATTATGAATTATGTACCAACAATTTTTATAAATAATATTAGGTCAAGTAAGAAGTTCGTTCGGAGATGGCGTTTTGTCTATAGTACAAGTATCACGTGTCGCATGATGTCATATCAATACGGCCCTGAAAACGTCTTTATTCGCGAAAAAAGTTTGTCCTTGACACTTTTTCGATTGATTGATTCAGTACGTTGTGAGCGCTCGTCAAAGATGGACACCATCAAAGAGAAAATTCGCTATTTTTTTAAATTTTTCTTTGATCAAGCCGAAAACCCGTTTGGAACCATTTGCATAACCTTGGATTCAAAAAGAAGCTCGATGTTTCGGTGCGAAGAAAGACAAAAAAACATGATGGACCGATGATGCAAAATCTAGAATTGACCCGTTTCTGAAGCGGATTGCGACTGGCGGGTCACTTACGACAACATCGAGCAAAAACGGTCGTGGTCAAAGCTCGGGGAAGCTGCCCAGACGGTGGCTAATACCGGATTGACGACCAGAAGGGTTTTGCTGTGTGTTTGGTGGGATTGGCAAGGAATCATCTACTGCGAGCAGCTGCCCTATGGCCAAACGCTCAATTCGGTCCTCTACTGCCAACAAATGGACCGCTTGAAGGCAGCACTCATCCAGAAGGGAACTTATTTGATCAACAAAGAGAGACGAATTGTGTTCCATCAGGATAGTGCCAGGCCACACACGTCTTTAAGGATGCGCCAGAAGCTCCAGGAGTTCGGATGGGAGGCTCTAATGCACACACCTTATAGTCCGGACCTGGTACCAAGCGATTACCATCTTTACCTGTCCATGGCGAACGACCTTTTTGCCAATAGGGACGCAGCTTTCTACGAGAGGGGTATAATGAGTTGGCATCTCGTTGGAAACAAGTTTTCGAACAAAACGACGACACAAAGTTATCGTATTTAGACAAATCAATAAAAAAACGAATGAACTTTTTACTTGACCTAGTAATAACAAGTATAGACTGTTATAAGCACCTCAATTGCTGTTAAAAAGTTAAAAATTAATCTTTTTCCATTTTCTTTTTTAGGCCCCCAAAAAAACGGTCGCAGATTGTAAAATTTTTATTTTATTTTATATATATTTTTATTTCCGATTATTTTATTATTATTTTTTTTTTTTTGGGTACTTTGAACATTCTATTTTTTATTCGGTTATATTCATTGAAACCCAAAGACGAAAATATTTGCATATTTGTATATTTATCACTGTTTCGCTGGCCGTGCGTTATTTTCCAATATTTTTATTAAAAATTTAATATTAATTTAATATAATTACATTGGTAAACACTGTTCTTGTTACAAAGGTATTTCAATAAATCTTAACAAATTATCCAATCTCCAAACTAGTCATCGATCAAAGGATCCATTCCACATATTGCCGACCTGTCTGTGCCGAAAACTCCAATTTCTGGATTAAGTTAACACGATATGGTATCTCAAAATAGGTAATTATGAACCGACAACTTCAAAAACACAGCACTTTTTGCCGGTAATCAAGAATGGGAGCTTTAAAGCAGAACTGATTGACCAAAAAAAAAAACTTCCTGGCAAATTTTTTATGAAATTGTTCAGAACTTTTTTGGAAAATCACAAAATTATTAAAAACTAGTATTAGTAATAATAATAATTAAAAATATATATGCCGAACTCTCAATCGAATTCGTTTCCGCCAATTAGGGCGCTGTGAGGGAGAGACAAGGTGAGAGCTTCCATCAGTACATTTCCATAATGGAAATGCGTTATCGAGGGAAATGCAGTTCTGGAATGCTAGTAGAATATTTTTGGAGACTTGGAAGCGACTAATATTTATAAAAATCCTAAGTAGTCATTTTATGTTAGACCACAAAATTTTTTAAATGAAAATTTTTGTATTTATTCTGAATATATTGTACAATAGATGCTCAAAATCAAGACTTTAGTTGGGCTTTCTGGCAGTTGCTACTTAATTTATACTCAGTTTGGGTTGCCATTTCAAGGATTGAAGAAGAGCAACCATCAGCACGTCTCACGTTCGGTGCCAGGACCCAATAACGATTTTCACAAGAAAATTACGATTTTCACAGGAAAATTTTTTCAGCGATAAAGCTCACGTTATTAAACAAAATTGTCTTATTTGAAGTGATGATAAAACACAAGCCATTATTGAGACGCTATTACAGCGTTTGCAGGGTCGTAATAAAGTCGCTTGTCTACGCAGATAAGCCTAAGACAATTGACACCCTGAAAGAGGCGTGATATTGCTGACATACGGCACAGGTAGCAGCAAAAAGTGTTCGAAAATTGGGACTTTCGGCTAGAATTTATTCAAGCCATTCGCAGCGGCCCTTTGCTCTAAATAATTTTTAAAAACATAATGGCCAACCCTTATCTTTAATAATAAAGCTAAATTCCTGGCCATAACATTATACTATATGCGTTTTGTTTCTTCTTGAAAACCAAATTGTCTAAAAAAACACCCTTCACATTTCAATTTCGTTTACCAGCGCTATCTCAGCTGAGTTTGCAGTAATAAATTAGTAACATTTTTTTAAATTAATTTTATATTAAAACTTATTTGTGTTTGCTTATTGATTTTATTTAAAGCATTCACATTTACATTTGCATACTAAACCATACCGTTTCAATTCACTTTTAAACATATTTTAATTTTTTTCACAAACATTTCACATATTTTACTTTGCACCTTTGCACCTTTTCACTCTTCTTACCCATTTTATTTAGTACAAAAAAAAAACTAGTCTACGCTAGTCGAGTTGCATGAACAATCAATTGAAATAAATGTGTGTGCTTGTGCGCGCGGTTCTCAAAACGTAACGGAGATGCACGTCGTAGCTACGCGAAACTCGCGCTTAACTAAAATCTTCGCCTACTTTGTTAAACTATTTTATTCGGTTTTAACAAACAGTCACACTGACTAGCCGTCGAACTGGTGTGCGCATGTGTAACACCTTCTCACATTAATAATGATATTTATAATTAAAAAATAATATTAATATATTATATTTCTCTACATGTGTATGCATGTATGTTTCGCACTGTTGTCAACCAACAACTATTGTTACTGTTAGTTGCAAAGTAAGCGCACGCGATCGATTAGCGAACCGAGTTTACCAGAATCGTAGCAGTTGAGGACAACCAGATCCAATGAGCCAGCACACCCAAGGCAGGCGGACCGTATCACAACGATATCACAGATGAACTAAACATCATATAATATGCGTGTACTTTGTCAGACCGGAGCGGACCAGACTAGCGCCGGCAATATGCATGCATGCATAGCCAATTCAAATCGCGTCTTCAAGTGTCCACCTCCATAAAATTACTTATGTATGCACATACAAATTAACTGGTTGATTGAATGCGTACACATTTGTTTGACACTTGTTGTTGTTGACTGTGTTTCTTCTCGTGGCCGTGGTGGTGGTGGTGGTGGTGTTGAAGTGTCGCTTTAAATGTGATTACTTTCACCATTAATTCGACATATATGTATGTATAATAATTGAAATACATACATATATGGGTTAACTTGACGCATTGGGTGTTTAGTTGAATGCAAATAAATCACGGCTTTAATAAGGGTGTGTGGCATACCTACCCTGCAGGGAAATAGAACGTTTAAAAACTAGTTAAGGAGCGGTTTTGTAGCCGTCGTCATAATAAGAAGGTGATTCTACGCCGCCCTATCTAAATTTGATATACCCGTAAACTGAGGCTGGGCAGTAGTGACAGTTCCGTCAGTTGCGTCGTACCTCTCAGTGCTGTGACTCTCTATCGTGCGACATCATTAACTTATCTGGAGAAGAAAATACAAGCTGTAAAGCTAAATATAGAAGTACAATCATCTACTAGTATATAAGCGTATAGCTGCGGGCGTATGTATTAGATGATATTGACCTGTATGCAATGGGATCCCGCATGACACTAACCACCTATTTAAAACCCCCTTAAAACCTACTCGTTTAACCCCTTTCCAACTGGTCCGCACAACAAATTTTTTTCTGGACTCTTTTGAAATTTAGGGCTAATTCGAGTAAATCTGATGTTTCCAAAGGTATTTTTTTTAATTTTTTATGGAAGGAAGAAATTAAATTCCCTTCAAAGTATCTTTGAAAATAGAAATTTAATTATATAAATACATATATAAGGTGTAGTAAAAAGAAATCCATTATTTTTGCGCGAAATTGTATAGTTTAATTTTTTTACTTTTCGTATCCAGCCTTATTGAAATGGTCACAAACGGTTTTATGTGCAATCTTTAGCTCCTGGACAATTGAAACAGTGCTCACAGGACGGTCGGACTCCGCAATGTCCATGATCCACTCCGTGAAGCATGTTTTACATCAAAATTACCGGAATGAAACCGAAATTGTACATGATTGACTACAACGGTGTCAGGGCCATGAATGCCGCCTGGTTAGCGTTTTCGCCCTCATCGAAGAAAAACTGTAAAATATAGCGTATCTTCACTTTGCTAGTGTGAATCTTTGAAGCACGCTCAAACAAAACTGAATTCACCAATCACAAAACTGTCAGAAAAGTTTTTTTTAGTACAAAATACCATCTTTCGAACGCCATCTAGTAGAACTCGATCGGACTTATACAATGCGAGATACAGATAAAAAACGCCATCTATTCGAAAAGTAATGGATTTCTGATTACCACACCTAATACATATACAATTTTAAATATGGACCCCTGCCGGTTAGGGGCTCAAGAATTTACTCGTGGTAAGGCATGCCTGCCGTAAGAGGCGAATAAAATCTAATAGTTCGCGCGACAGTCGGGTCTTTTTACCGTAACGACCCGGACTTTCATCCGGCCAAGGACTGTCACTCACGCAATATTCCCCGAAAACCAATTCGGGGAATAATTTGCGGTTACAACAACAACAACAACAAAACAGTTTTAAATATTCCCTTTAAAAAGAAGGAATCTCGAATCTTCAAAGTTGCAAAAATCTATTAACCCCCTCAAATGTGTCGATCTATCGTCGTGAAGTATAACTAAAACGACTCGTTGCAAATTCGAGGCGAATTCGTTGTGTTTATTGTGCTTACATTTACAAACAAACAGGTGTGTGTATGTTAAACTAAAGCATTCGCAAAGATTTTATTAACCAGTTATTAATATATTTCTCTTTTATTAATGCGACTATTTTTTTTTAAGTCATGGCTACTTGTGTTTGTCGAAAAAAAAATAATTCTAAGAATTTAATGCATTTTTGAGCACGCATGCAGGGTTGATTTCATACGCATAAATGTAAATATATATGTTGAGCTGGTTCGAAAAGCTGTAAAGAACAAAAAATAAAAAGAAATAAAGAAAACAAGAAGTTTCCACGAATTAATGAATGAAATATTTACGTGTTGGTTGTCGAACTTTTCCCAGAATTTAAAGTCTCTAAATTGGCTGGCAATGATTTTTGTTGAAATAAAAAGTATGTCATGAAAATGTGAAGTGAGGTTAGGTTAGATCTTAATTCATAATTCTTATTTTTAGTTAATTCAATTCCAATACTTACAGTAACCTTCGCGAATTCATAGGAAATTTAAAGCAAGAGTAGCTGTCAAGTATAACTCGACAATCACGGGTGGGTGTTATGCAGTCATTTATGCACATAATGTATGGCTAATTAATATATACACATATATATATATATATATATATATATTTCTATATATATGTATATATTTATATATTTTTTTTATATATATTTTCTTATATATTTGTTGTTGTAGGTTACATTTAATTTACATTTAAGCCCTTTATTACTAATAATTTATGTACGAAAAACCTTTCACTAAATTTATGTTGTTTTTTTTTTTATTCATATTCATCTAATTTACATTGCTGTGTGAACAAAATTTATTCTATTTTATTAATTATGGGAAAAATAAAATAAAAAAGTAATAATAGATTTTATTTCACTTTTAAAATTTGTATGTATGTATGTATACGTATTGTCATCGAAATATTTGGTTTTCAATTCACGCAGTTGAACATAACCTACTTCTCTACTCAAAATCTGCATAAAACGACTTGAGCCCATTTTAGTGTGCATTAAGTTTATATGCTTCTAAGCAACCCGCTAGTTATGCAGTAATTGCGTTGTCTCCCGTCTCCAGTGGTTTTAAGTATATTTGAATTATAAATGTCATGACACTTCAGTTTAATTTTTTTTTATATTTTATTCAATAGTAGAATTATTGGCGTCTGGTTTTAGCCAGTATCATTAAATTATTTGATATTTCACATCCTCACACATAATGCACTTAAACTATATTTAAACTAGATTTTTTAGCACTTCAAAGTGCTGTTTGAGTTACAAGATGTATGTACAACTGTTTGTAAATGTACTTTTGAATTAATTAAATAATCATATTAAAATGTATTTGAAATATTTTTGAATGTGTGAAATTTTATATTCAACTCATCATTTGTTTTATTGCGTCGCGTAATTGAAATTCGAAAGGAGTGTGTACTCGAAATGGGTGCTGATATTAAGCTTTTATGTGTTCTTAAATACACTATTCGAGATTACTTCCTCGCATGCGCCGCACGTGTGATACATTACGTAGCGTAGACGCATATTAAGTTGCTCGTCATTATCACTTTCGAGTGCAGCAATATTGATTTTACAGCAAGTAGTTCTCGACGGTACGTTAACTGATAACGCCTGGTCACGATTTCATAATTTTGTAAAGTATTTTGGCGCTCTGGGTGATTTTTTTTACCGCTGGAAAAACGATAGATTTATATAAATGTGAAAAGATAAAATTGAATATCATTCATTGCTGGCAGAGACACCGCTTACGCGATCATAGCCGAGTTAACAACAGTGTAGCCAGGTCCCTCTCCACCAAATGCTTCCCACAGAGTGGCAGTTTTGCTCTTTCTCTGCTTCCACCAGCGGCAACTGCATCGGATACTTTCAAAGCTGGAGTGTTCTCATCCACCAAGATCATATGAACCAACCATCATAGCTGCTGTCTCTTTATTTATTGAACTAGATCAATGTTGCCGTATAATTCGTACAGCTCATCGTTGCATCGACTGCGGTACTCGTCGTTGCAAGTGTGCAAAGGACTATAAGTCTCACGCCAAACTCTTCTTTCGAAAACTCCAAACGCTGACTCATCAGAAGTTGTTATCGTCGATGCTTCTGTACCAAATGGCTTGGCAGGATTGATGAGTGACTTGTAGAGCTGCGTACTCAGTCCATTTGCGTTGGATCTCCAAGATTTCCAGGTTGACATTGTTTTTTGGTCTTAAAACTGGTTCCGTGATAAACGATAATACTTACGAATTCAAAGTACGACTTTCAACAGTGACGTAGAACCCAAGTCGCGAATGCATTTAACTATTTGGTTGGGATGATATGATCTGATCTATAAAATTATGGTGTGAGCTGGTCATAATGATTTTGGTTTCAACTATTCAACTTATTAAATCTGATAGCAGAGTATGCTGTAACTTGATGTTGCAGCATGTTCGGTGCCTTACTCGGACATGACTTTTGTAATAACCGCTATACCTGCTCCTCTTTGAATTTCATTTCATTTTTTGATTATACAGGGTGCATTATTTAGACCTTTAGTATTTCAATATTGAGGAAAAAGCAGCTCTTTTTAACGCATTCTGGAAAACTTTGGCCAGCATTTCACGCGTTAGAGCAGCTAATTCGGCTCGTATGGTATCTTTTTGTTCGTCGGTTGCTTTTAGCTTGCTGACATAAAATTTAGTTTTCAAATAGTCCTTAAGAAAAAATTCAAAAAATTCCAAATCACCATTTTTCGTCACAACGTGTCCCGGGAAATATAAGCTCGTCAGACCTTTGTCGCTCATTTATGGACACACAAAGTGCGCCAACATCCAACGATAACGTTTAACTCCTAAGATCTGCGGCGATAGTACAAATTTCGATTATCGGCAACACACAGTGTGTCTGACCGTTCCAATAACTTCACCGGAGCATTTCGGTCGCGGTGGAATGGCACGCTGGCGAGTTGCTACAGAGCCATACTCGAAGAAATTTTTCAGCAAATTACGAACTGTGTTGCCTGAAGCTGCTAAATGTCTCACAGTGCGATAAGTACGCACTGTTTTCACAACTGAACGATTGTTTTCAATGCAAAACACTATGATTTCAGCGCGTTCTGGCGGTGTATATTGGCCCATGATTAAAATAGCGCTGAATGACGTTTCATAATCATGCGCATCTGTCAAAATCGGCTAAACACCAACAGAGTTATTCCATGTTGAAATACCGTAAGTCTGGATGGCGCACAATGTCTATAGTGTATAATAACGGCCGCATATTTAACTAGTATTTAACTAGCATGAAGCTGGTGCATACTAAGGCAGTTGACATTCCGTAAGGCTGCAACTACCCATTTCACTTGCCAGGCGTCCATAACTGGCGACGTCCAGGCGAGATAAACACACGAGTTATCGACGCTGCTGAGATCGGCGAAATGTTGCCAGCTGACAGTGTGTTTGCACACTTTTGAAAAAATTCATAATTTTCGTCAACAAATTTCATAATTTATTTGCTTGAACATAGACACAAGACAAATATACTTGATCTACTCGTATATGGTAACAAATAAATAGTTACGCATTTATTTTTCATTTCTTTTGGAAAAAAACTACGCATTTTCTTCGATTATTTAATGTTACTTTAAGAAAGACTATACTGGCAACCTTGTATAGCAACGAAAAATGAGCCGAGCCGGTGTTACGGAAAAAATCAAATCGCTGTTTGTTTCTGCGGGCCAACCGTCACTAACGGTATGGGCATGCGGTGACAACTTTCTGTTTACATGGCGCTCTCATAAGATAGGTTACTATGGACGGCTGGTACGTGAGTTGGGTAGTTGCAGCATAAGACATCCTTACGTCAAAAAATACCCGTCGCTAACAGGGGATGTGATGATAATAAGCTCGTTATTGGAAAAGCGAAGACTAGTGACATTCTAGTTAGAAACTACTATATTTCCCTGCAAGGTAAACAAATTTTCTTAAGTAGCAAGAGTCAAATAAAATTTTCCGCATATTAACACATGTTTACATGCATACATACATACGTGTACATAACAACAAAAGACGAACTCAATAAGAAATGTGTTAAATTCTCTTGCATTGTTATTGCATTATATGCTTATGCTAATACATATTTATATATGTAAATGTTTCTGGGATAATTCCATACCAGGAATGAGTTGAGTCGCGTACAAACTGCAACATTTTATTTGTTTATATCGCTTTAATGCGTTTATCATTGATATTATTTAATATTCCGCTAAATTTCCGCTATGTCATTTCTTAGCGTTTGTTCTGCTGATTGTGAAAAGTGCTGACAGCGAATATTTAAAAAAGAAATTATAATAAATAAATAAATAAAATGGTTTGAAATAATTGTGCATTGCCACCGGTACTCGTGGTGTGTCGGTGGGTGTGTGTGTGTATGTATGTACGAATGAAAACAGATAGCCTAAGCTGTAAGATCTTCTAATTTAAATATTCTTCTGAGTTCATGCGTGTTATCACTAAATCATGGCCGCGTGGGTAATTAACGTTAACAGTTTTTTTTTTCTGTTGTATCTATTTACAATACAAGTAAATAATTGTGCATATGTACAATGCGTTAAAACTTTTTCTATTTATTTTTTGTCTAGTAAATTTAGAATTTAGATATACTTTCAGCACGCAGCCGCAATAAATTTCAGAAGCAAATATTATAAAATCTACTTAAATCCATTTTATCAACTAAAACTCGAACCTTGGCCTTCCGAATGGCACGGTACACAATGCTAACCACTCAGCTATCGCAACAAAGGAAATTCGAATTTTTTTTTATTTCCTACACTGCAGCCAGATTTAGATGAAATTAGCTTAGTGTCAAGTATTTTTGGAGGTACACGCTTTGTAAATAGTTTGCCACTATGTTTCGTGGCATTAACAGCATTAATTGAGATTTGCGGCAAATAATTTAGTTGAATAAAGTAAATAAATTACAAACATACGAGGGGCGTCTGATGAGTTCGTGTCTTGTCTTTGCACCACTTAAAAAATATTCCTTAGATTTATCTTCAAAATGGTTTTCTACAGGCGCTTTCATTGCTTTTTTAAATTTGAGAAAAGAAAGGAGTCACTGGGAGACAGATCCGGATTGTAGAGTATCAATTTTCTCTAACTCCAGTAGCTTTTGAGACCTACCTCGCAACCTGAGTGGTATGACCGGTTGTGTTATCTTGAAGAAACAGCACTCCGCGCGCTAACTTCCACGTCCGCTCTGTCCAACTGGGCGTTCATTGTAGTTCCCTATGACAAGTAATAAACTCATAATATTCACTAGCTATTCCAGAAAATGGTTGCCATAACCTTCGACGCCGACTTTTCCACTTCGAATTGTTTTTTTTTTTGTTTCTTCTGTTCGGACTTGGAATTATACTGACCTATGCAAGTTTCATCAACTGTTACAATGCGGTTGAAAATTGAATACAAATCATCTTGGCACAACTCCAAAAAATCTTTACAGCTCTCCAATCGTCGCTGCTTGTCGAGCAGCGTGAACATTCGCGGTACCCAACGCGAACTAATTTTTAATTTTTCATATTTAAGTATTCATGCAAAATCTTTCCAGCTCGTTCTTTGCTAATCTGTAATCCTTCTGCTATATATAAATATATATATATAACATATATATATATATATGTATATTATATATATAATTGGTGCTTTATAACCGCTGAAGCGGTTTTCGGCCTAGCATCTCCTTTAATTTGTGGTTTTGGGTCTTGATGTTTTCCCAACAAATGGAGGGACCTACTGTTTATAAATACTAAGCCGCTTTCGAACGGCTGATGGTTTTTTTTTGGGAGGAGCTTATAACATTATATTTCATGTCAGAGCTACACTCGGAGTGGTTGACATTTCCTGCCACCGCGATTAGAACATTTAGTTTAATTTATTATTTAATATTATAATATTTTAGATGTTACTACGACACCAGCATTTTAACGCCATCCGAATTACAACTTACACAATGCTAACTACTCGGCTACCGCGGCCGTCTTCTGCTATATATCACAATGTGGTGCTTCGATCAGCTAGTAAAAACTTTTTGACTTTCTGAACATTTTCTTCGGTCATTACGTTACTGAGAGCTCCCCAGGAGTCCTCTTCACAGGTCTCTTCTCTTCCTTGTATGTAGAAGCAGCCGAGCTCTATTTTTTCACCATTGTATATATATGAAGTCGCAGAGTCCTGAACTTCTCTTTAAAAGCTTTTTTCTGAAGTACGTCCTTTTTACAAAGAATTTGATCACAGCGCGGTGCTCCAAATTCTCTGTTTCCTTTGACATAGTGTTGTTGCTTATTCCAGGAACGAACTGTTAATGAACCAAATAAAACAAAGTTTTTTTATTTATATTAATAATACGTCGCACAATTAGTTTTATCAGTAACGTGATGATATGCCATTTCGAACTACCTGAGGTCGCTATATTATCAGCCGCCCCTCGTATGTAAGTATAAAAGTAAGTTTGGTAAATATATATATGTACATTTTATTATTTTATGACGTCACATACTACCCTTCTCTGTGCACATACCACAGCCGAGTATAAAAATGAAAGATTTAAATACTTTTAATAAAAATTTATAGTAAAATTTATAAACAAAGTATTCAAGAGATTTACCTCTAACTTCCAATCCTTTCTGCTTCTATTTTAAGATTCATTAAACATGCCATTCCCTTTTAAATTTGCAATATATATTATAAATATGTTTGGTTTTGAAGCGCTTAAGGTATTTACTAATCTCCTAGTTGGTCACCAACTTATCAAAGATCATAGTGAGGACTCCAGCTGGCCTACAACTATTGAAATTACCTCTGCAGACACTATCAACAGAGAGGAACGCCTTACAGTCTAACGAAATTCTCATTAAATGATTACCACAGTAACGGTACCCAAAATTTTTCGTTTTTAGCTGATTAAGGAAATCATAGACTTTTCAAGTACTTCTTTTATGAAAAAAATCCCTTCACTAGCTGCTGCTCAGGTTAGAGGGGTTATTTATTTAAATAATAAACTTGCAAAGCTTACGAGTACAAACCGGATACCAATTTTTTGACTTTAGTTTTCATCTGATTTGATCTTCTTGCCGGAAAGAAATCAAAAATTTATGTTCACGTTTGATATCCGATATCCTCTTTGTAACAAATAAAAAACATCTTCTTGAAAACGATCTAAGTAAGAATGCTAGCAAGTTTTGAATGTTAATCTCCATTATTTTTGATGACCATCACTGCAAACTCTTTAAGAATCAAACTTTGTGAGCAAGCACGGGGAATATGCAATCTCTTTATTCAATCTCTGTAGTTGTCCACTTGCTTGATGTCCTTGTTCAAATTATGTCCGTCATTATCGGCGTCCATGCAGTGCCATAGATGCAAGCAATACGGAAGAATGAAGATACAGCACTCAGATAAAGGAGCACATACATACAGGATAGACACAACTCGAGTCTAGCCTCAACACATCGCTAATTTACGCCAACGCACCGATGAAGATAAGGATGATTTGTTAAGATATGTTTTCTATGAGAAACTAGAAAGCACCCATGAGCATTGCCCCAGTCATGACGTTCAATTTTCAAATAATTGGAAATTTATCGATTTTGTCAGGGTTCAAAATAATAATATTGCAAATCAGAATTGAATAAACCATATTGTGGTAGAGTGACCTCTATTAACATCTAATATCTCTATCTTCTATATGTGCTTGACCTTTTCGACAAGAAGAAGTAGCTAAAATTCAATTTAATTGTTAATATAAAAATTTCATTAAAAACTATGTTTACTGATGGAACGAATGTTGAATGAATCTGACAATACTTTACGAGTTTTTTAACACTTCGAAAAAGGGTACTGTTCGCTGCGGAAAATTGTGGATTATTTTTAATGCCTGTTTCTCAAAAACCAATGTGTTTGAATATTGTAAAGGGAGAAATATTGAGTAGACAATATTAGCACGCTGCTTCATCAAAATAAAATACTTTATTTTTTACTCAATTCCTTTTATTTATTTTATTTGTAATTTTATTCAATATATTTTGTCTAAAAACACACAAAATTCACACAACAGTTGCAGACACTCTACACAAAATTAAAATTAAATTAATATAAAACAAAATGTATAATTAAAACTATCTTTTAAAATACTAAATTATTAAATACCCACAGGCACACATACATACATACAAGACATACACACATAGCGATCACATTTTTTATATGATAATTTTAAAATTATATGCCTATTAGAGGTTGCGAAATTAAGTATCTTATCCCCGTATTTAAGTCGCAAATTTAGAATAAGACTTCACGCATCTCCACCCGCCGCACCCGCTGTTATTCATGCCTCATCCAAAACAGGTTTGGCTGGAGGCGCCAGGGTCCTTCGCGGTATCAGTAGCGTCAAGAAAGCGCAGACATATAAAGCTGCACATGCCGTGTAGAAGGTCATTTCACAGTTATGCGCCAACATTGCGCCGACAATATTAGCACCAACAACACTGCCCAAACGGCCAAACATGAGAGAAACGCATATTGCCATGGCACTGCAGGGCGCGTGAAAGAGCGCGAGGGAGAGATTGAGAGAGAGTGAGAGAGAGTAATTAATATATTTACTTTTATGTTATAAATGAAGTTTACTGAAAATTTCAAATAAATTATTAATTTATTTACCGCATTTGTGTAGGATAAAGCTCGACAGTAGCGGCGCCCAAAACATTTATGGCCACGCCCACCAAAAAGAAGAGCACATAAAGATAAGCTGCTATCGAGGGATCCATAACAAAGACCGCCGCAAGGCCGCATGATGTAAAGAATATGGTGGAGATGACTATAATTTTAATTAGAGCAGAATTGGAAGCTTTATAGGCGTTCAATGATGGCAAAAAAAAATCATAAAATTACTTACAAAGTATGGTAATCTTGCCAACACGATTGATCACCAAACCGATAAAGGCAAACGAGGATGCATATAAAATCTCCATTATTAATGAATAAAAATATGTTGTATTTTCCAATTTAGCAACACATTCCATTGTCTGTGAAGAAATTGTTTTTCAAAATTATTATTATTATTTTTTTTTTTTTAATTTTTCACAAAAATATATTTTAAATGAAAACAAATTTTATTTATGCTCAACTTACACCATCTTCCTTATATAAGCTCTCGTGTTTGTCATACACAATATGACAAATCTGCTTGTGTTCGCCTGGATGTCCGTTCATGAACTCCACCATACTGTTGATGATGTGTGGGAACCACATGTACATGCCATTTGTGACGACATATAACCAGAATTGCATATTACATACAATCAAGGTGATGCGTATGTATTGTTTGTGGAAGAGCGGCACAGTTTGGTTCCACATGCTCTTCATGAAGGCGGTGGCAAAGTTCTCCTTGGAAGCGGATTGATTGTTCAATTGCATCATTGAACCTGGTTGTTCTTCTTCGGGAAGAATGTGTTTCAACTAAAAAAAAAAAAAAAAATATATATATATATATATAAAATTAAGTAATCATTTTTTTAGTTCTAATTTTTTTTTTATAATTTTTCGAATTACACAAAAGTTTTAATAATTAAAACTACCCTCTGATTTATCTAATTAGTTTTTTAAAATTAATGACAACGATTTTAATCAAGAAATGTTTTGTTTTCAATCACTTCCATCCAACGCACTCATTTAAATAATTTAATTACGTCTCAATTAATCGGCATATTTAATTAATTGATTACGCGCAAATAAATAATTTCTCAACCAACCTTAAGCTCCTCAGTGCCACCATTCCAACGTTGCATTTTCTGCAATACTTCAATTGCCTTGGCTTCGCGTCCATGCGCCAACAAGAATTTCGGACTTTCGGGTAATGCAAACATGGAGAGACCACAAAGCATGCCCGGTATGCCGCATACTATTAAAAATAGACGCCATGGCTTGTAATCGATACCCAAGAACGTTATTGGCAATACCCAATCTTGATTTATGACCAGAAAGGCAATCATTGGTAAAATCATAGCGCCGATAGCGAAAATAAACGACGAACCCATCATTGCGCGCGAACGTGTCTTATCGGTGTGGAATTCGCCGAGGTAGGCATAAATTGTCGCCGAGCCGCCGGAGACACTGTAAGTAGAAAAATATAACAAAATTTAGTAAAGCAAAAAGTTAAAGAAAAATAGAATTATGAAACCAAATTTCCATGCTGATTAATCAATTAAACAGCCAAATCAACTAATCACACATTGATTCATCAATTTGAAAGTTGAACTAAATATTTAATAAATTTATTAATTAATTGATAATCGAAGAAATTGATTGCAATAGAATTTCATCATTCCAAATTTAAATAAAAAAGCATAGGAATTCTGATTAATCAATGAAATCATTTGAAAATATTCCAACTAATTCTATACTAATTTAAAAAATCCGCGGAATATTAAGAAAGTTTAGCCATTTCAGACAGTTTATTAATTCAAATATTGAGCTTATTTTGCTTTATTTGATTATATAAAAAGAAGATACTAAATTGCACAGGTAATAAATAAACTAGTAAATTTATAAATTAATTAACTAACAGATATTTTCAAAATTAGTATAATTATAAATAACTAAACGAAAAATGAATTAACTCATTTAAACAAAATCCCACTACTTCGATATTGAATCGAAGAAAAAAAATTTGACAATTCAATTTTTAATTATTTATTCATCAACTTTGTGGAAAAGTTTCGACCAAACGATTAATTATATCAATCAATCGTTTTCAGGATTAATCGACTAATTTATTACTCATCCAGAACCAAGATCAAACACTACTCGAAAGAAATCTGGTGCTACGTCCTATAGTACGCATAAATTCCGAACACAAAACAAAATTATAGAATTCAAAAAATATACTTACAAAAAACCATTGATAAACCGCAACAACACCATCACCCAAAACGTGTGCGAGAAACTCGAGAACAGCGTGACTACAAATCCCGCCAGCAATGTTGGCCTAATCACCTTCCGCCGCCCTTTTGTATCAGCCAAAAAGCCCCACAAATGTGAACTAGTTATTATACCAGCAAAACTGATCGCACTCAAAACACCCTTATCCTGATTCGAAAGATGTAAGTCGCATTGTGCGATGGGCAAAATAAAGCCCATGGCCGCCGTCTCCAGCAAAACATTAGCCAAGACCATGCCAGAGATGAAGATGAGAAAATAATTGAATTTACCAAAACCTATGAATGGAGAAATATCAATACAAATAATCACATGTGACGTATCCACGTATATATGTATGAATACTATAGAGTTTCGACTACTTACCGGTAAGTGATAAAGCTTCTGAAAATGAAATGGCCCCATGTTTACGATTTACCTTAACGGGTTCTGTATGTATAATTGAAAGTACTGTGGAATAAGGTGGGAAATTTTTTTTTGTAAATTAATTTTTCATATTCCAAAAAAAAAACTTTTGAAATGGACATCTTACATACACTATATACTATATTTATATAGTATATTTAAAGAAAAAAACATACAAATATATATGTATTCGATATGTGCGCATGACATGAAGTATGTAAAATTATGTATGTAATAGGAGTTGTGGGCATGTTAATATGCAAATGGGATATTTTTTACAGGCGAAGTTGATGACATTTTTGCTGTGGAAGCGCGTCTGAATTGAGAACAATGTTTTAAGGGTTTTGATTATATTTTTTTTCAAGTCACATCGCTGTGTGTAGGCATATATTGTATATGTAGGAAAATATTTTTTTTATTTTTATATTTCTGATTAGGAATTTATGACTTGCTTTACGTAATCAATACCATATTTATAATTTTAATAATAACATAAACAATTTTTATATTCCTGGTTTTGAAAAATTAATTTTTTAGAAAGCTAGTAATTAAAAGAATTAGAAAACTCTTAATTAAAACAATTCTAATCACGCAAATAAACATTAAAGTATGTTTTAGTAATTTTCTTTTTAACTTTTTAAACACTTCAATGTTTCATAATTAAAAAAAAATATTTTTAACAACTGAATAGCCCACTTGAAACACAATTATATATGTATTAAAATATTTATTATATTTCTTAATTTTTCTCCGTTAAGAAATCGTTATTGTAAGCGAAAATTTATGAATTTTTTTACAAAGTTTCGTTTTCAAATCAAATACAATAAAATATTATTTGACATTTTTTAATGAGTATTTATTGTTGCTATTTTTCCTTTTTTAATATTTCAATATTAAATTTAATATTCCTCTTTTTTCAATTAAAAAGTCACCTTTCCTCATTAGTAAACAAAAATGTTAATATGGACATTAAAATTCAAATTTTTTTTATTTAAATAAATTAGAAATTTTTTTGTATATAAGTATTAAGTAAACTACGAGGCCTGGTTTTTTGTATTTTTTTGGTTTTAATTTTAAATGTTTATATTTTTCTTAATAAAAAAATATTACTTATTGTCGCACTCAATTATAAATATGTTTAATTTGTTGTATTAGTTATATATTTATTTGTTTCTCTTTATGTGCATATGTATGATGAGTTATGATTTCCAGAAATTAAGAATGCTGTATGAATGAAAGAAATATTATTTTTTTTGATTTGTGAAAAACTGAAAACAATATTAATAGAATAATAATAAAATAAATTGTTAATTAATAATAAATTATTTAAAAAATTTTATTCAAATAATATTTTAATTTCTTAATTTATTTGAGATTTTATAATTTTAAGTTATTTAAAATCGTAAAAAATTTTTACACTTATATAATTTTTGTTTTATTGATTTTTTAAGCTAATAAAAAAATTAAAAAAAAAAAAATAATAAAAATCTTACCCATTTTAAATATGTAACTTCTTTGTTTGTGCGAATTAACTTAAATATGTTTAAAATGTTAACATTCAGAAATTTTCAGTCCAATTCATTAATAATTGTATAAAGTACTATATATCTATGTAGCAATGTTTTGAGTACTACACATGAAATGCTAAATATAAAAGTCTCTTCAAAAAGTTTTGTACTGTCCGATGTTCGCGAAATGTATCTACTTAAGTTACTAATGACAGTTAGGAGAGGAACCACCTTTTTAAACCTTTTCACCCACTCAATGGCAATTAAACAACTCACTGACTTAAGTGTGAATACAGATATGCGCACACGTACGTACATATTTATTTGGATATAGTATGTACCGAGATATAGGCATATAAGCAAAACCATATGCACATACATATGTACATACACAACATTGTGTATAACTCGTATCTGCTGCTGCAAATTTAAGAAGTAAAAAGAAGTGTGACATTTTTATGATTGATGGAGGCTTCTGTAAAAATTTGACTTAGTCTTTTTTTTTTAATGTGCGAGTAACTAAATACAATAGCAATAATCCTTGTGTACATAGATATACACATATTTTTAACAAGCTGTTGTGTATTTTCTATATATTTTATTTATATAATATAACTATTTATATGGTATATATTTGGTATATACATATATATATACATATATATATACATTTTTATATACATATATTTGTATATACTATGTCATTTAGGAAGTACAAATTTATATTTATTTGGAAATGTACAGCTACTGTGCGCTGCAATATGACCGGAGAAAGTAACCTTTTAATAATTAATTAATAATAATTATTAAAAATTATTTTTATTAAATTCAACTGTACATTTTTAGGATGCCCAAAAAATGATTTTCCAAACTTCTACTTAATTCCATTTATTTCGAACAGTCAAAGTATTAATTTAAATAAGAAAGATATTTATAAAACTAGTAACATAAGGGGTTAAATGAGTGTCACAGCTTTAAACAAAAAATAATAATTTAATAATTAATAATAATAATTAGTCTTATTAATTTCTACTACAACTCGAGAATATTCATCTGAGAAAGCAAATCGTTCCGAATAAAACTTAGGGAGTTACAGCCTTGCGTAACCTCAAAGGCAGGTCGGCTCAGCGCTTCAAAGATCAAACGGGCTTTTCTCGAAACTGTGGTTTCACAGTCGGTAGTCAATCAATGAAATGATAAAATTAATTAGAGATCTTTCTTTGAAATAGAGTTCATGAGAAATTGCAGGAAGGAATGTTTTTTTTCATAACAATTATTAAAAAAGATATAATTAACTTTTAACAAAATTTTTTTTTGTATTTTTTTTTTTTGAATTTGTTAAAATTCTATTTTATTTAATTTTTATTTTTTTTCTTCAATACTGGTTTATAGCGTTAATACTAAATTTTTTTTCACTTCGTATGTTCTTTTCATAAATTCTACAAATTCCTTTTAAATTTTCAGAAACTCTGTCCTGTTTTAATTTTTGATAATATCAAATATTGATCGATTTAGTGAATGAAAAAAAAACTCCTCTTCACATCCGTAAAGGTTGCTCATACGCACCGGCGAGCACCGCTTGACTACAGATTTTGTTTGAATCTTTCACATTTGCATGCACAGATACTGCTCGCTAAGCAATTTCTATTATATACAATTTTTTCTTTTTTTTTCTGTTTTCTGACCATGTTATACAGCCGGTTGGTATCAAGCGACACTTGCGTCAGTGAGATCGTAAGATCAGTGTCAGTTGTTTTGCCGGCGAATGTGTATATATTTTCTGTAACTACCTTACATATTTAAATAATAAAAAGGGGTAAATGCTAAAACGGCATAATATTTACATTTTACTTCATATGAATAAAAAAAAAAAACAAAGAAATAAAACTAAAAACTCTAAACCATAAAATAAAAATTACATACGTAAAGCCAAAGGCGTACAGTACATATGGAATATTTTTTCTTCAAATCTAACTCAAATAATAATAATTTAAGCCAAAAATATATGGGAGATGTACATATGTACATCTCTGGTGTATATATAGTATGTAAATATTTTTTTCTAAACGTTAATGTAGGTTTATGTATGTAGTATGTTTTCTATATTTATAAACTAAGCGGCGAGCAAACACATATGATATACTCTTCACGGGCAGGTGAAATGCTTATTTTTGTTAAAAATATTATATATGCTTATTCATAAGATTTTAGCTTTTTAGCGCATATTTATATTTACATATGTATGTATGTTTTGCTGAAATAATATGAAAGTATGCCTTTATTTACCCGTCCTCGAAGGGTGTCTATTCTTCATAAGTTTTAATTTAAACATAATTCTTTTATTCACACTCACAACATTCCAACATTTTTATTTCAATATTTTTTTCTTATTTTTTATTCCACACTACATACGTATATACATATGAACACACTTACAGGTGTTATATTTTTAGTAAAAAATATTATATATATATATATGCATCTACTTTTTATAAATAGACGTCAGTTTAGCAAAACAAACTTAAATCAAATGTCAACAGATAAGCCCACTAAACACTCACTTTGTGTAGTTTGGGGTTGACGGTATAAATATAGCGTGGGAACTTAGTAGGTGGATGGTATAAATAAATGAACGGAATGGATGTTAGTAGGTGAATTAATTATTATGATGGCATTAAAACTGTTGTTTTGTGAAAGTTTTATTTTATTTACTTTGGAAATAAGAAAACATAGTATGTGCTTAGTTTGTGATATTGATCATATTTAAGGTATGTATATAAATTCTGAATATTTAAAAAAATGTTCAGATGCTTGAAGGTTTAATTCTTTAGAAACACTATTCCGCTCTTATGTTACGAGTTAATTTATTTTTTTTTGTATTTTCTATCTATGCTATTTATTTATTTTTGTTTTTAGTATTCTTTTATATTTTAGCCTTCGCTGTATTCTAATTTTTAATGTATGTGAAAAGATTTTTATTTATTTAAATATGTTCCATTAAAAGTTTATATTTCGTTAAAGAAAGAGAAATATGTAAGTTATGAAATGAGTCAATAAAAAGCAATTATTGTTATTTCCCTTCAGATACCTTAATTTTAAAATATTTTGTTGTTATTATTTCTCAAAAATCAATGTACTCACATTCAAAAACTTATGGAAAATTAATTTAAATAAACAATTTAGTTAAATTTTCTAATTGCGGTCGCCTCACGGCAGGGAATGTCCACCCCTCCGAGTGTATTTCGGACATAAAATAAAGGCTCCTAGTAAAAAAAAACCATCAGCCGTTCGAAGGCGGCTTGGTATAAACTGTAGGTCCCTCTACTTCACTTGTTGGAAGAACTTCAAGACGCAAAATAATCATAATATCTAATTGGCACTTTGTAACCGCATAAGCGAATATATCCAATTGTGAAATAAAAAATAAGAAAAAAATAATTATCTTTTCTTCATTACTTCCTCACTTAAAAAAGTCAACATTAATTGAAAAAATTGAAAATAAAAAAATTTAATCATTGAAATTAAAAATGTGTTGAA